TTCTTGCACCACCGTGCCCTTCCGCTGCAGGAAGTCGATGACGGGATTACCATGGCATTCGGCCACCTCAGATGCTACGGTTCCCACTTTCTGCTCGGTGCCATTCCAATGCTTGGTGTAGATCGAGCCAATAGTTTTCAGGCTGGCGAAGGTCGATTGGTCCTTCCATCGGGTCACGGTGTGTAGACGGAAGACGAGGGTTTTATTAATCAATGACTGTGTAGGGTCATCTAGGAGAAACCATTCACGGTCCCGTAGAAGGGCTTCATCTATCGCGGATTGCACCTTGAGTTCAGTTGCAGCTTCGTCCTGGTGACTGAAGGTGGTCTCGTAGTCGGAGAATGATCCCTTGATAAAAAAGTCCGAAGTCACAGTGGCCACCAAAGTCTTGGACCGAAAGATTTGCGCTTCCACACTGATCGTCTTGCCAGTCTCCTTGATGGTCACTGCACGCACCTGTGATTTTGTCGCGACGACATCGTTGACTTCTAGTGGAGCAGCGCCAGGAGTGTACCGGATGCTATTGGAGAGATGGACTAGGCGGAGCAAGTCACCCTGGAGCTCTGCAACAAACAGTGGCTCCATCAGGGGTTTCCAAGCAGCAATAATCGCGGCCTCGAGGGGTAAGGTGTTAGTTGTCGCCGATACAGTGGCATCTGGGACTGTATGACGGAGAGCATTGTGAAGGTGACGATGAAGATCAGACGAGAGCGTGATTTCCTCGCCCTTGAAGACGTCATTCAGCCGGTGGGAACTAAGATCAGCACGACCGAGCCAAAGATGAGCATAGAACAATTTCACTCGGTCCTCACGGCCCTCGAGATTCTCTACCAGGGAAAGACTCTTTGAACTAAACTGGTACGTAAATCGGAGGATGGCAGGGGTCTCCACGAAGTCATAATAATAGAAGTCTACAGCAACCTCCTGATCACCACTGGGATTGATGTGGACCAGGGGACGGTTCTGTGCATCTTCTACCAGAAGTAGATCGCAACCACCCAGAGGTAGCTGAATGGATTGCCCTGCCCGTGGTTCCAGAACTCTGCGCAAAGGATTCAGTTGTCTCTGAGAGCCTCGTGTGATTTCCTCAGCCATGATAGCGCTTCGGACGCCACCTGTGACTTTACTGGCCAGGAATGCCTGCCAGTGTTCAACAGAGGGCAGGCTTTCAGATGTAGGGCGGAAGATACGATGTGTGTTGCTTTCCGTCACTATGATCTGAGCGGAGACCATTTCTGATATAGCTAACGGAGCTTTATCCGTTTGAGAGGGCTCCTCCTCGAAATGGTCTACGAGCCCATGGTGGATCTCATCAAGGATTTCCCTGGCTGACTGATCTGCCCGACGAGAATATTGCACAGCCACAGGACCTTGTAGGATACATACTCGGTCAGCGTCCTGGTCGATGATTGCATCCACATCTTCTGACTGCCACAAGGAATCTTTCTTGAACCAGTACTCGAAGTCCTCATCCAAAGCTGGGATGAAGTTGACAGGCTTTCGACCACGCTTTTTGCAGATGGTGAGAAAGAAGCGAACATCGTCTGGATGTAGACGACGTGTAGTCGCAGCGGGGCAGAGTTGTTCCACCTGCTCGACGAATTGTTCAGGCCGACTGATGTCAAGCTTATCCGTCGCATAAATGACGTTGGAGACACGTTCCAGTGTTCTGTAAGCGAAATCCAACACGAGCTGACGGTAGGATCCGTCAATCCAGCGGTGCTGGTGGCTAACATACACTAACCGGATCAAACGAGCAATGACTTCAGTATACGTCATGTTCTCTAGGTCGACGGCATCACCGGCGGCATTGTAGCCAAACCATGGCTTGGCAAAATCAGCACTGAGGCGACGTATGATTTCAGGCTTACGCGCATGGAGTGCAGCAACACGTTTATCCCGAGGCAAGCTGAAGATAGTCTTGTCCATCTCGTGCCACAGCCGAACTCCACGAGTTGCCAGCTTGTGGATCGGCTGGCCCATCTCCGACTGAACGGTCAATACTCCCCCGGTAGGCTTCTTGAAGGTCTGCTCCCATTCTGAGTCGGCCACTCCGGCAGCTGCCAAGATCAATTCCTTTGCTTGCGTAGATGTGTGCGCCTCCCGGGCGACCATCATCCGACTGCCTATGAGGATACCATCGCACGGCATTAAGGGGCGACCGAATGAAAGCGACCATTCACCCGTGATATATGGGTGCATTTGGTCCGCCTGGCCAAATCCACTGCCCACAACCAGATACAAGTTGGAATAGCGGCGGATATCCCGGTAAGCCTGCAAGAGTGGTTCATGGAAGTCCTCACAGGAGTGATGGCCACCACCGCGGCCTCCAGTCCATTGTAATATAATGGGGAACGACGGGTACTTCTTAGCGATTTCGATCACCTCATATATGGCAGCAATGGACCCTGGCTTGAGAGAAAGATGCTTGATTCCGAGTGTCTGGATCCATTCGTTGACCACATCCTGCGAGGGAACTCCCGCTCCAATTGTCAAGCCATCTATGGGGATTCCCCGTTGGATCATGTGGCGGATTAGGGGGATCTGGAAAGCAATTGAATGAGGGCTAGCATAGATGAGATTGCAGGTGATGCCGCGGCCGGGTGGGACATGGGCCGCTAATTTTTCAATAGCTGTCGTCATGCCAGCCGCATCAAAGTATCCACCGCCAGCCAGCTCGACGTGATAGCCTGCCTGCATCACCGCGGCCACAAAGTCCCAGTGTACCGTGGTGGGTGTCATCCCAGCTGTGATGATAGGCGGGGTTTGCAGCAGCTGACTAAGTCGCGTCTCGAGTACAGGCTTGCCATCTGGGCCAGCCGTTAGTCGAGCTTTAAAGAGCTCCGCCCAAGGGGCCGGTGCCTGTGAAGGCGTCGCGGTTAGTAACTCCGCTTTCCCGCCGAGAGTGGCGGGATCCGTTGGGGCTAGCACAGTTCCTGCGATGATACGAACTCCTCGGCCATCGACAATTTCGGATACGAGATCGCTGAGGCGGCTGCTGCTCAGAAGCACAATGTGGGAGGGTGGCTTGGGGCGCGATACCTGCAATGTTGCAGGCCAATCTACAGTCTCACAGGCTACTGCCTCGACCAAGCTATGGATCAGGTTACTCGATGGGCTGAACATCTCGCGCATATCCTGGCCGGTCCGTGTATGAAAGACCGCACTGAGCAGATCCCCCACTTTAGGCGATGAGGCATCCGGAAACCGTTCCTTCACGCGGTCTGCAGCGGCACGGAGGTGGCTGGAATGGAACGGAGCGCTAACGGGGAGGAAGGTATGATGGACAACGGGCTTGCGCTGACGGAAAGGAACCCGACTTTGGTCTTGTCCATCATCAGCCTCGATCTCTCGCAGCCGCAGACATAGGCCTCGGAGTGAACGTGGAGAGCCGGCTACCACAAGGTTCCGTTCAGTGTTGATCAATCCGATGGACAGGTGCTCAGATTCCGGCAAACGGCGATTGCAGTCCGTGATTAACGCATCAAGGGCCGGGGACCGCAGGCCTCGGACACTAAGGAGCCATGAAGGGGATCCTTCGCCGTGCTCAACACTATCCCTGATGGCGGCGGACGATAGTGGAGAGGCTAGAGCGGCTGTATGGCATTCGTAGCCCATCCAAAACAGTAGGCGGATGGCCCATTGTGCCTGCGCCAAAAAGGACGCCCACGTGTCCGCTTGAGCGACGGCTGCAGCCACGATAATTCCCTGGGAGTGACCCGTGAGACCTTGCAGCGCTGACCTTAATCGCTTCGGGGAATCAGAGTCGAGTAATTTACCAAGCACATAATAGTGCGCCATATCAAGTAAGCCAATAATCGGGAAGCTGACTGCAGCGGTGGCTGTAAAGGCCCGGTCCGGACGAGACTCGGGGATGGTCAACCAAGAGTAAAGGTCAATCTCACGACCCAAGTAGTGCTGCAACGTGGAGGGTTCTCGAGAAAGACTTGCTAGGGCTGGCGCTACTGACGCAATCAGCGGCTCAAGTAAGGGTTGGTAAAGTGAATATAGGTCGGCCAATTCGTCGACACAGACAAGGTTGGTCGATCCTTGGCCCCCGAAGGCCATTAGAATGCGGTGCGCTTCATTACTAGCGGTGCTGAAGAGTCCACTGGAGGCTGGACGGGGGTTGAGACCTGCAATCGCATGTGCGCGGTAGTAGGTGCGTATAATATTCTTGGCCTCGGGCTCAGCGACAATCAGATCGTGGATATCCGCATCTCTCACGCACTGCGACTCGATGGCGCCGAGGAATGCTCCTAGGGGAGCTGGCGGGCAGTCCTCATCCAGGAGGAATTGTAAAAATGCAAACACCAAGGCAAGAATTGACTGGTCTTTCGAATGATTCTGGAGGAAAGAAGCCTTTTGCTGGTCCAGGAAAGCACCGTCCTGTGTGGATACAAGGAAGGTTTGCTGGATGTTCCCTTGGGAAAGAGAAAAAGACCTCAACGAATGGTCTTCAGTGGGGGTCACGATCGCAAGATCATAGGAACCAGAGCTGGGGGTAGAGGCCATGGTAAGGGTGGAAGTGAAGGTGCTGACAGGCAATGATATCTAGTATATTATTATTCAATAAAGCGTTATGTCACTCTTGGGTCGCGCTGGGAGTCATTAGATTTCTAGCACGGCGCGAGAGCGATTGTTGTTAGCCAACTGCTACGAGATATATGGGTACGTGGTCTACTATTTACCCTCTAGTTGGGAACTAATTTTACGCTGGGTTCTTACGCTGGGTCGGTCCGGTCTTCGATATCCCCGTGTGTGAGTGAAAGGTGTGCCATCGGAAATCAAATAAACCCTACGCTGGGTTCTTACGCTGGGTCGTTCGGAAAGAACTGGCGGCCGGAGTTCGAGAGCCGAGTCGCGGCCCATGGGCTCCGAGCGGGGCCAAACAAATGGCATTTATACTCCGGCGTACCAACAAAATGAGCTATAAGATAAAGCTGGATTGCAGGACGAGGAATTACACAAGAATCACAGCTTATGACGCAAAAATAAAAATGACTATTCCAGCGGCGGACGACAATAATTGTCCTTCCTATGACAAGGTGATCGATTTAATCGTCGAATACGCCTATGACTATGAGATCGACTCTCCAGCGGCCTGGACACGAGCCAAGGCAGCCCTTATTGATGCTCTAGGCGCTGCCATCGAAAGTATTCATACTAGCCCAGAATGTGCCGCCATGATTGGCCCCGTCTGGCCCCAGACAGCTACGGTACCAGGGGGCTTCCGCTTGCCCGGTACTCAATTTCAGGTGGATGCCCTCAAGGGCGCCTTTGACCTTGGGGGAATGATCCGTTACCTTGACCACAACGATGCCTTTCCGGGCGCCGAATGGGGACATCCATCAGGTAAGCAAAGAATCTTAAATCCCACGTCTACCGTCCGTCCGTCCTAACCGATGGTTAGATAATCTGGGTGCAATCCTCAGCACTGCAGACATCCTCAGTCGGGAGGCGCTCGCTCGTGGCAACCCTGAGGAGGTCATCTCCATGAAACAGGTCCTCACTGCTCTGATCAAGGCATATGAGATCCAGGGCGTGTTTCAGATCCGAAACGCCTTCAACAAGGTTGGCCTCGATCATGTCATTTTAGTCAAGGTGGCTTCGTCCGCCATGGTCTCCTGGCTTATGGGTTTATCCCACGATCAAGCCCGGGCTGTAGTCTCGCATGCATGGGCTGATGGCCATCCGCTGCGGGTCTACCGACAAGCGCCAAACGCAGGGCCCCGGAAAGGATGGGCCGCCGGGGATGCCTGCATGCGTGCTGTGCATCTGGCTAACCTAGTTCGATGCGGCCAGCCTGGTATCCGCTCCGCGATCACTACCCCGCGTTGGGGATTTTATGACGTCTTATATCGGGGCCAGACTTTCGAGCTACCCCGTGCATTCACTAGCTGGGTTATGGAGACGGTCCTCTTCAAGGTCTCGACGGCTGAAGGACACGGATTGACCGCTGTGGAAGCAGCATTGAGTATCGCGCAAAAGCTGGCCCAGCGTGGACTTCGGCCGGAAGAGGACATTATCAGCATCCGAGCCCGAACCCAGGAGGCTGGAATGATCATCATCAATAAGAAGGGGCCGCTGCACAATGCCGCCGATCGCGACCATTGCCTGCGTTATATGGTCGCCGTGGTCCTACTTAAGGGCAGTCAAATCACGACTGCTGACTACCAGGATAGCAGTCCTTGGGCTCGTGACCCTCGCGTAGAATCACTACGCTCCATGACCACAATGGAAGAGGACCCGAAGTTCACTCAGGATTATCATGATCCTCAGTGCCGCAGCGTGGCCAACGCATTGGAGGTAACACTGCGAGATGGCACCAAGTTGGAAGAAATGGTGCCGTTCCCCTTGGGTCATGTGCGTCGACCTGAGACTTTGCAGCTGGTCAGGGAGAAGGCCCAGCAGAATTTAGGGTTGAAACTTTCGTCAGAGAGAGTGGAACAGATCCTGGACACCGTCGATCAACCGAAGTTCGAGAAGATGGCCGCTAGTGATTTTGTAGACCTATTTATCCCACATCCTGCGCCCAGCGCAGCATGAAATCTCAGAAAGATATAATATATTACATGTTAAGTTAATTCCCTCACCGAGATGTGTTCAGTATTCTGCTTTAGGACCTGAGATCGTATTATCCAGGAGACCTAGTCGCGTTCGCCTGCGAACACGCAAATTGTCGATTCACAGCCAAAATCCTAAACACAGCTAGGAGAGATTTATCACGATGGAACTTGTAAGCTGCACGATAACCCCTTCCGACTTATCCCCACATAGGCTCCCTTGAGATGCCTCGCTACTAACGCGGGATGCGACTCGTAATAGTGGGCCCGTTCCTGAGAACAGATCGGATCGACATTAGCGGTGAATACGAGGTCCAACAGACATATATATTGAGTTTCTGCCCTTGAGAAGCAGAGCTCATTTAAAACCACTGGCACTGTGAGGTCATGGTATTGATATAGCTTATCTTAACAACCAAGATGGGTATGTCATTTCTCATGCAGTGCAAACGTGAGGCATTAACTTGGCTGACCATCCTAACGTAGGATACTGGGAGGTCTGTGAATCCTCCCCTTCAGTGACAAGTGATGATGACCCTCTTCCTTGGACAATTACCACATATTAGAGTTAAATTTACTATCCCAATGATTCTAATTTCAAAGGACAGGTTCCTTGTCAATTCTGCGGCGTGAGCTTCAACATCAGCCGCATCCGCTCCAAATGGGAACCGAGGTCAGCGGCTTTCGGCCCCGGTGGCCGTGGAGGCTGGATCGAGGGACGAGACTTCACATGGGATGAAGAAGACGAGGAAGAGCAAGCGATATATCAGAGCGAATACGAGCGTTGCTCATCCGAAACGGGATGCTGTATGGCTCTCCGAGGTCCTGAACTTTATGGGAATTTTACCCCGAAGCCGCGGTTATATGCTGATGATCCTGTGGGTGGTATTCATCGGTGTGATCCCAACTATGAATATCAGAGTGAGCCTGATAACGAACCTCTGGAATACGACTCAGAGGCGTGCGATGGCGACGATGGAAGTATGGATATGCGCCGCAATGAATATACAGAGGACCCGGAGTGGACGTTCAAGGTACAAGGGCCTGATCAGCCGGAATATGACACTGAGTTCTACCCCCTTTCGACAAAATTAGGCGAGAGCCTCTATATCATCAACGACAATGGCTCCAGAACGATGAACCGGGAGGCCTACAACAGGTCCAGATGCTACGAGCATATTGCTGGTCCTGACTGCCGAAATATCCTGGGATACCTGGGGAGGAATATCTCCACTGAAGAAATGAGAGGTTGCCATACTGTTCAGTGTATTCTTGCAAAGCGACAAGACTGGGAACCTCGACCGGATGATCTCGCCTTCGAACGGGAAAGTCAATATCATCTCACAGGCGTCGCAGAGATCATGCCTTCATCAGGAGATGGGTTGAAGTTTGCTCCGGTCCGACACGGCGTCGATAATATTCGAGCGGAAACTGAATTTCTGCTAGAAACGGTATGATACTCACATATAGTTAGCTTTGTCGCAGGAGAATGCGGATTACTTACTTTAAAATAGTCTCAGGAAGAACTAAACGAGACCGGGCTACCGTTTCATCCAGCGTGCTTTGAACTCTTTATTCAGGCAAGCAAGCAGTGTCTCGGAGACGTTGATATAGACACGTTGGTTCGGATTCGTGACAGAGCATGTCTGGAAAGCCAACCCTTTCCAATTGAAGACCACGAGCATGCCAGAGCGGGGCAAGAGCAGTGCTGGAACCATAACGTCGGGCACGAATACCTCGTCGCCAATCCCATCTTTGTCCCCTCGCTGAAACCGATCATCGAGTCCGCTATTTCCGCAGACAGAGGATTCAGCGTGCACAACAGCCCTTTCGACACCAGGAATCAAACAAATGCCGCCTCAACCGCTCAAGATCATTTCCTCGCATTGCCCATTGAAATCATTCTAATTATCATTGACCACCTTGATTCCAGAGAGATCGCGGCCCTCCGTCTCGTATCACGCGCCTTCACACACTTACCAAATTCTCTCTGGTATCGGCTGGTGCTTAGGGAGATGCCATGGCTGTATGAAGCGTGGTCTTCGGATCCGACGCCATACCACTGGGCTACTGTAATCGCCCACGATGCACATCAAGAAAAGGAAGCTCGGGAAGAGTGGGACCGTGACGTGGAGAAACAAAGTCTTGTCATCGCCGACGAGATGCCTGAAGTTCAGACTTTAAGGCAGCAAAGCCAGCCGCAGTGGCAATGGCCGGATCACCCGGACAGACTGGAAGTTCTTGGTTTGAGTCCGGTCAAATTGAATTATAGTAGTACGAACTGGTACCAACTGTACCGTGATATTACTCTCAATTGGAGGCAGCTCAAGGGGCTACAGAATCGCGCCAGGATTTGGGATGCCATCACGCAGATTGTTGGGGCGATCAAGGATGCGCGTGAGAAGCGTCTGAATGAGGGTAGCAGTGATGGTATAGTTTAGTCTAAATGTACAGATATGTGACAAATCTATCAGGTACCATAGGTGGGAGGTGGATTCTTGTCGTATAGGATCTATAAGTCCTTTCCTAGATGGGAACTATGGATTGGGACTTTACGGATACAACCCTTTTCGGTATTGATCAAAAGTACGGCGGCTTATTAACCCCCTTTGATCTTTCTCTTGGAGGGTTTAATATCGCAGCTTACTAGATAGTGGAATAAAGACCGTTGGATACGAGATGAGTCATCCCAGTGGGCCAACGGACCACACGTTATCTCTACTAAACCTACATAAAGCACCACGATATCCACCGACAAAAGGTCCCACCTCATACCCAAACCCAAACCCAAATCCCAAGATCAAAACAATGCCAATTCTACCACGTCTCCCCAGCCACTCTCAAACCCCTCCGATCCACACGGCCCGGCTTCTGCTCCGACCGTTTCGGGCCGCGGATCTTCCCGCCTTTCACGTTCTCCGAACCACTCCCGAAGTCATGCGCTGGACTCGACAGGGACGCATCGATGCCACAATAGAAGAAACCAGTAAATGGATGGAGCGCTTCACCAATGAAACCCAGACAGGGGAACTACCTAACTATAATTTCGCCGTCCTACGTAAAAAGGTCCCGGGTGAAATCCCAGCTACGGAGTCCGAAGAAGGCGATGTCATTGGCGTTATGGGCATCATGTCTATGTCCCCGGAGAACGGTCCTGAGGTGGGGTATTTGTTTCTGCCCGAGGCGTGGGGTAAGGGGTATGCGACGGAGGCTCTCACGGGGCTTGCGGAGGCATGGTGGAGGTTGCCCACCCCTGAGCATGATTTCTCTGGGAGTGGGGGAGAAGCAAAGGAAGTAGGGTTTTTGCGCGCTGTGACACATAAGGCAAATCTGGGGAGTGCGAAGGTCTTGACTAAGTGTGGTTGGACGGTGGTCGGGGAAGGTGTTGATGGTGGGGGTGAGAAGAAGTTCGACTCGTTGTATTGGATGTTGCGGCGCCCTGCGGTTTGAGGTTTTGTGGAATATTGGGCGTCCAGTGGTCAACTGTACCCAGAGTTTGGGGTTTCGTGGTATATCGTATACGTTGCTGTTCGTTATAGATATGCATGTATACATAGACCTGTAATATGGGGTCCGTGATGGCATCGTCATAGGGGAATTGGTGATATCATGTATAGCAGACGCATCCTCTAGTAATGTCCTAGGACTTCCCAATGAGACATGATCATGCCTTTGGTATTTAGAGAAACGGGCACATTGACACCATATGCGAAGGCCAGCTGAGTGCAAGTTCTCGTTCGCGGTGGTGAGACAAATGATGTAAACAAGTTCAGTTCGCCTCTGCATTCGTGCGACCAGCTAAACCAGAATGACCGGGAACTGAAGCTTTAGTATATCATTGGTCATGACCGTTGACTCTTCTTGGCCCTTCTCATGCTCTTCGCATGAGGCCGCTGTGGAATGGCGGTTCGGATTCCGATCATCTCGCCACTTCTGTCGCAGAAACGCGGCACTTTGACAAAGTATGTCAGACCGCCATATGTCATAGATTTGTCCCAACCTTGTGCTGATAGCCCGCTGGTGGGCACACACGACAGCAGAGAGCCCCACCACAACCAGAGGCCAGCAAAGGATGTTGTTAGATGGTGCGTCAGGTGGTAAATGGCCCAAATGTTCGACAAACGTCAGGACAAGGGCCTGAATAGGTGGGCTGTGGTCTGACAAGGCGGTATCTAGGACCTTTTTGATATATATCAGACATGCCACGCGGTAGAGTTCGGATGTGATTGCATCGTTCAGCCAAGAGATATCCGTGTCTCTTCTAGTTGGAAGCTCAAGTTGCCAAGTGACCAATTGTTGCTCAAGCAGGGCAAGCTCCATCCGTGCCGGTGAGTCGTGAAACTGCCTCTCAGAGAGGACCTTCTCCGCCAACATAGATATCTGAAAGATGCACTTGAAGAGACGTTGCGAGGTGCCCATGACGTTCCCTTGTTGAAGATACTGCGTGACAATGGGGGAGCTGAAGATGGCGGATGCTTGACAAAGTGAAAGTTTGGAGCCATGGGAAAAGGCCACCAAGGAGAAATAGTAACAAAATAATTCGAACAAAAAACCCCGTAGTGCCAGGTCTTCGGGAGTGTAATGCAGGCGACGAAGCAGGAGCGCGGCGGCAGCGTTCAGATGAGGCACTATGCGCGTACTGTTCGTGAAGTTCTGGCACTGCTACCTTTAGCTTCGAAGTCATACCAATTAACGGGGAGCGAAGCAGCGGATGTGCCTTCGCTTTGGAGCATACCTCATGTAGACACAACAGAAGGACCGCCAAAGGTGTATAATCTAGTAAAGGTTAGAGCCCAGATGTAACTTTCATGGCAAGTCCCATCACTCACCGGATCCTGGTAGATTGTCTGCAGCCATAGTAGCCAGCTCCTCGTTCAGCGATCCCTGCAAAGCGGAAACAGCCTTCCCATAGTACTCTACTGCTACAGCTTGCACTTCGACATCGTCGCGGCAATATTTGGCCAGATCAGCCGAGGCTATCATAAGAACACAATTATGAACCTGTAGGTTTCCTGACACGGCTGGAAGCAGATATTTCAGAAATTCTGATCTGCGCGTCCCAGTTCTGGTTGATAACCACCTTGGGCTGTGATCTATGAAATGTGATAATAGTCGCTCCACCATCCCGGGCTTCGGGACGGCAAACACATTGAGCATTGCCTGTGCCTCATGTGGCAGTTGGGTCACTGCAAACTGTCGACGGCAACGTGACCGTCGTGTTCTAGGCACCAGCTCATTAGAAACCCACTCGCAGGCAAGCTGGTTTCTGTCGCATCCGCTGCATATAGGCTGCCGTTCGTCGCACTTTTTCTTACGGCGTCGGCACGTTAAGCAGCCTGTTCGAGATCGGGTCGAGACCTTGGCTATGGCAGGAACGAATAAGGTATCATCAATGCGGCAATTATCTCCCATATGGAATAGCTTGTTAAATCACACCGTGCGCGTACGATTGAACGGAAGATAAGATGGCGAAGATCTGACAAGCTCAGAGCTAGCGCTACAGAGCACCCGTGGCTCGGATGTATGGTAAACCAACCTATCCCGTTGAAATCAGCTTTGGATGACCGGTCTATTGGGCGGGTGGGAATGGATATGGGACCAAGATATGATCGAAGTGTCGCCATGTGGCTGCATTTCTACGGATATTTCTGTCCTGCCGAGAGCCGAAGCGCTATTCCTGATTAGGTAGAGGAGTGGGCCGGATCTGTGTCATGTTGATTGGTCCTTGTCGCTATGTTGTTTGTGCTTGTAGACTTCAATATGGAGAGCATACGAGTAGATACAGGTCTTCTAGTAAACTCTCTCCCGCAGAAATCTGTGTCGTCACGTCGGGAACATAGAGTTTAGCATCATGATGCCTTGCCAGGGGCACCTGGTCAGCAGAGGGCTCGCCTCGCCGATTAAGATCTCTGAAAACGACCGGCGTTGGTTAGGAGAGCACTTGACCTGGTTGGTAGTTGATACTAGTTTGCTCCCAGATCGGTCCTCTTCGTAGCGTGTGCTGCGGGGCAGGTCCAATGAAGAGCACTGCATATAGGCCCTGGACTCAAGAGTAATAGCCTTCACCTTTAATCCGTCCAGCCAATCAGTGTCTAGTGTAGGGGTGAACGAGGGGCAACTAAATTAGTTCCGTAGCCGGCATTTGGACAAAAGAACAAAGACGCTATCCCTGCCGAAGCCCGCTGGCGTAAATATAGCGTCAACTTCTACCTACCATGAAAGAATTGGCACCTGGACCCAGGACAGCGTCTCTACTCTGGTGGATCGACTCGACGCAGGCGGAATCACACATTATAGCCCAGCTCTCCCGGACTACCAGAAAGGAACCTCAGGATGGCAAAGGTATGTTGTCATTTCCCATCTAGATGAATCTACCTGCCCTATTCTCACTACCCAAAAGGTAACCGCAGGGCAAGATACTTTACGCCCAGGCCCCGGACGAACCCACCCGGATCGCCGAACAGACTTTGATCAGCTCGGTCTGTGTAACTACTTCCCTACCAGCTGACTGAGTAGACTGAGACCGCCATCACTCAAGACTACCTCCTCCCCGCGGTCTACGGAGTACCATGGTCAGTATGGCCTTTTCTGTCCTCAGTATGAGACAGAACTCCTGCCTTTTCTGTGGAAGCACGGGATCAAATTTGGCGCCAACTCCACCCTAGTCGGAGGTCTTATGACGAAGAAACTCACTTTCATCCTGGTGTCGGAGCAGGTAAAGGGAAGTCAGTTCGAGCAGGTAGAAAGCAACGTCGTCGGCTGTCTTTACCGCATGCGGTATGGCAGACGAGGCTATTTAAAGACCAGGTATAAGATAACTTGAACTTATTTAAACCCATCCTCAAGGATAACCATACGCGATATAAATACTTGCCTAACCCACTTGTCGAAGCTTGGGAAGGGACTAATCTATAGGGCGGACTAAATCTAGTTTACGGACAAAACTTGGAATTTTCAGATTTCTTACCGAAATCTCACCGTTTTATATTCAGCCACAGCTGCCACGCACTTCTAGTTCTAAATTCTAGTAAGGGCCAAGACCTTTAAATATACTATTATATAGTATATTTAGTATTAAGACAAGTTTAAGCTTGTGGTTTAATATTTATTAATAGTGGTAGTGGTAGTAGTAGACTGGTAGTTAAACTAGGCCGTAAGAGCCCTAATTTTAGGGATTATAGTACCTAAACCTAGGGACTATAGTATCTAGAGATAGCAATTTTAAAAAACAATAAGACTCCAGAATTAAAATTTAAAGCAGTAAATATTTCAGATTTAAACTAGTCAAAATTGTGAATAAGAAAGTTAGTATTATTAGTAGATAATCCAGTAGAGCTGAATAAATAGGTCTAATTGACTGATATATGATGCATTTGGCGTTGGTAAATTTGGCAAACGTGTATTTGGTCTGTAAGCTAGATTTAGTCCGCCGTAAGTCTAGCCATAACGGCCAACGGAATAGCCGCGATGGTGGAGCCTTGGGTGGAGTGATCCATGAGTTATGATACGAGAATATAAATCTGTCTAAAGATACTGTACATTAGTGGTATATATATTGGACTCAGCCTCAGCAGGGTGCCGATATGACCAGCCATGTTCGGAAAGTCGCTCCGTATTAACGGAACTACAGGCTATTAAGATATTCAATGTCCCAGGGTATCAATCGGACATAACTATGTACAAAAATTGAGTGAGCGGTAGGATTGAACAAAGGACGACTAAATCTTATCGATACGTATGAAAACGATGATGGAAAAATGATACTGAAGTAGTAATGAGGCTGGCCTGTGGGGGAGGAGATTTTAGTTCTGTACTGACGCCATCCCCTTCCGTTCACTTAGCTGAGATTGATCATTCTCTTTATCCGGCTGTAATGTCCAACGGCTATAGTCCCCAGGCCGCGTAGATCCGTTAGGAATATGGAACCGCTTGTCAAAGCGGCTAAAGGTTAAGAGACAGAGAATCATGATCTCCAACACGAAGTTGAACACGTAGAAGCATGCCTTGGAGTCATACCAGGGGGGGTTGGTTGCAGGCCGGGGAGGGGACCAATTGACGCCAGCTTTGAACCCGGCGATGAGAATACATAAGCACGACGAGAGAACGACAATTGCAACTTTGCTGGTCGCCCCCCCTTGCCCGAAGGACTCTTCCTGTCGAGACTTTGGTAGGATAAATGCGATCAGGACCTGTGCAAGAGGAATACAGGTAAAGACGAGGAGATAGGTGATCGCTGCCAGTTGGACGTCGCGACATTGAGACCGTGTATGCATATCCAGTGTGTACAACGATACCACTGTGGATGTGATTACCATCACCAAGGCCCCGAGAATTAAGACGTAAAGAAGCTTGGAACCTTGGCGCAGGATTGGGTGCCAGCCGATGTGAGGCTGCTTGCTGCGGAGGATACGCTGAGCAAGGATAAAGTTGATGATGTATACGAGGAGAACCCCCGCATTGACAAAGATATTGGCGGCAATAGCGAGTCGGACATTTCGTTGTCGATTGGCCCAGACTATACGTAGGACAAGGGTTGTGATTCTTGCCATGCAGAACCCAAATAGCATCCCAGACATCACGAACTTGTGGCCCCGCCGGCGATTTTTCTGAAAAAGGGTCATGTTGGTAGCAGCGAATGCGATATACAAGACGAGGAAGACTGCGCATATCGGGACGTCAGGTATTATGGTTGGAAGGCCTCCCATTCCCGCTGTTGTGGACGCATATGGTCCGCCGCGAATTTGCAACGACGACGACATTTTTGGAAGGGGTTTTCTCGAAGGTCTGATGGCAGATGGTGGTGGAATATCATTGCATTTTCACCGTTGTAGCGAAAGGAGACATTCATTTGCGCTACCTGCCTTTAGTACTATATAAAGCGCTTCGCCCATTGATGCTGCCCAATCAGGATCGTGATTCGGACGAATTAGGGTTCCGCGGACCAAAATATTCGTCCGTTCCGACACGCAACCCTCACTTGAAACTTCAGTCTACCCACCACCACCATATATTCTCGCCCACCTGTTCCTTAGTTCGACCCAAAATTTCGGAGGTCGGTCTTTCAGATGTCTCCGTCCGACATACCCCGCTCCGGTCTCCGGAAAGGAACGAAAAGCTGCACCGAGTGTAGGTTAGTTTTAAAACTCTACAAGACCACATGTCTGATCCCGCAAGACAGGCAGACGACGGAAAGTTCGCTGCATTCGGATTCCTCGAGAAGCGGATACATGCCAACAATGTGAGGATCGAGGGGTGGCCTGTACTGCACAGGTATCGAACAGGGCGCGATCATCGCAACCCTCACGACTCTCGTCACGACTCCGCATCGCTCAGCTCGAATCTCAGGTCGCCCACTTAACAGGAATTGTAAACAACATCGAGCTCAAGCTCGGCTATAAACCGTCTCAGATCCCTAGCGGTAAAGATGACCAATTCTCGGACCCCGACGGCTCCGAAGGAGAAAGTAGTGGGTCGGATATTCCCATGGCTGAAAAAGCATCACACCTGCAATCGCTCTTCCAGAATGACTGGCTGAGTGCTGATCCATGTCAGCATGAGAAGCAGGCGGAGCAACGCACGGATAGAATCTTTGCGCAATTGTCGATCGATGTACGGCCCAAACTCCAGAACATGATTCCACCAAAGGATGAGGTTGCGGATATTGCGGGATCCGCTTACGATTGGCTGACCGTTCTTCATGCACTATTTCCACAACCACTGATGCTGGAGTCTCCCCAAGAACTACTAAACGGCTACGAGTCAATGTGTAGTCCCAATATAGACGTCATCATACTAGCTTCTTGGCTTCTTACGCTTGCCCTTACCGCACAGCAAATACATCCAGGGCGGGAAGGTTCCGATGTATATCTGAGAAAGTGCCAGAGAAGGTTTGAATTTTGCCAATCAATCATACACATAGTTGACGATACACTGCTCTGCCATGATCGATTGGTGGGAACTATTCAAGGCCTTGGGATGGCTTTACATTTCATTAGACTGTGAGCGTTACCCCGCAAGAAGAAGGAACGAGAAAGAAAGCAAGTGCCTTTTGTGCCATCTCCTTATCTACATGATATCTCTTCATCCCGGGTACTGTTTGGCTTTTATTACATGCTAACGGCCAGAAGTCAAGTAGGTCAAGGGCACTTTCAAAAGGCCTGGATTAAATTACGCCACATTATCGCGATAGCAGAGTTGATGGGCTTACCCAGAGTATTCCAAGCAATGCGCCTCAACCAGCCTACCTACACGGATGACACATCAGTTCACAAAGTCCACTTATGGCAAGCAATCTGTAATATAGAACGGCTAAATGGCATGATACTAAATCTTCCCCCGGGGACCGCACGGTATCAACTTACAACAGCTTCCCCACTTAATGCCGATGGCAGCATCCACCTCACAACCTATCTCACCAGACTTTTGAACATTTCTATCAAGGTTTACGATTTGGACGAATTCAGTGCTCCACATGAATCCAGTATGAAAAGGCAGATGGCCGCTCTGGAGATGGCTCAAGCCCTTGGAGAACTCGCGGGCCAGGCACCAGATACATGGTGGGCTGGAGGTGAGCGAGATCACATAACACCAGATGATATAGTACAGTTTTTGCACTGCTGTGTCCTCATGAGAGTCTACCTACCATTGGCGCTGAAGCAGAACCTCGGAGATGAGCTCGTGTATGCTCGGCTACCGTGCATGAATGCCTGTGAAGCAGTGGCTCGCCGGTATCTAGTACTCCGGAGAAAGCTTCCCGCAGGCCTGTTCATGTCTCGAATATTGGATTTACAGGCTCTTACAGCAGCATCCGTACTCCTTCTCCTTTCCCACCACGTCCGCTCAACAGACCGTCATAGCCTCCGTGTCGATATAAGCCACCTCCACGGAGTAGTCTCGGACGTCATCACTTTGATTGGGGAAAGGGCGAGAGACCCAACCAATTCAGAGCTCGCAGTAGAGGCATATAATACCCTTCGTGCTTTAGACCAACTCCTTCATCAAGACGACCGCACTGGCGAGGTTGAAAGATTAACAATTACAGTGCCGTTGCTGGGGAAGATACATGTCCGACGTAACAACCGCTCAGCTCCGCAATCCAGGGTAACTAACCAGCCGTCGTCTCAGTTAGAGTCAAGTATGGGTCTTCAAAAGTGGATTTCTGCATCACATCCACTAGAGGGTCAATCCAGCCTCGGCACGAACGTGCCCGTAAACGAGACTGATCCAACTCCCGACGAATGGCGGTTGACTGATCTTTCCTGGTCAGTTGAAGGCAGCCTTGATAACCTACTCGAGGATGCTTTCTTGAACGAAAGTATTGGGCAATATGTACACATTTGAAGCGTTGGCGCCCTCGCTGCAGGCAATGACTCTTTTGTTCATGCGTCTGCTGTTCGGTATATGGTCTTCTTTGCGACTCTGCTGTGGAAGTGACTGCATTGGAAGGCAGACACCAAGTTACACATATCGCTATTTCTCTATTCGCTACAATCAGTCAATACGCCGTACATCCCCCGACTTCCATTGTTACTACACCAGAATAGCCATGGCATTGATCAAATGCTGATGTTGAAAGCCCGGGCTAGGAACAATATGCGAATGGACATTTATAAAATTCAACATTATTGCCAATAAACCCCGCAACAAAGTAATGATATAAGTACGGAGTACGGAGTAGAGGAGTGTCCTTTCCATATAACACGTAGGCTCGGTCGCCACCTTTCCTCTACTATTACCAAGTAGCTCTTAACGCAACAACCCAGTGGACGATAATTGGAAGGAACATATCCCGATGGGCCTTAACTTGGACGCCCAACAGCGCCGCTTTTCTTATAATCATTGATCATAAAATGTTGATCAGAAATAGTCCAGCGCATTGATCCATTGGACCAGAATTGTTGGGTATTGACCAGACCTTAAGGTCCTGTATACTGGCAGGAAGATGGATATAAATCTTCATTCTCGCGTTTTTCCTTTACATGGGTATACGTATAAAATCATTAACACGGTGTGTCTCGATTGTCCATATTCTATTCAGACTCTATGATATTAATAATCTTAAATAGACTTCACTACCAATCCAGAGCCAAGAAGACCTTTATGGAAAGCCCTTTCTTGCGTTCACCTCACCCTTGATATTAGGAACCTTTGCCCAACGACCGGGGCTAACTTAACAAAGAGACCATCTTTCCTCTTATTTTACATATTAAACGAAACGAAAGAATTCAAGGGAAATAGTTTGAACCCGATCCTTTGTAATTAACATAATCAAGCGACGAGCCGGGGTAACTGCTAGGCTAATATAGATATGCTGATGTCGTAGCGGGTCTTTTTCCATAGCATCTAAAGCTTTCCTATCTAACCCTTTCTCAACGTTCTTCCTCACCTTTTTTTTTTTTTTTCGTTTTCCATTTTTTCGATATCGCAAAATGTCTCGGGCATGGATTGTTATCATTACATATCTATCGACCTTTGGTTGCTACCCAAGGGTTGCGGATGGGGGAAACAAATATCCTCCCTCGAGAATGTAGTATTCATATCTTATACTCAAATATTGCTGAGCTACAAGCCTCTCCACCAGGTTCCCCACACGAATCTTCGGTAGCACGAAGGTCACATTTTTTGAACAGGAAATGCTACTACAACCCTAGGGGCAGTGTTAATACCAATGAGAGCAAAGGGCGACAGACAAACCTGAACTTGAACTTATGTCTTGGATGGGATACGACCACGGAGAGCCTCATCGCACAGTCAAACGGACAAGGGCTTACACGAGGAGGGTGCGGCAAATGCACGTATGATGATTACATCCCGTCACACACGGGGGTTCTGTCGCGTTGGTGCACGAACGTAGCTGAGACCTCTAAAGTTCGGGTAAGGTTTAGCACTATCAAGGCTGCTGAGAAAAGGTTTCACATAAGTTCCAGGAATTGAAAAAAAAAAAAAAAAAAAAAAAAGGCAACCCATGCTCTAACTTCATGTCTCCATAGCCCCACTGTTGCGGACTGAAGAAGGATATCTGTATTGCTATCAGCATCGATCGAAAAAAAGCGCTCCAGGTAATCTCAACGCTTAGCTGTCAACACCACCCGGCCACCGATTGGAATCCCTAGCCTTATGCCAAAGGTTTCCACGTATTCCACCTTTCTATCCAGTGCACGGTCTACGATAACGGGGCGGGCGCCCGAACTGCCTTTGACTAGCGAATTCGCCCAAAAAGTTGTTGTGGTCTATATTTTTGAGATAGCCCCTGTTGTACTATTTTCTTGATCATTTGATAGTGAATCTAAACATGTGTAGACAGAATATCTACACCGTTGTCCTTCGAACATGACCATTGAAGGCCAGGTGGCGAGGATCCCAGTTTGGAGGAACTTCCTTGAAGAATATTGCTAGATTCCTGCTTTTCTTTTCAGCGTAATGTATAGAACCTATAATATCTGCCTTTACTATTAGTGATAATAGTTTCTTACGATGGGTAAACGAGGCCTTGTGCCGGCTTACTGGTGCAACATGTCTATCTAGTTTATCGATTGTACAAATCCGACATCAATCCCCTTCGTCTTTCCCCTGCCAACATTATTCTTAACATGTCAACAAACTTCCTATTAGGCAAGAAGATGTAGATAGACAGCAGTAAACGAGAAAAGGCGAAGGATAACAGCAAATAGCAAATGATATAGAGAAGCTCTTAGCACGTAACGCACGATGCCTAACAGACACTTGAGGCTGATTGAGTCAATGCTACCCTTGTGTCTGTTATAGTACATACATTCTATGGGAATGAAGGGGTTCTACCAAGCTAGGCGCGGTCAATAGCATATTCTTCACAGGAATCATTAGTACAAACTCCGTTGAAGAAAGACAACCAACAGAAGTCTGAGCACATCAAGAGCTTCAAGAACAGTATTGTCATGTTGCCAGGCTTCCGCTCTCTAAATTCCAGTACGCGGTTATACTCTTGTATGTATCCCAGCCGTCCATCCTGGAATTCCCGTCAATTAGATATTCTGCACACTCGGGCTTCCTGGTCGAGAACCACCTCCGAGGCCATTTAGACTTCCTGGTTGAGAGCCAGTTCCAAAGCATATTGCCTCCGCAGCCAGACGTCCGGAAAGAGGTTTGGTTTTGTCAGTTTCGGTGGTAATAATGATGTAGCAGTCATCTCCCTGGTATCGGCACTACTACGGTTAGTATCAATGTATCAAGATGATTTCTAGCCGTTTTCGTACCCTAGTGGCAGGCCGGCATACGACATCCCAATTATTTGGTCCTGTGTTGGGATTTCGGTCCGAAGCGACACATGAATGTCTCGGAGGATGTCCTTTCAAACTTTTAATCTTACATTTCTTTATGCAAGTCAGTCTCACGATTAGTGGTCGTCTTGTGGCTTGTGGCTGGAGTGACTAACACCTGGATACTGCTTTTTCTTCTTGGTGAATTGTTGATAGTCTTCAAGCTTTTGTGGTGGTCCCACCCCTTCTACCGGTGGTTCTAGGGGCTTGACTGCTTGGGGCTGTAATCCTCCTTGAGCTGACGGACTCCCTTGGACCGACTGGCCACCTGACGGAGGAGCGGCTCCCGCGAGGTTGGCGGAAAGGAAGGCCAGAATACACGCAGATACAATGGCGCTCTTCATCCCGAAATAAGCTCGAGCAGGTGAGGTGCAACAAAAGGGAAAGGTCAGGAGAAGTGGGCTACGGTTCTATATAGACATTCAGTAGGACAATCGCCTTTGACTTTTGAAAAATCCCTCTCCTAAAAAGAAGCACGACAGGTAGGAATATTAAAGTTTCTTGAATCGTACTGGGCGCATTAGGGTTCTGCTATATTCTCTCTCTTTGTACCTATCTTTGTGGCTTCTTTGTTACGCAGTATTTTGCAACGGCATAATAAAATAGATATGGGTGCCAGTAGCCGAGTATGAACCGTCAAGACATGGGGAATGGTAATGGGTATGGACACAAAGGCGTGGAATCCACCGAGATGCTATACGATGCTTGCCCGGCTCGAAGTGTGATACCCACCGTGATTATCTTGATTATCCCTGGAGCTTTGTCTGCGGAAGGCCAGCTCGACCAGGCTTGACTTATTCATTGTACTATTCATATCCTCGGGCACACCTTATACTTACCAATGACTAGGAGATTCACGCTCCGTCAGCTAATTTTCTATCTAGATCTACCGGTGTCGAGTGAAACAACCGGTACTCCTACTTTCCCCGGTTCTCAGTGGCATCGCTTGTGCCGAACATAGAACTCTAGCATAGAATACATCTAACTAGACGACGAGAAATCTGCCGCAATAAGTACCTATACTCCAAACCGTAGTGCGAACTGGTAGTCAAGGAATCCACCCAGAATCGGGCGCCCGGACTCTCATGATCCAGGGTGTTACAGGCTACGGAGTATTTTGTGCAGATATCCGAGCCTAGTAGAAATGCTTGATGAAAAAGTAAAAGTAGACGTAATTGAATACATTATTCCCACGAGAGCTGCCCTTCAAACCACCATTTCCGTGGTCACAGGAACGCGGATATTCGAGAACTTGGAAGTGGGACGTGAAATGGAGAGGGATAAAGATAGATAAGCAAAAAAAGACAACCGTCCCAGGTGAGGATCGAACTCACAACCTCCTGATTAACAGTCAGACGCGCTAACCAGTTGCGCCACCGAGACGAATCGTTGAAAAGCGCTGGGCTGCCTTGGCTTATGAGCCAAAAGAAGATTTGTATAGATCGTATACTTCGAATCACAATTTTTGTCCGCTTCCGCAACATCGTATCTGTACAACAATTCCAATTCACCAATATATTACGCACTATATCCACAACGGAAGGCATTGATCTCTTAGAAAAAGAGTAGATCCACATTCTTTCCCTGAATTTGATCTGGATAGAACAATCATTTCTTCAGTACCCTATCTCGATAATACGTAGGATAGAAAGAGTGAAAGATAAAAATATATAAAATAACCTCTACGACCTGTTTTACAGCTTGGATGGAGAACTTCGAAAGATATTCCCCTTGCCTATTCCAACGATGATTAGTCTTAACGGGCGCCAGTAAGGGAGATACAATAGAGACAAAGCAAGGCTAGCCATCGAATAGAATCCACAGAAATAGTAGGGCTTATGTATATGGTCTCACCAAACAAGATGGGAGTATATTGCTGGTCGTCTGAATAAGCAAGAAGTAATGTCACTTTGTGGGTCTGAGAGATCGTTGTAACTAAAACCTAGAAAGCAGGACTATAACACTGGGCACAGCCGTCAGAGTACTTGCCGTTGGATCTGTAATATTTCTCCCCCATGCTTCCCCAGAGCTAGCTGCAAGGGCAATCGCCCCTGGTGTTGTACATACCAGCCCAATCAAACCAACAATCAACCGGACATGTCGCACCGTCCGATCGGTGATATCGAACAGGATAATGAGTCTATTGAGCTGTCCAGACAGAATGCTCATATCCACCACGGCGCCTGTGCTCTGCGGACCATGTAGCGACAGTCCAGTTCCTTCATCAGCCATGGCTAGGGCAGGGAAATCGTTCAAGCCGTCGCCGATCATTGCCACCCTGAATCCATGACCATTCAATTGAGACATTGCCTTAGCCTTCTGAGATGGAGCGGCCGCAGACTGAAGGATGTCAATTTCGCCCAACTCTTTGTAGACGCTTTGGGCTCCGTGTATATACTGGCACTTACTGCTTTATAGGTAATCCTAATATCTTCACAGTATTACCAGATAAGCAAGCCGCTAAGGGGACTTGACTAAGTTTGTACGTCTGCCTATATTCGGGCGCCTTCCATGAGAATCGTGCCGCGGAACGTATTCCCATATTGAATACATTGTACTGCTAAAGCATGTTGCCAACCGAGTTGGGAAAACCTAGCCGTCAGGACCACATATGATGGCTGGGTGTATTTTATATCCCGATTTTGAGATATGACTTTCATCTCCACTGACCACGATTTGGATAAACCTCATTCTGGTAGTGTGGTTGAGAGATCACTCTTTGGAAGCGTCGCGTGTGTTGTCACATCCTCAAGCCTTAAGTATATATATATGTTCAAGAGCCATCAATTAATTTTACGCACGTGAAACAAATAGACTATAGGTGATACACCAGGTACGGAGGTAGAATTGATATAACCTCCAGACAAGGGCAACAATGCATTATATCTCTGACACCAGTATATCCCCATTACCGCCAATCTCATAAATGAACTAGGCTACACCTGGCATTCCAGAGAGCGGACAACCACAGTTGGTAAGTTGAGAACAGAAATATTGCTAAATATATATTTCCCTTGCTAGCCATTATGATATGTCTCTCCCTCTGTAGCGATATCACCCTGGTATCCCACCTTTCGCACTACCTCGCCTGGAGAAAAAGCCTTATTGTATGTCTTAAACAGGGCAATAATAACAGAGGGGATAAAATTGTAGAAAAATGTATACTTTGCGGATAGGGCCTCCAGGTTTTGCAAAACATATATTTAAGGCCCCAAAACTAATCGAATATCTATCTAAATATGATTGATATTCAGCTCTAGTTTTAGTACTTTGTACGGAATGTTTCTTCTTTCATTTACCCTGAGCCTTAATCAGGTCCGTCCTGCGTTCCTTCTCCGGAGTTAGCTCGGTGGAGAGGCCCACGCTGGAGGAATCAATAGGGCCATAGGCCCTGGTATGGTTGCATTGGCCCCTGGGACCCACCGTCTAACTAACCAATGATCAAGGTATGAAGATGGACTAAGATTACGATCCCCGCTGTCAATATGTAACACGCTATCTTATCTAGGGCAATCGCAATCTGTCCGGCCCATTTACTAAACGGCTAGGGCTTTCTTGGCAGAACTGGGAAATGAGGTCGGTCCCTCCGCACCCTCCCACGAGGTTCCAATTTTTTGACAGTCTGGCCGAAACTCACGGCCTGGGGAATTTGTTGAGGATTTGACATGGGTTTTAGTCTTTGCATTCTGTTCCGATAATCATAGCATGACCCCGGGACAATGTCATCCCTCTTCTTACGACGCACCCGCCAGCGACTCAAATCAGTCATCGCTGCCTCCGTTATTCTAGCTACCATCACGGTTTTTCTTCTCTCGAGAACCAATTCTCCTCAGGCGCACGTTGAAACCGTCACTTTTCCTTCGTCTTCAGGACCCGGCGTTGTCGCGAATAATGATAAGAACTCCAGCAACTGTTATGTGGACCTGGAACTCCTAAGATCACACGGATACAACTCTTCCGCAGAGTACAGACGATGGGAGATCGCAGTACGGCGTTCACAGAGTCACAATAACATTTCCGATACTCTAAATGTCCCCGTGCCAAAGTTTGAAATACTCGACCTAGACACCGACGATGATCGGATCTATCTCCCGGAAACCCAATGTGTTCCAACCGCCACGATCGAAGCCCCCGCGCCGAAAGCACGAGCGGACGCATCGCATATGATGTTCGGTGTTTCGACCTCCCTCGAGCGACTGAGTGACTCGCTAGGCCCATTCGCACACTGGGCGGGAGGAACAGGGGCCCGGATCTTCGCCATGGTCGACGTTGTGCCCCAGAAGGAAAAGTTGAAGGTTCTGAATCGGGCTCAGGAACTGGACATCAAGCTGACCATCATCGAGTCGAAGGAAGAATGGCTGGACCGATACTTCCGCTTGACCAAGGTACTCTGGGAGAATCGCGATGCCCATACACAGTGGGCGGTCATCATCGATGATGATACCTTTTTCCCGTCCATGTCGAACCTCGTCGAGAGACTCGCTACCTATGACGCTACCAAGCCGTATTACATCGGTGCCCCGACCGAGAACTGGGGACAGATGAATATCTTTTCTTTTATGGCGTACGGAGGTGCGGGAATATTTCTTTCTATCCCCTTGCTTCAGCAGATGAATGAGGTCTACAACGTATGTTACGCGTTCAAAGATCACGGTGATAAGCGGATCTCTCAGTGCATCTATCAACATACCACGACCAAACTCACCTGGGAGCGAGGACTTTTCCAGGTGGACTTTGGGGGCGACGTGACTGGCTTCTTTGAATCTGGCCGGCCGTTGCCACTTTCCATACACCATTGGAAGTCCTGGTATGATGTGGACGTGGTTGCTCTCGGTAGGGCAGCTGCCGTCTGCGGCGACGACTGTCAGCTTCGGCGGTGGCGCATATCGGATCGATGGTATTTTATCAATGGGTTCTCTCTTGTTCAATATTCCTCGCCTATGAACGATATGCTCGGTATGGAGCAGACGTGGGATCCCAGTGATTGGGCTCGTGAGCAGGGCTACGCATTCAGTTTAGGACCGTTGCGCCCAAAGGATGAAAAGAAGGTGTCTTTCCGTATGAAGAGCGCCGTCCTCGAAGGACAGAGACTCCGGCAGATTTATGTCCACGAGCCAGACTCAGGGAGCCCTCGGATATTGGAGGTTGTTTGGAGTGTGACGGACGAGTAGGTGGGTTCTTTGGTTCTTTCATCATTTTCTCATGACGTTTCTTCTTGCATACTCTGCTGTAGGTATGTTGTACTTATTTATTGGACCGACATAGAGCCGTGGTCATTATAGGATGAATTCTCTCTTAATTGTACAGACAACATTGTATTTCATGTGAACTTACAATTAGGTGGCGGGCTTCTCTATAGGTTTCCAACATGAAGGTCATGAGTATCCGACACAGCATGTAATGGGACGTACGGGAAGCAGACAGTAGTGAGCATGCTAGAAAGCTCCCAGAATATCAAGCATGGCACTGATACCTTCAAGGAAACCCTGTTGTTCATGCCGACAATTTATTGTGATGCCCATCGAAACATAGAGGTACCATGGGGGTAATCCATCGGTAACAAGATAGATTACTGAAATACACATGTCATTCCATTTCTTTTTTCGTGGGATCTTCGCGTAATGGAGTGTATATATTACTGTAATTTGATTGTCTTGGCAGTCGCAACTCGCGCGTCTGTCAGGTAACTTCAAGTTTGTTGCCCTTCCATTTGCATAGAAGCGTTATTGCCACTCACATCTTCTACTATTACACAGTGGCATACACCTTATATCGCTGTAGCCAGGGCGAAGCTCCTGCGTACAGTTCTCTTGTTCGAACATGAACCAACGAAGCACATGACCGGCCGGTCCGATAAGTGTACCATTTTGGGTGGGTATATACAGGGATCACGGCAGCAAAAGCCAATGAACGGTACATATTCCATTGGCCCTGCCAGGCTGAAGCACCAGTGTGTCGCCGATCGGCGGCTAAGAACCGAAAAAAGACTGACAGTGCTGAGGGCCAAGAGACTAATGCGTGGATCGAAATCGAACTTGAGCCCTAGCGTGACATCCGGACTGATGTCATTGGTCGTTCACCTTTGGTCCATGCTCACCTCCCCTGCGTTTAGGGAAGGGAATATGAAGCTAAGAGCAATTAAAGGGACAAAAGACCCCCATGTTCATTGTTCGTTGTAGCCGCGGGCGCCAGCCCGGCCGCATCCATTCTGGTTTCTCTCTTCCATTCTCCCACGTCCTGGTGTGGGAAACGTTCACACAATGCATACCTTCACTAGCCGGAGACTAATCGCCGCTTTGTTACTTGTTTGTATTGTGCTGTGGTTTTCATGCTTTAGAAATGGTGACGGCTCCTGGATTGGTGCCTCCACGACGACTCCAACCGACTCCGATGCGTTGCTTGACAGCAGGATCAGAAACTCTACCCTAGGGGTACGTCTACCATCATCTTCGCGCGTCCCACTGGAGAAGACTAACAGATGTCATTATTTAGTTCCAGAAGATTTTCGCAATCGGTTTCAAGGAGCGCACCGATAAGCATGATGCGATCACATTGGCGGCATCCTATACCGGGCTGGAAGTAGACTGGCTTGAAGGTGTCCGAGCCGCCAATATCCCTCCGAAAGCATATCCAGCTGTTCGTCCACCTTGAATCTGTCCTCCACTTTACCTCCCTGACAAGTGACTAGGCATGGACGGAGGAGAAACATCGTGATAAACCGGCTGAGCTCGGAAGCTGGCGCGCGCATATGAATGCTCTACGGCAGTATGTGATCGTTTGGTGAAATGAATAGCGGGCTTCGCACTAACGCAGCCATCGGGTGTCAATAGTATCGTGGAGAAGAAGATCAGCAGCGCTGTCCTTATGGAAGACGATTCCGACTGGGATGTGAACATCAAGGCCCAAATGGTCGAATTTGCTCGGGGCACTAGGGCGCTTCAGGGAACGGATGGTGTTCCCTTCTCCCCGTACGGCGATAGCTGGGATATGCTATGGCTAGGGCACTGTGGTATAAATTTGCGAGGAGACCCAAAGTTCTATGTGATTCCGAACGATTTGACTGTTACACCGCGACCCCACCAAAACGAGTTTGTTCGTCCTGGACTGGCAGAGGACCCTAGTTTCGAGAACCACCGCCTTATATTCCATGCGGATAATGCGATCTGTTCATGGGCTATGGCATTTACCTACGAAGGCGCCCGCAAGGCACTCACTGCGTTATCATACGTCGGGATCGATGAGCCGGTTGATCTAGGCTACAACTTCCTTTGCACTAATATTCTGCACGTTCCGTATGCATGTTTGTCGTCGCATCCTAGTATCATGGGGACCTGGGCGCAACGTGGTCCGGCTTCGCGGGACTCAGATATTACTGACGGCGACGATACATGGCACGAAGCCAGCTCGCGGTCTCTCACCTATAGCACTATGCTGAACATTCTACCGCTTGCCAATAATAAGACCACAATATCCGCGACGTGGGACGATGTCCCAGCGCCGAAAATTGATATTGCGACGTTTAAGATACCCAGTGGTTATTTGTACACCCCCCATCCTGCATGAATGTTCATCATGTTTGCACCTTGAATTTCCCTATTTATTTTTTTTATCTTATTTAGATATTATTTCTAAGTATGTACTGGACTGATGTGATGTGATAACTCGTTGCAGTAATGACAATACCTTGATAGATCAACTCAGAATTTGTTTCCAGAACACCACCGGAAGCGCTGAACTTAGATTCTGGCCATGCCCTGTGATCTCTGGTTCTCTATGGACAACAGATCTAACCTTGAGCATAGCACTGTTTAATAAAGTAGGGAGAAGGGCCGTCGAGCCCTTCTAGACGATCATCGCTCAGATAATTTTTGTTCCGTTCTATATGTTTCCTCTCTGGGTCTCTCCAATTTAGATCAAAGGGACGAAGACAAAGAAGTGATATATCTGGCAGCAGGGAACCATAGACCCTAATGACTTCACCGGTGTCGAGGAATTCGTACAGCTTCGTACTCTATGGAAGCTTCATGTAAGCCCGCATGCCGTTTCCTCAACTCAGCCTTTGTTGCTTCTCTATTTCCTCAGAGGATGAGCTATGAAATATAGAGCAGTGTTAGCCCATGATTAGAACCCAAAAAATAAAAAATAAATAAAAAAAAAAAAAAAAAAAAAAAGACAGAGAGAGAGAGAGAGAAGAAAAGAAAAGAAACGAAAGAAAGCAAGCACTTCAGAGCCTGCAATAAGCGAGATGGTAATACCATTGCACATACTGCGAGTGCTCTATGTCACCGAGGATCAGGTTATGGGCTTGGCTGGTGTATCTCTGGTTCGTGGTTGCCCTTGATAATGACATGTCAAGAGTTCGTACGGCCGGAGTGGTAGTGGTAGTTCAGTTGGTATACGGGCACCCATCGTGTCCCCAATCCGTGGCTATTAAAGCAGGCGTCGAATGATGGAAATCTTGGCGAGGCAAGCAGAGACACGCTAGCCAAACATGGTCATCCTCAGATACTAGGTCTGATCAACGCAAGACGGCGCGGAATCGTCGTTAGGGCATGGGGCTAGCGTTAGTATAGTCCTAGGCGGATGTCCTATGCCCTGATGAAGTCCCTTTCGCAAGGCTATAGAGTTCATATCATATGAATATTGTTTTGCGTTTTCCTTACGCCCTGGCACTGAATCGCTCATTAGCTGGCAGAATATCATCCACTAGTAGAAAACCAATGAAGAACGACCTTCCCTGGCGGTTGGGGAAAAAACCTCAGACAAAGGAAAAATAAAGCCACTGACTAGCACAATTCGTATATCGACCCACCTCATCTTTCATCCTTAAAAAGTCTCATGGCCAGTCTTCCAAACCTGGCTATAGATATTTCCCGTTTCGAGTTCCACAAGCCATTAACGCCACAGTTTCTCAACCATACACACACATATATATGCCCAATTGCCGAAAGTAGGAAGCCGTTGGGGTCGTGCGAAGCAATTTGGAGCGACTGAATCGTATAAAGTGACAACGATCTTTGATCTGGAATATTTCATTTTCACAACTCTCGATGTCGACATACTGATAACCTGCCTAATCTGAAGCGTCATATCGGCTTGCGCTGGTTCTTTGACTCACCGAACGTAGGGCATCGCTATTGCTTCTTCCCTTTCTTCTCATTCAAAATGGTTGCCAATTCTTATCAATCCACACGAAACGCACTCTTGATCGCAGAGATCGTCGCACTGATCATTGAAAATGTTGACACCGCCTCAGACCTTTTGGCCTGTGCCCGCGTGAATAGTATGTGGATGATACCGGCTTTGAAGAAACTATATCGGGGCTCCCTGAGCGACATGCAATTCCGTACGCCTGGCATTGCATTACTCAATAGTCTCTTTGTAGCATCACGCCAGCGCTTTGTCCGGAATATGAGCTTTGTGAAGCATCTTCTCGTTGCTCCAGAGCAGCCAGCATATACTAATTGCGGAGGCTCATGTGGTAGGCCTAGGTGCTTTGAGAAACCCCGCTTGATGCGCTATCGCCATCGGTGGGAGCTTTTTCTGCGGGCACAGCCAAGAGGACCCACAAGCATCATGATCCCGTTTGAGCTTGTGGGTCATCATTTAGAGTACATCTCGGACTACCTTGGTCAAGAATCCGTCGAATTTTTGGCCATTAATAACCATGACTGTACGCACATAGTATGCTACCCCAAAGTGGGCCGCCCCGATGTGAGTCCTGTCCGATTCATGACTGTAGTATATGAGAAACTTGTCTAAACCCCACAGGAGCAATTTCCAAACCTCAAAGCCCTCACAGTTTATGTGTCGGAAGAGGACCCTGCAATAGGTGGTCTCTGTCGATTGCTTATGATCCGTGACTTGGAGTTTGTCCACGTCGAAGAATGGGATGGCCGTGAACGTAACGATATCGCGAGGGAAATCATGCCACACCTCGAAAAACAAAAAAACCTCAAAGCGTTGGCACTAAATACCAACGGTTCTGACAGCCCCCCAGTAGGAGAGGAAGGAGAATCCCTATGGCCAAAACTAAAATCGTTGTACATTCGGCGTGTGAACGAAGATTGGTTCGTGCAATTACCTAAATTCAAGGAGCTGGAACTCCTCATGCTGCTGCCGCATTACAACATCAGTATATTTAGCAGCAGCATCCTAGCCGAAGCGGTCGCGAAATGCAAGAATCTACGGTCCATTTATATCCCAACCCTCCGCCTTGGCAGTGTTAATGATGTTGATCAGAACATACACCTCTTGCTGGATGTCGCGCGTGGCTGCCCGCTTTTACAAAAGCTTTACGTGGCGGACTTTGGGAACATGGAGGTGAGGGAACCCTTCTTATTGGACCTAGTGAAAGCTCTTCCTCGCTTGGAATTCCTGAAACTTGGTTTGGTGTCCCGCGTGTATGGTACAGAGCTCCAAGATATTGCACGCCACTGCCCACGCCTGACCTTCCTTGAGCTGGTTGGCGCGAAATTATACATCTCTCTAACGCAGATGACGCGAACACTTCCATTGCACCACCTGGAAATCATGTGCTTTGAGAAGATATTCTTCAAGAGACCACTGCACATCGGGCGAGGGGCCAAATTCCAGACTCTTGTTACTGAGTGGAGCAGGATATTCCCGAAGCTTCAAATGAAGCCGTGTGTGAATGAATGGGAGATCGCTCCCGTCATGATGGAGAGATTAGATGGAGGGGGAACCATCTGGGAGAGTAGCGAGGAGGAGCCATTGTTTCCAGATACTGATGACGAAGAAGCCGATTATGAGTGGAGATGGGTAAACTCGAAGCTGTGGGAAGCTTTGAAGTATGGGGAATACAATGAGTATACTGTTAAAAAGCGCCAATATTTGTGGGACATTAATCTGCAAATCGAGACGATTGGTTGGCCTATGATCCCTTCAGCGGCATTTATCGATCCAAATTTGTACTCTACGTGATCGCTTGTGGAGGGGCAGCAGGATAGGGTTCTCCCGGCTTTCTTTCCCATGCGCTCAAGGCAAGGCTAGCGCTTGCCACCACACAAGGCCGAAACGTCCGGATCTATACCTGTCCTTGTGTTTATGGGCGCCCGAGAAAAAAAAACTAATCAAGTTTATTGGCCGCCAATTGTAATGAATAACTTGCCAAAGTCACTACACGATATCTCGCTTGGGTTGTTCATAGCTATGAGAAGAGAGGTGGGAGACCTATTACGTAGTATTCATTCGGACACGTCTGCTAGACAGCACACAGACCCGAATGAAGCTTGCACTCGTCCTGTATGCAGTACATGAATGATAAATACGGTGAGGCTAAAGATGTCTATTGACAGCTTTTGGTCTGTATGGATAGGCACTTAAGAGAAATATGGGTAACACGGGAGTAATCCATGACGGGCCCTCTATACTAAAGTATGTCGTACGTAAGAGACAAAGCTGGCACTCGCATTCTTGAAGCAAAGCAGACAGACTCGGCAGGCTAAACGAAAAGAGAAAATAGAGACCCAGAATAGGCAGAAAAGAAACAGCATTACAAAATAAAAGATAGAGAAGATATATCATTAACAACCATATGTGTCCATGATAGCCCTGAATGAAGGGTCCTGCAGAAGTTGTGTTGCGGTAGGACGTTTCTCTGGGCAGTAAGTAAATACTCTGGACATAAGGGAGTGTACATGTTCCCGCTCAGCGGGATCAGCGTCGGGGCGGTAACGTGCAATTGTTGATGCGAGACTAAACTCTGGATCTGGCGGTTGACTCTGATCATACCAAGAGTCAAGGCCTCCGGGATGAGTGTAAAGGCCCATCCACTGCTCAGGGAATGGACCTAAACACCTGATAAGATAGTTCCAGCTACGAAAAGGCGGAAAACGAAGGTAAAGTACTCCGAAGATGACCATGTAGCTCCACATATCGCAGGCAAAGCTTGGATCTTTCTTGTGAAGTCTCTCTGGGGAACAAAACTGCACAGGCGGATAGCCGCGTGGAATCGTGGGGTCGCCAAGTTTCATGGCCAGACCAAAGTCACTGAGATAGAATTCCTCTGTGCGTAAATTGTCAGGGACCTCAACAGGACGAACAAGTTCTCCCTGCTTCCAGAGATCGACATGTGGTATGATTTGTCTTAATGGTCGACCGAGTACCTCGTACTTAGCACTTCTGGTGAGATTGTGGAGTGGAGCCATCCCCCACATACAGTTCCTCTCATTCAAATCTATCGAACAATAGTCAGAATACAGACCAACAGGAAAGAGACTGGGAGACAGAGTTTGCTCACCACGGTGTACAATTCCAGCTTTGTGTAAACTTTCCACGGCCTCTAACAATTGCCGGGCAGCGTACATACGAGTAGCCATGGGCATGTTTCTGAGGATGTGAGAGTTAAGGCATGGACCCATTAGTGGAAACACTAGGGCCCTATGATGACACCCGTTTCCAGGCAGGAGAAAGGTGTCCAAATATGTCACAAGGTGAGAGGTATCCTGCACATTCTGAATGATTTCGTTCTGCATGTGGAATTCATTGTCTGTCCACTCTCCGGTAGCCATGACTTTGAGAGCTACATCTCTCTTATCTTGAAGGTCGTGGGCCATCCAGACCGTGGAGCCACCGCCCGAGCCCATTTTATTCTCTACCAAGTATCTCCCATTGAGAAGTTCTCCAAGACAAATGGGATAAAAGACATGTGAGGTTTCTTTTATATCGTACTTATGCCAGGGCTCGACAACCTCTTCGAGGTCCAGTTCCTCATCTTCATTGCGCACAAAGTCACCGAATTCTGCTGTGTCATCATCCTTGCAGCATCGGGGCGCTGCCGCCGTTATCGTCATACCTGGTACGTCAATCGAGAGCTTTTTGCTGCCAGTTATCCTTGGCGAGCATGTATCGATATCGGAGGGGGTGATAGTGAAGTTATTTAGGGTGCAAGATTGGTCTGTCATAGAAGGCCGCACCAACCTACGGCTAGTCGGGGAGGGGATAGAGTACAACGAGAAAAGATTGATAATGGGAGGGAAGTTCTATCCCAAAGTTACATATATACTCCGTACTATACTGGTATTAATATTTTGTTGTGTCCGAATTTATGGAGTACGTGAAAGAAAGAGTGGTGGAGAAAGAAAAACAGCCCGTTTTCAGTTGGCCAAGAGAAGAATGGAATATATTACGGAAATACATATGTAATTTTATGATTCAATGATAAAGCCGGCCATAGTACGGTATATAATACTGTAATGCGATTTTCTTGGCGGGTCGAAACCGAACCGCACGGTTATTCGGTCAGGTGACCTTGAGCTTCGTTCCATGTCGTAGGGTGATTACTAAACACCACCATTTCCCATGTTGTATTAGACCTATGAGGATCGGTATTCGATCATAGGTTCAAAACATAGAGCGAGGGTTCCCTTGTTGCCTCGATACGGACGGATCCTTTTATTATTAGCCTCTAACAATCATTCCTAAGCGCCGACCCGTTTCTCTAGTACTTGGGCATGCTTCTGACGCCGATCTGTTTACGATTTTGCAGGGCTATCAGATCGATTGGGGGATGGCCTCCCGAGTTGCAACAGTTTTGACATGCTAAGGCAGCTAGACAATAAAAATTGACCGGGGGCAAACTTGAAAAAGTCTCAATAGGCGCCCGCGAATACAGCACGAACTGGAACGGGCGCCTTGGGCGACGCTCGTCATCCGGTACCCCGTCAAAATTCACATGCATGCTATCTTCAGAGGGCTATGCGCAAGTAAAATTCGGCCAGGAGGAGGGAATCTACGCTCTTCGACTAAGTATAGGGTTCTGATCAAGACCCGAGGCAAGCCAAATGCTTGCAGGACAACCATGTGCTACTCATTGATCGTAGTAGCAGGGCGGCATGTGAAACAATTTGCACAAAGGAAATGCCATCTTCTGCCAATCAACCACAATATATGCAATAGAAATACACCAGTACTACCCCGGTTGAAGGCTTGGAGAATATAAGGCTTTGTATGGATGGCTTCCCGTTCACCCTTCGGCTCCTGAAGGACTAGAACATACTGCATGATTTGCCTAACTGCTGATTTTGAGGGAGAGCAGAGGCGTCTCTCAACCCTTCACCCCTGGCTGGTTCAATCGAACATATAATACTTATCCTTCCTCCTTATCAGGATCAATCTAATTTTGTTTACAGAGATCTCCAAAATGTTTACTGCGAGCAATTCAGCGCTACCTTCCCCCTATCCAGCCTTACAATTCACTTCTAGCATTCAGCCCTCTGAAAAAGTCTCTTCCTTTCTCAGTCCGCTTCTGCTAGTCTTCTAGAACATCCCTCATCATGTCCTTTCCCGATTATCTCCCCGCAGATTCCTACAGCGGCACAGTTGATGACATCTTTATCACACATGGCCCCAATGCACAGACAAACCTTCCTGAGAATGCTTTGGAGTTCAGTGTGGAGCAGCCTGCCCTAAAAGCTGTCACTGAGCAGAATTGCCATTGTAATTGACATGAAGTTTACATAGTAATAATTAGTATAACGCTGTCTCAACTTTTCTGAGAACAATCGAAGATGTTTAGCACTGCAATATTCTCGTAAGCTACAACCGAAGGGATGTACAGTTCACAGATATTTCGTTAGCAGGCCGTGGGAACACAGCGTATAAATGCCAAAAACGGTGATTCTGGAGGAGCCCTAAGGCGCAACCCCGAATCCTCTCCCTGCCTCTGACTCTCCAGAGAGGACACTGGAGTGTTGTCACGCTAATGAGGCTGGGGTCAGTATTTCCGAAACATCGCTGCACACATCAGACTAATCACTGAGACAGAAATGTGTGGATGGTACTTGGGGAACCCCATCTTGTGGAGTTGGACGTGAGTAATGCCCATTCCTTGCACTAAATCCTCGTACATCAAATGCTGAGAGTAGTATGCAGAATGAAAAATCCTCGGATACAACTGCTATGGCGGCTGCCGTAGCAGATAGGCTGTTCCAGAACCTGTCGCTTTTGATGACTGGGGTCATTAATGTCTGTTCGGTCTTTACTGTCAGGGCTGTTGTTAGATACATCTATGCCATACTGCTTTGTCTTCCGCTAAGAGCGGTTGCCTTCTCATGGCCTATGGTGCAATTTGGTGATAGTTCTTGGTCCGTTCATTCATGTCTCACTATGCTGCCGCTCGTTACATTGCTAGGTAGTAAGCATAGTCATATGAGAAGTAAATATGATTGCCGTCAGGAAACTTAGTTTATTTGAACTATAAGGATGTGCTGCTGTGCTACGGCTAGCATTGTGAAGGTGCCTCAGCATTCAATGGATAGGAAGCATGGAAGGGCTATCAAATTCGTATCCTGGTTGCTGACTATCCCTGGGTAACAATAGCGTTCGAGTAGTAGATCTCTAGGAGATTTCTATTTCCTCATTTTCCGTAATCCTAGCTAACTAACCTCCCCGGGCCTAGTTACTTAAGATAGTGCAATGCACACAGCTCAGGAGATCAGTCGAGCAGGTGTCAAGTTTCGTTCTTCTGCTAGAACCATCGTGGATATTCATTGGTAATCTCCATATTGGACTGGAAACCCCAGTATCAGCTCTTCATCATAAACCACAATCAGCATCCATAATGGACCACTGACTACCTTGTGAAAGACCACATTTCCCAGTAAGAAACATACACAACTATATTAAATAACTCCACCACTAGCTTGCAGATTTACGCTTCGCCAACTGCTGTATCCCAGTCTTCGTTTCGGTATGCTCCGTGCTCATATGTCGCTGTTTGATAAAAGCGCCCGCCACTAACCCAACACTCGCCACGGACGTGTACATGATAAATATATTCCGTAGACTCCAAGCATAAGCGCCCTGCGCCGCTCGCTTCTGCGCGCTATCCTGGATAGACTTGATAATCTCGACGTTTGCTGCTGCTTGATCGCCGGACAAGGCGTCGAGGACGGATCCACTGAGACCGGCGGCCTCAAGCAAAGAATGACGAGTATCCATACTATTCTGGAATATAACACCACCGAGAACTATGGACAGGGATGTCGCTAGATTGCGGATGAAACTCAAAGTCGCCGTAGCGGAAGCAGTATCGGCCTGGCTGACTGTATTCTGGATGGCAATGACGGGAGTTTGGAATAGAAGTGCGGTTCCGATACCGCCAATGATCTCAAATCCAACGATCCTTGCCACAGGAGTGTCGATCCCGAGGTTGATGTATAATCCCGTTCCCAGTGTCATCAGTACTAACCCGGCCCAGGTGATCTCTCTGTAACGGCCCGTTCGAGAGATCAAGATCCCCGACAGTATATCCACAGCCGCTTCGGTGACCATCATTGGTATTATCAGAATACCGCTGCGGAGTGGTGAGGCTTGCTTGACGCTTTGAAGATACAACGGCAGATAAAACTCCACACCGATAGAGACCATGCTGTGTGCAAAGGCGAGAAGGATGACTGCGTTATTGGACCAGTTGTTGAATATGCTGAGAGGCATGAGTGGATATTTGGCCAGTCGTTTCTCGCTGAACACGAAGAAGCCGATCATTGCTGTCCCGAATACAATCAGGCAGATGACTTTCGGACTGCTCCAGGGAAATATAGCGCCTCCAAAATCTAATCCCAAGAGTAATAGCAGAGTTACTGCTAGAATGCAGATCGTGCCTAACCAGTCAACGGCGACGATACCTTCTCTGAGCTTTGTGCGGGGATTGTGCACATCCAAGAAAAGCAGCAAGAGTATGAACAAAAGCCCACACACGGGCAAATTTATCCAGAAGCACCACCGCCAGGAAACGAGTTCCGTAAATGCTCCGCCGATAAGTGGACCAGCGGATCCTGCAAGGGCCCAGGTAAACCCCATCATACCTAGATACAACGCGCGGGTGCGTATACTGAAGAGGTCCGAGATGACGATAAAGACTAATTGCATGAGACCTCCACCAGCTGCGCCTTGGAGTGCTCGTGCAGCAATTAGCATCTCCATGTTCTTACTGAGTGCAGCAATTATGCTCGCAATGGTAAAGAATATTACCGCCCCGAGGAGAACCGGCTTACGGCCCCAGATGTCGCTGAATTTGGCCCACATTGGCGCTGTGGCGGCGTTCGCTAACAGGTATGCACCTCCGATCCAGGTATAACCTGCAGCGGAGTGCAGAGCTGCTGAGATTGTGGGGATCGAAGTCGCAACGATGGTCTGGTCGAGCGCTCCTACGAACAGGACGAGCTAGACAATCGGAGATTTGTTAGCCAATTATCAGGCTGAGAAAGAACCGGAAGGTATTGAAGTACATTGAGCGCGATTATAATAGCGATGATACGCAGTTTGGTGCGGGTTTGGGGAGCTTCGAGTATGTCAAGCTGCTCCATAGTCTGGTCATTTGGTGTTCTTGAAGGCGCTTCTGGCGCACCAGCCTCGGCGTCTTGCTTAATTGGCACTTCCTTTTGATCAGTCATTTTTTGATATAAGCTGGCGTTGTAAAATGGAAATAAAGATAGGAGGGAAATGTATGTTCACTGTGAATGTTTAAAAGGATGCGATCGCCTTTTATCTGGAGAGTTACAGACAATTTTGGAATTGTTGCGCCATCGCGCCCTTCGGTTGACATCGTTCATGCAATGCCCGACGGATAAGCCATAAGTACTACGCTAATCCCGATGCACTTTTATAATAGAAGATTACGGTAAAGGCCTACTGCGGATTCTCTTCCCTGTCTATAACAAAAGTAAAAAAACGCACAATGTCGTAGTGAGGGTGAGGCATATAGCAACCAACCTATCACCAGCCACGCTAACCCATCGAAAGTCCAAAGCAATGACGAGTCAAACACACATAGGGTGATTGAGTAGCAAGAGAATATAACAGACTATGCTCAAGCTCAGCGGCAGGCATGACGTACAGGAGCTATCTTCCACAACAGTTTTAGCGAAGGTCTAATTATACCACATGTCCGGGACAGAAAGAAGTCCTCTTTATTATCTAGCTTTAGCCAGGCTGATTAAGATATCAGCCTTTGTGTGGCGCGACTGTTAACCCACCTAAGTATGACTTGGCATTAGTCCAAGAACAGGAAATATGCCTCTTCAATAACCAAGCTCTCGGTTCCTGATAGTCAAGCTATCTGCTAGTAGTGGGAACCAACCTTGGCGCCACTTAGACCCTTTGGTCCCCATCGAGAGCCTTGTTATTCAAGGTGAAGAACTTTTTCACTATAGATCTGATGGAAGGACTGGGTCCGGAGGTGTCGTAAATAGGTCTGTGCTCCTCATGGATATCGTGCAAATATTCATAGTCAACGTGAACAAAAGCGCGTTCAACGCCAGTAAGACCCTCCAGTTTCCGCTGGAGTTCTTGGCTCACGTCGTGCGATTCCTGGAGTCTGGTTTCTTTGTCCATTACGATATCCACCTCGACGTAGTATTGTTGACCCACATGATATGCTCGACACTGAGGAGGGGCAATTAGATATTAGGAAGCAGAGACAACCATTGGACACAAACCCACCGTATCAACCTTCTGAATCCTGGCATCGTGAGTCATTGTCACGTAGACGCATTTGTTGATAAATCCTCGAGGGGCACCTTTGCCAATTAATAGCCACATATTCTCGAAGGCTTCAGAGACCCATGAATACAGAATGAGAAGTGCGATGCATGTCGCACCGACCGGGTCAAGGTACCACACAAACCGTTCACCGACGACAGCCATGATTAGACCGAACCCGTTCACTGCTAGATCATTGCGGTGATCGATGTAAAAGACGTGCGCTGCAGGATAGCGCCGTAAACTGAAACAGTACACAAACAGACAGAATTTGGAAAAGATAGCCACGCCAACACATATGAGAGGGATCATATCGAGGCTTTCTGAATCCACCTCACCGGCTGCTAGCGATTTGGCGGATTCAATGATGAGCTGAATCGCCACGGTTGTCATCAAGGCACAGAACATAATGACTCCCATCGTTTCTGCTCGTCTGCGTCCAACCGGATACTGATAAGGCTTGGGCTTCGTGGACATGCGCGAGGTGATTAACATGATGATGGAGGAGACGAGGTCCATGAACGCGTCCGCGGCGGTCGCAAAAAGCGACAAGGAGCCGGTGGATATGGCGGCATACAGTTGAATGACAAACAAGCAGAAGTTGACCACAAAACTAGCCCGCACGGCTAATTTGACTTTCCCTCCGTTCTCGGCATGATCTTCTGCCTCCATCCGCTCCTCCTGGCTACTCTGCAGAAATCCATCGATCAATTCATTCTGTTGCACGTAGAAATCGTTCTTTTCGTCTGAGGCGCGGACTAGAGGCATCCACCGCTTGGTGGGTTTCACTTCCGTTTTGTATCTCAGTAGGTTGAGGGGATCGTCGGTTGTCATCTTGAAGTCGTGGTATCCGTGCGATAGGAGCCTTATCGGCGAGGTGGAGCATTGTTAGATCCCATAGCAAATGAAAGACAACTATAGTAAGTACCACTCACTTGATGAATGGCTGCGCCTCGAAATATGGTTCCTTTTCCCGCAATGGAGTTTGCACAAGGTACCTTGGCAGAGCTTCGGTGCCAGATTTCGGGGGATGACCCAAGTTCTCAAGAGATCAAGAAAAGAGGAAAATTTCCTGACTCGTAGCGTAAGGTGGCTTAGCGTCGCCAAGGGTCTTGGAAAAACATCTCGAACAGCACGCCAATACTCCTACCCCACAATACTCCGTTCTTCAAGTGTCAGGTAGGATGATGAGTGGATGAGAAGAGTCAAACCCACTACTCATCATGAATGTCTTCTGGGATTATCCACGACTTTCTACACGTCATATATTGTATAATTTGTCGATACATGTGGGCATAGCCAATTATATCACCGTGTTATCTACCAGAGTTGGCAGTCATCTCAGTTAAATGAACCATTTACCGACACCACTATGACGCGACTTCCAGCACTAAAATATTTGACCACCTCTCACCGAGACCTTGCGATAAGTACATATTATACCTAACAAGCGGCAGACTCCTGTTCTCTTCCTCCCACCTCCTGGTAATTCGGTTTCTGAACTCGCTCCGCTCAAGCTACCCATAGCGCGTTGGCTAAGTTGGAAACATTCCCCGTTCCATCCCTGGAACTGGGGCCCACCTGGTCACCTGATTCCACCCACTTTATCTTATCAATCTTCCGCATCTTTGGCCCTGCCAGCACTGAGTATTCAATTCGCGACGAGAACGTTCCCAATATATATTTTACACTTCCAATGTTCCTCTTGATGACATGTACCATTCTTGTATCCCCTACAATCCAGATAGCTCGATGAGGCTTTGTTGAGCTGCTATGTACTACGAATATGCTTAAGGTTACTAGATATATATTTTTGCTAGGGATTCCTATAGGAATTAACGTCATTGTTGTAGTTTGCTTCTCTACGAAGTCAATGTTGAAGTTCACATTATATATATGCGAAAAGAAGAAGCATAAGTAGGGCACATGATTATTTTTTACCAATGGCAAATAGCGTATATAGAGACGCAGGATTGATACCTGGACGACAGTATATCTCCTACTCGAAGACAAGACTAACGTGAGTCAGACTCTGGGTCGCATTAACAATTTCGTCTCTCACAATACCAGACTTTGACTCTCTTTGTTCCATTTCCAATTGTGCAGCCTTTTCGACCGCAGCGTGAGTTATATTCAAATTCAAGTCAGTGTGAAGATGGCCGTCCAAAACTGTTTACTAGCAGTATTCGCGTACAACAGGGAACACCCAGGCGAGCACGTAAAACGCAGTCGAGATTGCCATCGTGTAGTGGAAGTTGCCTGTATGCGTGGCCACTGCTCCCGCCATAGGTCGAATGGTAGCTCCACCTAACTGGTAGCGACGAACAAAAGACCGCCGCGTTTTGTATGACTTCCCACATCAATCCCTTAGACTAAATCCTCGGTATCCCCAACATTCCATGGCTAAGAACCCTGTCCAGAATCGCTGAGATCGCACGATGTGGGATCGTTGGGGATGCAGCGCTTCACAGGGATATCACGCTTGCCAAAGTCGCCAGGGTCACAGGAAGTTGGATCATCGGGAATGCAACGTTTGACAGAAATCTCTCGCTTCATGAAGCCTGCACCACAGGAAATGGGGTCGTCTGGTATGCAACGCTCTGCGATGGTTGGGATGACACCATTGTTAATAGGAACGATGTTGGTTGGGAGCGCAGCTGCATAGGAGCCTAACATTGTGGCGGCGACACAGAGAGACTGAATGTTGACCATTTCGACGGTAGAAAGGATGTCCTATTGGTAAGAGTAAGGCAAGGATAGGACTGGATAAGAAAACACGGGAGACCAAGTGCGAATAAGCTTGCAGCCTGTTCTCTGAAGCATGCGTCGCTGGGATGTATTTATGTTATACATGGTTAGAACATTCGGGGGACTGAGCACCGATGGTATATTGATTCTGCGTCTGAATGGCACAATGGGAAGTAGATACCGCAATTCACAACTAGGGATCCCCTTGTTATATGATGATCAGCTCGTTATTCGGTCAAACCCGGGGTTAATAAAGGGTAGATTAAATGGCTTTAGACATGATCATTGGTGCATAAGGTGGGGTGATCTCAGGGTTGAAACTAGCATATAGTTGAGAAATAGGAGTCTGTGGAGTGGAAAGCAACAAAGATCATCGTGGTAAGTACCTAAAGCGGATAATGGATCTCTGAGCGATTATCAGACAATCATAATCAACAACGAGCCCCTCATCCCAGGAAATGATCTGCAGGTTCGGCAGATATGGCCCTCACTGACTACCACTTCTGTCTCCCGTACACCTATGGCTGCTTCCGGAAAGGTCCAAGGCCAGGCGAATGCTTGGTAGGCCGAGATAATTCAGGCCTGTTATCATCGGTTACGCTGTGTCAGATGCCGCTGCACAGGGAGTTAAAACAGTGTCTACTGAACGGAAGCACTAACTTGAGATCCAGACTGTTGGGGCTAATTTCTGGCTTTCGTCACGGGAAGCATAACATGTCTCGACTGCAGTTCAATAGGCGAGATTGTATTCTAATGGACCTCTCGAGTTTCAGTATACATCAACCTGTTTTGCCACGACCGATCTCGGACCTCGAGCTGCCACAGTGTTTTATAGTATGCGGCAGAATTGAGATGCTCGGGATGAGACACAGCAAAAGCTTCTAGGGATATCATAATTCAGTAAGCTCTTTCTTGAACTCCCTTATCCATTACACAATGATTTGCCGCTCATGATACTTAGTCAGTCCAGCTGTATGAGGAGCTGTACTCACGTAAATGGCTAGGTCAAGATGTGCACGATAGTGCTGCCCTCGATACTTTATAGCCCAAGCCAAGAATATAACCAATCAGATGAAGAGCCAGCGGACTTTCAAGCAGCTCATGTTTGAAAGGAAGAGCATAATAGCCTTGACAAGGACCCAGGGAAAGAGAGGACTTTGACTTGCGAATTGGGATTCCACCCCTGAATTTTTGAATGATGCCAAAAACAGGTATTTTGTTCAGTATTTGGTCTGCACCTAGAACTGGCCTCATGACCTGATTCCGAACGAATCCAGATTTCTGCGGGTATCGTATGATTAGAATATTTGCCAATCTGCCAAGTTGCCAAGATTGAGGCAAGGCGGAAAAAGCCTAATGAAAAGGTTCGGATGCAGAATGCAAGACGCAAGCCAAGAATGTCTTCTATGGATCTACCGTCGGCTAGAAGTGTCGAACGGAACTTTATTGCTTTTAATAGTGCCTCAAATTTCCATAGTAGCATAATGCCTTACAATTCAAATGTCTAGACCGTATATAAATACAAAAATACGGTCGTTGCACCTGGTTCTGTATTTCGTTTCTAGGGGTATATGTATGGATTGGATAAGCTTTATTGGCATCTTTCAGGTATCCATCCATAGGTGAGACTTGGAGCGTAGGGATATGGAGCTATTTCTGGAGCTATTTTTGGAGCTCGACCAGCGAACAGCAACATACTTCAGCCACAGGATCATATCATATCTCGCGCATGGAGATTCGGACCCCAGTAAGCCCAGCGGATGTATCAGCCAGCGTATCGATACATACAAGGATTCGATAATCTATCTTAGAGTTTCATATGCGAATAGTGGTATGCACCCTGGTGTATCTGGATCTCGTATCTAACTTCGAGTCTCCCTACGAAAATAGAACGCTTGATAGACTTCACCTAGACTGACTTGACCTGGTACTACTAAGAATAGACAAATGTATGCCGCTGTGTGTCTGACATCATTGCAGCTCCTGCCATCTATATAACAACCCGTTCTGCCAGAGATGTTTCATCTACAAACGAGGAACATTGGAACGAATGCAAGGCGGTTCCTACAAACATTATCGGGCTTAGTCAACAGTCATCAATACCTCCCTGATCATGAAGCTCAATCTGCTTTTCTTCTTATTTTTTATCCTCAGCCTTGCATCTGCCTCTCCAGTAGCAGAGGCCGATGATCTGGATGACCTTGAAGGTATGTCTTCAGTTCCTCCCATACTTCATACCTTCGAGGCTTTATAGCTCACGATGCTGATGTATACGAGGAAGGCCTCTATGAACGTGACTCGACTGTGGAGCACTTACAGCGCGATCACACATGCAATCAGCAGGAGCGCCGGTGTGAGCCAGGCCGCTGGAACTCGAAGAGCTGCAAGTGCAGTGGCAAATGGTGCGACCAATTTGATCCCCATTGCAACAACTGGAACTGGAATCAATGCAAATGCATGAAAAAGTGCGATGGGCCTGACCGCCGTTGCAAACCCGGGAACTGGGACTTGAGCAGCTGCAAGTGTAGGGGCATATGGTGCGACCAATTCGATCCCCATTGCAATAACTGGAACTGGAACCAGTGCAAGTGCATGAAAAAGTGTGATAGGCCTGACCGACGTTGCAAACCTGGGGATTGGGACTGGAACAGCTGCCATTGCAAAGGTAAATGGTGTGACAACTATGACTCTAACTGCAACAACTGGAACTGGAACCAGTGCAAATGTATGAAAAAGTGCGATGGACCTGACCGCCGTTGCAAACCTGGGGACTGGGACTGGAACAGCTGCAAGTGTCGTGGCAAATGGTGTAACAACTATGACTCTAATTGCAAGACATGGAACTGGGATACATGTCAATGCAAAAAGGTCTGTCGTCAAGCAGATAATAGCTGCAAACCGCAGGACTGGGACTGGAACAACTGTCGCTGCAAGGGCAAAAGGTGCGATAACTTCCAGTCTAACTGCAATAACTGGGACTGGGATCATTGCAAGTGCAGGCACAAGACCTAGAGCTGGTATTCTCTGAACTACCAAGGACTGGAGGCGGAAAAAGCATATTTCGGTATCTTTGTTAAGTTTCGCCGATGTATCTTATTGGTTAATCATCTCTATACGTGCACTATGTGCTCCTATTTGTAACTATCATACCAGAATGTCACTTATTATTGGAGTAAAACAAACTAATACCATTGACCTAGGTCTCTTGGCATAACAGTTATAAAGTAACGAATATATCTTCTAACGCACAGATGCCCATAGCTTACCTTATGTGCAGCTTTTAGAGTTTCCTTGATATGACTATTGAGTTGCACATGAAGCTCTTACGACTATTCGAATGGCTAGTAGAATGGTCCATCTACTAGAAAAGCCAAAACAACGACATCGTATTCTGGGCATGGAATGGCTCAGCCCCCAGGCTTCACAATATGTGGTAGGTTGCCAACGGAAAACTCTGGATGTAGGTGGTGCCTCTTCGGATAAACCCAAAGTAGCCCATTGGAGCTAATCGGAATGTGAATATATAGTATTGTATATGGGTAAGACTGTAACGAGAGTGAATAACAACTTATGACTTCTATCGATATCATCTTATCAAGGCAAAACCATTGAGTACTGTGGGGGTATATTGAAAATCCTTGTTTACGCATCTCGCACTTGTAACCTTCTTGCTCTGAGATAATTGTAATCTGGCATTGCCTCCCTCACCCACTTCTCCATCTTTTCGCCGGTGCTTATACCAAACTCCCGGTCCCAAGCTTTCCTCTCGAGCCCAATGTCAACAATAGCCGGTGTCTTGTCCTTCAAGACATGGGATGAATTATCAAGGGTGAACTTCATCACACTCTCAGGGCTTTTGTGATTGATATTGTCCGCGGCCCCATTCTGCATCTTTCGATTCGGTACACTCCATTCCGATTTGAGATGGACCGGGTTGAGCCCTATGAGCTTGCAGTACCTGGCGAGAATTTCAGGGTGATGTATGATGTCTTGGGCATCTAGTACCAAGGGGTACCGAATATCCCTATCATAACCGATGGTTGACTTGTCTTCATGCTGGCAGCACCAATCGTAAAGAAGCCTACTCCATCTCAACGTCGCATTCAATTCCATCAACGGGCATATTTCATGAGGTTGTGCGAATTCCTCCTTTTCCAACTCTCTCATCGCTCGATAGAATGACGGAAATGCCAAAGCAGGATGACGGATGAGGAAGGTCAGCCTCCAGGTCTCCAAGTACTGGTCGGGAAATATTGTGTGGTTGTTAGGTGAGAACCTTTGGAGCGTGCCATACGAATTCGGAACCTTGATGTTCACCGGGGACGGTGTGTGGCTATCGTTATGTGAAAGATAATCGCTAATGGCCGCCGGATCTGCGAACCACTGCACATGTTCCTTTGCAAAAAATAACTTGCCCTGAGATTCAGCGCAATGTGATGTCCTCTCACAGCGATCGAAATCGCGCTGAAAGATCTGTTGCATCTCCTCGGTTTGCTCCATTGTCCAGTTTTCAACTGGTGTGTAGGCAGAATTTGTTGTCCTGCCTTTCATAAAGGAGTCCCAGAAGAAATAGCCTCCCTTCTCGTTGGAGATGACATTCTCCTGCTCTTCTAGAGACAGCATTCTCACGAGTAGGTTGGATGCAGTACGAGGGTAAGTGACCAATAATGTCCGTTTAAAAGGGGATGGACTGTATCCGTTGTTTGTCACCATGGCGAGGAACGTTCTTTCCAAGTGCAACGGATTGCGATATTGTAGACTCTTAATATATGTGAGTGGGGGAGTGGGATGTAAAGCAGGCCTTGTATATGGCGTAGATGAATAGCTATAACAGTACCCTCTGTCTGCATACCTGTCAAAGGCAGTCCGATGAGAAGTGTATAGCCCAGTAAGAAACGTACTACAAAGGTCTTATACCTGATTCTCGCAGTAGCGCGTGTACGTGAAATGTTACCACTTCTACTCAATGCGACGTGAGAAATTCAGCTTCCAAGACCTTGGTGATGTCAGCACTGGGTATTGGCAACGGAACGAGGGAATTGTGCTGTCATCCCGAAGCCACATCCACTGATGGTTCAGCAGCTGAGCACGGGGTCGTCCGAGTTTGGGACGGCTCACGGAGTCACTTGAATTAGATACACTTGAGCCCCGGACTTTCACACACACCATGGTCTTACGATTGGATAAAATACGTTCCATCCAATGATCAGACTGTGTGTTCGATGTGTCGACTTCCAGTTTATGATAAGGTTTGCGATAAGGTTGACCCATGGTTTTGGACCTCCGGGAACAGCATATTTCACGTGGGGCTATGCTAGTTTTCGTTTACTATTCGGCAATCCGGGATTGGGGCGATCTCCAGGATTGCTAGATGACATAGATTCCCCTCGGCTGATTGGCTGTGTCGCCATAGAAGGTTCATACTGCTCCCGTATGACTCCATAATTACCTGGGTTGTTCTTGCAACTAGCCTCCTCTCGGGCCCTGAACGTTACAATGTGCTGATAGTTAAGCTCAATTACAGTTAGTCACTTCTAAATGCGTTCGTGGATCTCTCCCTACTCCCACAGAATGGGGGTCATACATATCTATTCAACTACATTAAGTCAACCAATGGAGTGGTGTCCACAGGAGGAGATTGGCCTAGACCGTATTCTCGCAAGTTCAATTGGGAGTCCAGCCAAGTCTAGTCACTCTCATGTTCTAAAAGACTGTCGGTTTCCTTGCATAGACGCCCTATTGATCTAGGCATAAAGTGTCGAAAGCTAAATAATGGAAGTCATGACGTAACCACGGTACAAAATTAACAATAATACCTGATGTGCATACGTATGCCTCTGCATATACAGTCGGCATATTTTATTTTAGGAAGAATCAGCCGATGCCAGTCTCGGATAGATAATGCTGCATCGGCCTTCACAATCTTCCGGTTCATGAATATTGTACCTACCCTAGAAGCATTGATACAGACCAATTAGCTTCAAAGGGTTAATGAGAATTTTATATTTCGAAAAGCAGAACCTGTGCCTGCAACATTAAACATGGTTCTTCAAAACATTAGGAGCTTGTGCTCCCATGGGGACCTGCTTCGGACCATGATATGTATGTTGGCGATAGCGAGTATAGTCAACGCTGCAACATGGACTTCTTTTCAATCGGTTTGTGAATTTAGTCATTCAAATAGTTAGGGCAACGCTGATTTCCGGCCAGAGACCAGACATTCGTGCACCGATTATGGAAGTTAGTCTTAGGAACGACTCACTTATTACCCCGGGCTATATATTTATAGCACCCTATGAGACAGAACTACCAGGGCCATATATATATGACACTGATGGTGTATGTTACTCCACTTTACATTTATGAACATGTAGCTGATCTAAGAGCCCAGGATTTGGTATGGAGCGGAGCCGATGGCTCCACAACCGAGCTCTTCCATGATCTACAGGTGTGCCCCTACAAGGGGTCCGATCATTTATGCTACTTCCAAGGAAATCAAATAGAAGGTTATGCAAGGGGTCGCAACATCATCCTGGATCAAGACTATAAGCAAGTGGCGACTGTACAGAGTGGAAATGGTTTAACGCTGAGCGATATGCATGAGTTGAACATTATTGATAACACCTCCATTCTCATCGCCATTTACCAGCCGCGCCGCTATAACCTAGAGGCGTACGATGTACCAGCGGACAACGGCTGGGTCATGGATGGCGTGTTTCAAGAGATCAATATTACGACAGGCGAGATCCTCTTCGAGTGGAGGTCTCTCGATCATGTTGGCATCTCGGAAACGTATACCCCGATTCGACTTAACACAGTCGTGGGTGATGGTCTTAGCAATGCGACTGCCTGGGACTACTTTCACATTAACTCTGTTGATAAGAACAATGATGGTGACTATCTAGTGTCTGCTAGACATACCAGCTGCATCTATAAGATATCCGGTAAGGATGGATCCATTCAATGGCGTCTGGGTGGTACAAACAGTTCCATCGAAATGCAGAATTATAATTTCTCCTCCCAGCATGATGCGCGGTTTATTCAGGAGAATGACACTGTCACTGTTATTTCACTCTTCGATAACGCAAGCAACGGATATAGAAATACGTCATCAACATCCTCAGGTATTATCGCGTCAATTAACCAAGAAACCAACACATCAAGTCTCATTAAGAGGTACGAAGCCCCAGACAACGGGCTTCTGTCGACCAGCCAGGGGAACCTCCAGATACTGGCGAACGAAAACGCTTTCATCGGATGGGGTAACAATCCTTCAATATCTGAGCATACTGACGACGGAACCCCCGTGTTCTTCGCAACATTAAATGATGCGCGGGAGATGAACTACCGTGCTTTCAAATTTAATTGGACCGGACAGCCAAGCGATAATCCCTCTCTTCGTGCATATGCAGCTGCCCCGGGATCTGGGACCACATTCTGGGTCAGTTGGAATGGTGCTACCGAAGTCGCCCATTGGAATCTCTACGGCACGACGTCGACGTCTGAGGAGTTTACGTTGTTGTCTAAGGCGGATAGACAAGGGTTTCAAACTACCTATACGAGCACCGACTACCACCCTCGGGCATATGCAGAAGCAGTTTCGAGCGATGGATCAAGTCTAGGTAAATCGTCAGTGGTGGATACGACGTCGTCTTTGCCCAGCCTAGGCTAGGAAGAGTAAAGGAAATACCGGAGATATACTAGTCCCTGGGGTTTCAAACTAGAAAGTCACAAGTCCTGTTAGTTATGTATCAAATGTCTTGGGCGCTCCCAAACCAATTTTATCCTCGGCTGATTCCCGAGAAGACGGCGATAGCATATCCATAGACAAAACGATACCGCGCGGATTGAGAATAGGATTGCAGTGAAGCCATCGGCCGCTTGATGTTGACGCATTTATAAAATTATGCTTTCTCTTTGCCGTACTATAATACTGCAGTTATCATACGGATCCCGATCATGTTGAACCTCCTACTCTGCTATATGTTACAGCTTCGACGCAGTGTTCAAAGAATGACGTTCTAGTCAGTCAGAGCTAATGACGATGTCATCCATGCATTAGGATCAGTACTCGGTGTATTCAATGAGCCTACATAACTATAGACGTGTTTTAAAATTAATCCTGTTCCCTGAAAGGAGATGGTCCGGCCATAAATTTTACAAACGTCTCTTTACGCTGTTCACTAATAGCTTGAGCAATACCTGACGGTTTTATGTCCTGGCTGTAAATCTATTACATCTATTACCGAGTCAGAGTACGGCAGAACCATTGGACAATCGAACAGCCATCTACAGGTACAAAGAGCCTATCCTATGATAGGGACATTCATCATGGAAAGCGGGCAAATCTGTAGCACTCGTACAACTACCTCTTGGGATCACCATTTACCTAAATACTAAAATAGCACAAACGCGGATATGGCGTATAAGCTAAAAGAGAGAACCAAAGAGACATTTTATAGGTCTGTAGATAAGGATATATATTCTTAAATAACTCTAAACTATAGCGCGACAGTTACATCGCTTTGTATTTAAGAAAATGCTAGTATGCGCCTCTGATAAGACGCCATTGGTGTGTTGTATCAGCTGAGACTTCGCGCTGGAGATGTGGATACACAGGTAATAGTGAACTTTTTCTGAAGCAGGGAGCATCCAGACCAACACATACACTGCTTGGGCGTAATAATGACCAAACCTCTATGGCCATCTTGTTAAACCCACCGGGCAACCTTAGGTGGACAATTTGCTGCCGGGCAAAGAGACTCCGCAAATCACGGTTCCCCTCTCACTATTAGGGTTCCGGGCACCAAAGCCCTGGCCAGCGCTATAGACTCATGATACAAACGGCCAATGTTTCTTTGTTTACTATCGAATTACACTTGAGCTAAGTGGATGGAACCCCTTGCTCGCCATAACTCGAAGCGACACTAGTACTGATAAACGACGTGATGTTCATCTGTTTATGCCAGTTCTTAATGGCATCATTTTAGATACCCCTGCCAAGCTCCAAAAGCAGAAACCCACTAAATCCGTGCCCGATAAACAAAGGAGCCATATCAGAAAATTGATACTTACAATATGACCCTGGAAACATGAGCTATCCACTGGCCTCGTGGACTGTAGGATATGGAAACACTAATATATCTACCCGCTTCTCCAGGAGTATGGTCAGGGACTCACCCCGTTAATAAATTAAGTGAAGAACCCACATCACAACGTTATCCTTTTGCTTTTCTATTGGGTCACCTATGGCTGGAATAAGTTTGCACTTCGGTTAACCTGTCACTCTTTTCACAATTTGTTGTCATTCTCTTTTCAAGGACAACGTACAGTTGACCCTTACATTCGTTACATTTATGATTTTCTTTTGATTATTGCCTTTACCAACTTTCGAATTAGGGTGCGAGTAGTCCAAGCCTCCTAAACCATGTACCAGAAATCAATCGCTCTGGTTCTCTTGCTAGTACAGCATGGTGTCGGTTTGCCGGCACCTGACGGGTATTCAGGTGTCACCAATAACGGCGCTTATGATGTCTCCGATGCATCTCTAAATGTCAACGTCGGTGGCAGCATTGCCCGCCCGGCTCAAAATGCGATGGAACCCCCAAATATGGCTGCGAATGGTGCTGCTCCAAACTACCAGGCGAATCGACAGGGCCTAGCTTACGGGAATACTATCGATACTATGGGCCCTCAACAGGTCATAACATCAACAATAGTGATAACATGGACCAAGGCTGGGGCTAGTTATCCAACAATGGCCCCAAACGGTGCTCAAGTTGGCACAAATGGATTTATCGCTGCAAGTCCACCACAGGGACCCACAGTGGAGGCTTTTTCCGCATCTAGTGCCCCTCTCATCCCTACTAATAACCACTACGAAGATGCGAGTATATCAAGCTCCGGGTATTCGACCTCGGGCTCCGCACAGGTTAATCTAGTACCCGAGCCCTCATCCCACGCATCAGTTATTGGAGATCCTGCCCCACAGCCCGCACCGAGCACCTTTCCTCCCGACTCAGCTCCTTCGTCAAACGCCGCAGACGAGTCGTCCGACACCACGACAGACGACGACTTGATTCCTCCTATAACAAGGGCACCGCGCCTGCCAACATTCACGGACGTACCACCCCGATTCTCCACCATAAGAATTGAGTCTATGGCATCGAAAAATGGCCTTCTACAAACCGCCCTAAATGGCATCCAGACCATTCTCCCTGTGATTGACGGACTGGGCTTGCTCGGGATTGAGAGCGAGGGGACATATCTCAACTTGCCCGGCTTGCTTGAGGCGATTGATATTCCCTGTCTTTTCCGCTGCAATACTCCCCCTGCACCTGCAAGCCCTCAGCCGGGAGCAGTTCCTCAGGCCCCGGCCCCGGTACAAGCTCCACCAGTAGCGGTTCCACCAGCCGGTGGTGTTCCGGCCGGTGCTGGTGTAGTAGGGAGTGGTGCCGAAGCCGGTGCTGGTGCCGTTGGTGGTGGCCTTGTGGGTGGTGTTGCTGGTAGCGTTCCAGCCGCTGGTGGTGTATTGGCTGGTGGTGCCGAAGCCGCTGGTAGCGCATTGGGTAGTGGTGCTGAAGCTATTGGTGGTTCAGTACTTCGTGCACCAGCTGAAGTTCCCCCAGTCCAAGTTCCACCAGCACAGGTAGGTGCCGTCCAAGCGCCTGAAGTTGCTGGTGGCCCGGCCAATAATCCTCTCTTGGGCTCTCCCGGCAGGAACCTTCTGAAAGGGTTAGAAGATGGCATCCAAAATGGTTATGATCAGTCAGGTGGATCGCCCGGCATAAATAATGCACCCCAATCTCTAGATGGGCAGACTAATGACGTGTTGAGCAATGTGGGTCCACAGTCTGGATCCGACTCTGCAGCGAACGCTCCAGTCAATGGAATGGAAAACAGTAATTCCAATGACATGATTGCCCCCCTGGCTGCGTCGAGTTCCGCTTCTCCACAGCCTGTTCAAAGTGGATTAGATAGCAGTACTGGAAACATTATGTACCCACCTCCTATGCCGCCTACCCCCCCTCAAGCAAGCCATGTCCAAGATGGATTACAGAGAGGTATTAATGACAATATAGCCTCAGCTGGAGGTCTAAACAATGGGTACGGTAACAATATGGCTCCTCCAGAAGGCAGTATAGCACCAAGCACTCCCCAGGCTAGTCCGCTCCAAAATGGCCTTTTTACGGGGATGGGGAATAATATGCGACCGGCTGGCAACATGGGGCAAGTTATGCCTCCATTAGCCCCTCCTGCGGCTGCGACAATGAATGGCTTCCTCAGTGGCGTCCAGGGGTCCCCAGCGTCGGTGCAAACGATTCAACCAGATGTGCCACACGGAGTGCCGATGGGTGTGCCAGTGCAAATGAACTCCGCCGCTAATGGCCCGTTGATCAACGCAGGAGCATCCCCCATATACCGCGGGTCCAGCAGTATGCCACTATTCCCAATACCAACGATGGTAACATCACCAAGCCTGAGTCCTTCAGTTACGCCTGGACCCTCGCCGACACCGACGCCGACACCAACACCCACCGCAGCATCGACTAGTGAGCCTCCACCCGTTACCACGACGCAATTCAATGGTGAAGTCGTATCCTGCGCCTCAGGAAAGTACCCCGACGATGACCATGAAGCAACCCCGGAGTGCGCTGGAGAAACCAAGGTGATCTCCACTGTGGAATCCATCGCCTCTGCCTATGCGGCCTCGGTGTCTGCCGAGGCATCTGCTGCTGCATCCAAGTCGGCTGCCGAGGCCGCAGAGGCCTCCTGGACTTCCGCCGCTGCAAAGCCATCCGCCTCCTGTGACATACTGGATGACAATGGACTTAACAAGGTTGTGTTCAGAATTGCTGGTATCAATGGTTGGACTGATGGGCAGTCATTCTCGAATGTACTGAAGAAGAGATGCCACAAGAACAATTTTTTCATAAGTTTCCACATCACTCATTACTTGTTCTACGCCCATGAAAAGTCAGAATTTCAGGGCAGGCAGCGAGACACTGAGAAGGTTACGTTCACGATGTCGGGCTTCAAGAACGGTTGTGTTGAGGATGCGATTGAGGAGGCCGGTGGACCAAAACATGGTAAAGGTGAAGGTGAGCTTACATGCCAACATAAAAAGGAGGACAAGTTACCATCGGAGAATACCAAGGATGCAAAGGAGGCGGGAGAGAACGTTGAAGATCTTGTCTTTATACCTTCGACAACTTAGGTACGTGAGAATGCTCCAGTAACGTTGGGACATACAATGAGAGCTGCGGACTAGGAAGGCTAGAAACGTTTTAAATCTTGCTTGGTGACTCTCCTAAAACCTCTACTGGGTTGTTAATAATATTATCTATACTACCTTGTCCTTGTCTTTGTACCTATTGTTCACTTTAGTCCATAAAGTAATCAATCATTTACAATGTTCTTAACACCCTTCTTGTCGGGGTGCACCCTATATCGCTTGAAGTTGATTTGTATCTCACCAGGTAACCAGCAAATATGGAGGTGCTCACCAAACTCATTACTGGCACATATCCCAATACATAAATGCTAAATGTTTGACGCCGAAGAAATTCGTTCAAGGCACCTCTCCCTCGTTTGTTTTAGTATGCCCGGAGCGGCAATCCACTTCGGAACATGGATCGAATGACCACGCTGCATGCGAGCAAATACCGTATAAAGTATCCCAGCAATACCCACAGCAATGATACTGATCAGTGCTGGCCATCCGAACTGATCCGGTCGCGAAAAGACAATAGTCGAGATGTACGAGCCGATCTCAAAGGCGTTCTGCCATGCAGCTTCTATCGAGGAGAAATTGCCTCGGTTTTCGGCTTCGACGCCCTATATTTGGTGTATGTCAGTCGTGAACAATGCTTAACTCTTTTCATAGGTCCAAGTTGAAGTGGATCAAACGAGCTTGACCTATCCCCTTCAGGTACCTGAAAAGCACTCACCTCCTGAACAAGAATCTGCACGCACAAATCAAAGCCTCTCAATCCGACTCGGCTGAGAATTGTGCCTCCTACCAGTCCTGACGCAGAAATTAGAGGCTGGTTGGGGAACATCCAGAAAATGGATATTCCAGCTACCAGGGAAGCGATCTGCCAGTTCGCTAGCCACAAACCCGCACGAGTGGTACCGATTCGCCCCATGAGCCAAGGCGCGATCCATGTTGCGAGAACTTCAAAGGTTACAGCTAGGGTTCTCGCAATGCCGACCTGCGTAGAGTCGTATCCTGTCGACAGGAGCCATGTGACCATTTGCCCAGCAAATGAGAGGACAGTCAGATATAGAAAAGCTCCGGAAAACGAGGGGAGGAACACAGGGTGGCGGAAGTAGGAGGTGAAGTCTCCCAAGGCCTTGTGTGTGATACGATGGCAGTAGTGCCAGAGGCGCGCCACGCCATTATGTTGGTCGGATTCTGTACTTGGCTTATCGAGGGCTGCCTTTGTCTTTGGCTGTTGCAGTTCGGGTACTTCATAGTATACCTGAGAGCCACCCGTTAGAACTAGTAATTGCTTCTGAATGAGTTTAACTGTGGTTTCCAGCACTTACCCTGGCTATCGAAAAGTATTCAACGACTACAGAACAAATGTTCATTCCCAGATTGAACAAGATGGCAATCTTAGTCGACACGCCATCGACCAAATCTATCGCAAGCGGCCCGACAAGCTTACATATGAGGTCGATTCGTCGCATCTGGGCATTCATGGCTATATTAAACTCCATTAGTGCTGAGTACAGACCCACTAGTCAAATCTAGTACTTACCTTTGAGGCCTTCGTGATCGTTTCCTGTAACAACCACAACCTAACAGACCATGTGAACTTGAGTCTATACACAAGGACTATTTTTGCATACGTACCCAATCTCTCTCAACAGATACTAGATTCATGATAGAGCTTAGCTTCTCCACACAGGCAAGGAGCGCCAATGCTACCAGCAAGGTATTATCAATCTCGCTGAGGATGGGTTGGCCAATCGCAAGCAAGTAGAAAATCACGCAAGATGCCGCCACCACGATTCTCTGGAGCACTGGCTTCGATAAGTATATGAGGATACCAAATTATCCAATGGGTATCACACACCGATTGACACTCGGACTACTTGGAGTCGGTTTCCAGTATCGATGTAGTTCCCCACCGCTGGTGCCAGCAGAATCGCTGCGACACCTCGCGAAAGAGCATAAACTGACATAGGTAGCAGGGTTCCTGGATAAATCGAAGCAAGGTAGAGGACGGCCCCAAACTCGAAGACGCGAGAGTTCCATGTTGATAGGAAGTGTGAGATGTACAAGCGACGTGCGAGCTTGCTGGGGGGGCGCCTTGGCTACTTGGCGCTCATGCTGATCCTGAGCAAATGCTGAGTGTGCATGACCAGCAGCTTCTGGGTCAGCAGAAAGCAGAGGGGAGTACTCTGAAGGAGTCGATGACTGGGCCGCGTGTGCCAGCATCTTTGACATATATGGAGCGGTTGTAAACAGTTTGACGACATAGACAGGCTCTTTGTCCCTTTCTGCAGGAAATTTTATTAATAGGAGAAGTTGAGTGCTTAATGATGGACGGGACCGTGAGCATCCGAGTCTACGGAGTCTGGCGTGATACTTATAACACAGATAAGTTGAAAGCAAATGAAAGACTGACAGACAAATAGATGCTAGTGCATCCATACGGGCAGTATCGTCCAGTGGCAAGCCACGACGAAGGAAGAGGGCCATTCGTCTTGCTCCACCACTGTTTTAATGAATGCACGACCTGTAACCCGATATTTCCGAGTGTTTCCCCGAAGACAGCATGTATTATGACGGTTTAATTAGGTCTTACGCGGAACCCATTGGTAGCTCCTGAATGAAACAGTTGGAGACTACACTGATGCAGCTTAGTCGGTGGGTCCACATATATCTTTAGAATTCTAATCTGGACCCATGTAATCCTGTTAACACGTACAACGGGATTTAGAAGACCACCAAATGTTTAAAGATTTAGCTAAAGATGGGAAAAGTAAGAGTGTATGCTGAGAAATCTGGGAAGTAAAGTTCTATCCTGACAATTATCCGGCATCACAGAAGACTAGCTGTCGTATCAAAAGTCCAATCGCCATACATCTCCGAGCCGCTCGTTTGACTCAGCCAGTCCACCATGGACAACGATACTATCCTCTGAAGCATTTGTAATCACATCGGCGTCGAACCATCCGCGACCTTCGGGGGCATTTTCGCCATCCGCTTGTACTTCCGTCCACTTTCCAGTCTGGATATCAAAGATCCACACGTCGGAAAGCATTTTACCTGCTCCCTGGTGTCCTAGGCTGCTAGGGTCTCGTTCACCGAACATAGTAACAAGGCTCGGCTTCCCGGTAACTTTGAGCGACAGCAAACAGCTCACACTACGCGCACCTGGACCGGAAACTCCATCCGCCGAGTATGCAATGGTGCTCCAAGTGTTGTTTGCCGGGTCATACACATCTAATGCACCGCCTTGTTCTGTCTTTCCATCAAAGCCGTTCATCCGGAAGAGCTTTCCCTCCGCATAAGCAATGGATGTGCCACCCCTTTCTGGCTCGGGGGCTGGGGCTAGCTCTCGCCATTGACAAGTGAAAATGTTGAAAGCCCACAAATCACACAGCCGGCCCTTTTCAGGGCAACCGGCGTGCAGAAAGATAGTGTCTTTGCCGTTGCTCGCGAGAGCGTGGTAACTGCGTCCCGCTGGGTGTGGCGATTGAGGATCCGCGGGCTTCACCTGTAGCCAAGTGCTGGCACTTGGATCAAACACCCAAAATGAACCGACTTCTTCGATCGGAGCCATAGCAGTGCCGCCACGACCAGAGAAGATATAGACTTTGCCATCGATCGTGGTCGATGCAGACCCGACTCTCGGTTGTGGGCTCTCGGACGTGCTGATGATTGTGGATATTTTGGTATCTGAAGGTCGTTCTATAAAATATTAGCATCCCGTTGTCCTTCAGCGCTAAATCATGTATGCTCACTCACTGTTGTTTAGGGTGATGCGATACACATCCAAGTCCACCGGCTCACGAGGCCGCAGCTCCCCGCCGTACAGATACGCATTGCCTGCAACGGCCGATAGGGTTTGCGACGACCTCCGGATAGAGTCGTTCGAAAGAAGCTTGGTCCACACAGCACGAGCCATTTTTCTTTAAGTTGCGTTGCAGAGAGATGCTTGCACTACTCAAACCTGGGAGGGCTAACGAGAGTGTTTAAATACTGTTGCGTATGTTCTTCCCAATCTGCATTGCCTCAGGCCATGGAAACAAGCCGGTAATCTCAATACTGGCGTAAATAATATCCAAAACAGGTTAGACATGCCCGGCGGTTCAATACCTTACTATGTACGGTTAGACCCATTGTCACAATCGTACTTCCCAATACGGGCGTAAAATATATCCCAAATGGGACTAGCCCCATGCACATCTCTTCAAAACCTCCACGTCTAGGGAAATAAATCATAATCAGTATTAAAGTGGATCCCGAATGAGCTAATTCAGCTAAGCACCTGGCTGCTAGAAATGTTCGTGGAGTTGCGCGATTTTCTGTGAGGCTACCGGCTGGCACCGATCTCGCCAGGGGTAACACAAATATGGTGCTTAAAGCAAGTTTGTAAGGCATATAGCGGCATGTACATAACAGGTGTACTAGTCCTGGGAGCATGGATTGACTCAAGAGAAACATCAAGGTAGTGGGCCTTTCTCAATAAAATACATGCCATCTGTGTTGTACCCACACACCACCAGGTCCACCGGATGGTCAATATCCAACAGTTCTAATTTCGATGTGTCCTCGGCGACTGCCGGCAGAGCAAAGTTTACAACTCGACCCTGCTCCCAGTATACTGCAGCTTGAGTTATAATCCTCTTGGCAAGATGTGTAGGGTAGTGGGAGTGCTCATATCCCCTCCCATGTGCCTCAAGCCGTGGCCACAGAATATCCAGAATGTAGTGAAACAGCTCATCCGATCGCCAGAGAAATACAAGTTGCAGCAATACCTCTGTTAGACTCATCGTGTAAACGTCCGACGTATTTGACACGGCAAGATTAAGACTATCAGCAATATGGTATGCGCTGTAAGCCATGTTAGCAATCGGATTCGAAGGATCGACTCCAACAACTGTAGACATGTGGCCCGATGTGAAAGCGTGCTTGGCTTCTTCGAATGTCATTTCGCACAGTAAACAGTACAAGGCGTTCATGGCATCTCGATGGCCGGTGAGTAAATGTGAAGCTTCAGGGCTCCCTTGGCTTGGTATACTCGAAACAGAACCGTATTGTGTTTGTAACTGGCCCGGACTAAGTCGAGATCGCCACACCTTCAGGCGTTCTTTTTGCACATCCAACAGACCTAGTAGATTTGAGCCGCGGACAAAGCTATCGCGCGCTTCCCCATACTCATCCGGTCCACATTCTCGTCCTAGCATTTTATTCATCATCTCATGGGCAAGAGGGCCAATGTCACTCGATGTCTCAGAGACCTGGCGGATTGCTGCTACGCAACGAAACACCGTCACCTTGGCCCGGATTTCAAGTGTCTTGATAAGGATGTCATAAATAAGGTCATCTACACTCATTCCCAAAATACAGTTGAGATAGAGATGCTCAGTGACATCTGGAAGGAGGTTTGGCCCAAAGGAACTAGATCCCTCCCCTTCAAGGAGGAGAGCAGGTGGCTTCGCTGGTCGGTGAGATGTGCAGAGACGGTACCACATTTGCAGGGATACGACACCATCTGCAGAATCGGCGATAGTCGCCCTGTTCTGCAAAACGAATCGGACAGCATCTCTCACGGCTATTCGAAATTGTAAATGATCGGTCGATGCATGGTGGTAATAGGCCAAAAGAACGTGCGCAACGAGTAACGCAGGTGCTTCAGTTTTGATCCCATCACCCTCCGCAGTCCGGCAGCTCCAGAGCGCCAGATCGTGATATTTCTGAGCAAGGCTGTGATGCAAGCCATTGACGAGTGGACTGTGAACAGATTTCCGGCTATCATTTGGTAAGATGCGGTTCTGGACTCGTGCATTGAGCATCGAGAGATTGGATGCTGATATGCAAAGCACGGCGAATTGTAATGCCGGAGAGTGGACGGATCTGTCGATAAATTCCAGAGAAGCTGCCGGAAGGAGGTGTCGCACATGAGTTTGGAAATGGTTCAAGTATCTGACCTCTATCTGATGATGCGTGTTGACAGTTGGTGGTACACTAGGCCTTTCCAGTCTGCTCAGGTGCTTGAGCATGCCAATCTTAATTCCAGGGCCTAGCACACCTTTGGCTGTACTCCGACTTGAAATCGGACTTGATCGAGTTGAGGTTGTTTGACCTGCTGGCTGCCGCTGAAACAGTGCTCCGTCCAAGTTACGGAAAGTATAGTCGATGCCGTAGCTACAATCTAGTGACAGCCTTTTGCAGGCCCGGCAGCTTGGCCTTGCCTCGTCGCACTGAAGAAGTTCAATTCAGAAGATGCCTGATATCGGCAGTAGGATGTTGACTAACCCGCTTTCCTCTTTTACGGCATGGTCGACAGCCTGAGTGGGTACGGCGAATTCTGTGTTGGTTTACATTGCTTGTTATAGAAGACTGTATAGGCATATCTGGTCAACATAGTAGGTCCTTTGGCTGCGACTTCAAATTGGAGACACGATGAAAATGAACCTTCAAGTGAGCACCCGAAATCGGGGCAAATACCGTATTGATTACTCATCTGGACCCGCAGAACCAATCACACGCTCGTCCTAGGTATGAGTCTTGGTTGTATATTCCCTTGATCACAGTATAAATACGTCCCATCAATATAAACGAGGCCTGAAGATTGTTTGACTTAAGCTTTGCATTGGTTGGTGAACGCGGCTTGCTTGGTGATGGCCCAAGAGGTAATACATTAGAGATGCCATATATGATCACCTTCCGTTTACCCCAACCCTCCGGATGAAGCCAGGGACAACTGACTGTCGCTGACTAGTGGCATCACAGAATCGCACGGCTTAACCTCGGCATATGGAGACGTGAGTCATCCCGCCTGAAATTCTCCCCTCAAGCAAAACCTCCTGTTTCCCAGATGAGACCCTCCATACTGGTGAAGGTATTTCGTCATGAGCATCATTACTCGCAAACTTGTGGTAGTCGGTGATACAGGCTGCGGAAAAACTAGTCTCCTTCTTGCCTTCACTCAAGGCAGCCCCGCGAGCGGCGAAATACCTACTCTATTAGATCTTCACGAGGTTGCCTCCCCGATCCCGGGGAGCCAGACCCAGTTCGCTCTTTGGGACACTAGTAATCGAGGAGAATACAGCAAGCTTCGAGAGATCTCATACCAGTTGTGTGATGTTCTTTTCATCTGTTTCTCCATTGATTCGCCCCAATCCCTGAGAAATGTGCAGACACAATGGGCCCCGAAAGCTCAGCATTTCTGTGGTGATAAGCCGATTATATTAATTGGGTGTAAAAAGGATCTGCGTCGCGAACAAAATCCGAAAGCGAGTAATTCATTCTTGCAGTTGATGACGAAGCTAGTGGGTCGTGAGAAGGATCTGCGATCTGATGAAAAGCCGAAGACGAGTGAAGCGCTTTCCCAGGTGGCAACGGAGCAGGTCACCCGCAAGCAGGCTACCAAGGCTTGTCGTCAGATCGGGGCTAGTCAATACCTCGAATGCTCAGCTATGACCCTGGAGGGAGTTCAGCAAGTATTTGAGGCCGCGACGCGCGCTGTCACGCACTACAAGACTGGCTAGTGCATTGTCAGAACATCAACTCTGTGAGGGCCGAGCGACGAGTCGAGGAACTGGAAATCCATCAGTTTCTGTTTCCTGAGATTTCATTCGACACAGTTGTGGATTATTACCCAGTGTGGGTACGCAGTCCAACAATACTCGAGTGACACAGCGGGCTGATGGCAATTTGGCGTGAGTCTCCAACAACGACTTCCATGACCGCAGGTAGGCGGGGAATTGGGATCGAGAGACCTACTATAATACAATGTTTATTAGAGACATTGTGGGCTATGGCGCTCAACGGCATATCTTGAGTGGACTTTTCCCTCTAACTGTGGTTATCTAGAAACGGTTCCGACCCTCAATCTCTAAAGCATCTTAAGACGCAGAACCGGATACCACTCTTATATAAACCATGCTTGGGAATCATAATGGTCACGTAATGTCTGAATAGATAATTCAGCACTTCTCGGACTTCTGTGCCAGTATAGAGTAAAAGCAGTCCATAACAGTCGTCCACAAATGTATGCTGACTATATAATACACCTGTGTTGGTTTCATGCTCAGGGATATCGACTACATCACATCAATAGAGGTACGGCTCTGTCACAATTAGGATCGCCTTTAACGTTAATAGACGAACGTCGTCCTTTCATACAAGTAGTCACACGTTCCTACTACCCAACTCTTTCATTTCTGTCCTTCATACGCTTTTAATGAGGAATGTAGAATACATCTAACATCTGCTGAACAATTGCAGGATTCACGGTGCCTTTACCTCGGCATACTCCAAGTACACAACTTTAGTTATGCTGAGCTAGTTATGACTGATAACATAAGCCAATTAGAATACGAAAGCTTGGCACTGATGACGTCTCGTTGGCTACCTAACAGTTCCTCTGTCTATTTAATGTAAAGTAGCATCATCCCACTTCACTTCTAACTCTAGACTTCCTGTTTCCAACGGATAATCGTTACAGACAAGCCTCTTTTACTATGACGACAGCAGCAGTTTTTGGCTCTACAGGGGCAGTGGGCGGCCAGATCCTCGCTACACTTCTTGCCGCTGACGCCTTCTCATCCGTCAAAACTGTGTCAAGAAGATTACCAAATGTACAGTCTCCCAAGCTACAGACCCTGGAAGAAGGTGACAGCTCGAAATGGGGCGACATGATCGCCTCTCTTTCCCCAAAGCCATCGATAGTCTTCAACGCAGTCGGCACCACGAGGGCTGCAGCCGGCGGAATCGAGAATCAGTGGAAGATCGACCACGACTTATGCATAGACAACGCCAGAGCAGCCAAGGCGGCAGGAGCGAAGACGTACGTGTTTATCTCCAGCGGAGGCACCAGGGGCTTTTTCTCTCGCTACGTCCCCTACTCGAAGATGAAGATTGGCGTGGAGGATACTATCAAGGAGCTCGAGTTTGAACATAGTATCATCCTGAGGCCTGGGTTGATCCTCCAGAGGGAAAAGCCCAAAGCTGCGTTATTGGAGAACATTGTTCAAAATCTAAATAAGCTGGGCCAAGGTGTGCAGGACATGATAGGTATAACTAGTCCGATCGCATTTTTAGTTCTTTGGAGTTCTGAGTACTCATTTCAATGTGCAGGTCAGGATCAAACTATTATTGGTAGAGCAGCTGTTGTGGCTGCTCGTATGGCGGAAGACGGGAAGGCACCATCAAAATACTGGGTTCTTGAACAAGCTGATATCGTAAGATTAGGCAGAGATGAGTGGAAGGAGTAATGCTTCTTTGCCAAGCAGAGTTTGCTGGTATACACGGGTTGCCCTTTAAGATTTATAATGTGGATTGCGGCATAGCACTCATATCCAAATTTCATAGCGTAGTTTATACTTCGTCGATTAATCCAGGTATTGCTAACTGTACTGGAACGTCCTGAGCCCTGATGATCTTCCAACCCCAAACCCTTTATTGCCACACTTGGATTAAAGTCGAGGCACGCCTGCCAAGATGAAGAGAGAAGCACCAGTCCCCCTGGTTCCTTATTATCCTGACCAAACCCGAAAGTGGTGGCTGGCTGAGCCTCTCGACGGATGCAGCAAAACCGAATCTCAAAGTATCCCATCCCTTACGGTCTTCCCCAGTCACCCTTAATTTTGAATGGCTGAAGTGTGGCTTTTTTCTGGACTTTAAGTCATGAATGCTACTTTGCCCCCGTGGTGGGCTAGTGGGTTCAGTATCAGAAATGCTGGAAGAAAGGCTACCTTTTATAGACCATGCCCTTAGTCGGTCTTTCTCGCTGGGATTAGTGAACATACGTGCATTCTCTAGAAATAGACTAGTCAACACAGCTACACCATGATCGGCTGTCTTCTACGATGATCTCTCCTTGCCACTGGAGCTTGGAGAGCTGTCTACGAAGAACAAACGACCTATGATGAACTATCTGAGCCTAATATGACTTTTCATAAAGTTCTGTCACTCATAACTTTTAGCAGGCCTTCGGGAACGAGTTTGGGTTCGTCCCGACCGAAAACAGCCAAGAATGTAGCTTCATCCCTTGCCTACTGTCCTGTTTACACCACCCAACCAATAGATACGAAGGTGTGGCGATCTGTCAAGTGGAGTACAGCAATGAAAGGCCGGTTGCGGAAATAATTGTTCAGAGTATCGCTGTTCTAAAGAGAACACTATACCCTTATATAAAATGCAGCCTTCCAAACTACCTTCGGAATTACCTGACCATCCTTGAACTTTTCAAGTGACGTTTTGTTTCAACCAGACCTCCTCACACATCATAAACGATAAAGACAATATGAAGTTCACTGCCGCCCTCGCCCTCCTCCCTCTCGCCGCCTCCGCGTGGGAAGTCACCACCGGTTACTGGAAGAGCTCCGAAACAGATGTTTGCGCAAAGGCTTTCTTGCCCAAAGGCTTCCATGTCACCATTAACGACCTCCTTCCCGGCCAGAAAGTTTTCTTTTTCTCGGATGATGAATGTGAGGATCTGGAGTTTTCTGTGCACGAGGTTGGTACCGTGAAGCTCGAGAGTCGGGTGAAGAGCTTCACGGTGCTGGACTTTGAACAAAAGCAAGATTTGAAATGAGCCATTGTAAGGAAAATTCATATTATACCACCGGGCTAGGCTGATCGATTGTATGGTATTAGACTATCGAAGCTTTGGAAATATGCTTAAAGCTTGGGCATAAGGTGGACGTACTACCTCTATGGGTCTCTTTTCTGGGATACAGGGCACCATTCATTTCCAAGTAGAATTTATTATGCCACTCACAAGAGCCAATTCCTTCAGAGCTTGTGGGTAGTGCGAATGCAATCTTTACTGCAGAAAAAAATCCCAAATGTCTTTGGAGATAATATAACAACGTACGTCTCAGATGGGGCAAAGCTAAGGTAGCATGAGCTCAACCAATAACATAAGTGAAGCTTTATCCAAGTCTATAGTCGGATTGCAAATAAGAAAGAGTAGTCGCTATCTGGCTCGACACAAGTTTCTGTAACCTGGTTTCGCCTTTACCAAATGGGTATGTACATCTACCAGGTATTAATTCAATAAGCCTTGCTCAGTCTTAAACTCACTGTCCAAAGGAGTTGCATGAGCTAGAAACATAAGACATCCAGCAGAGTGCCGTCCATACGCTTCGAAGAATAAGAACACTACCTATATCAACCATAGCTAGAGACCTCGGCGATCCAACTAAGCCGCAGATTGGGCTCCCCGCTCCTGCAGTGCCTGCCGAACTGGTGGCAGAATATATCGCCCGTAGTCGATCGCGTCGTTCAGGTTATCATATCCACGAATGGAGATCAGTTCCGCACCCAAGTCAACATAATCCAAGATCGAGTCCACAATCGTCTGGTAAGACCCAACTAGTGCAGTCGATGCTCCCCGAGCATTCGTGGCAACAACTGTGGGGTACCAAAGCGCGCGATCCTGCACCTCACCACGAGCCGCAATATCTAGCAGCCGTTGAGATCCAACGTTCTGCGGCTGAGAAGGCGTGTTGCCCTGGCCACCGGGGCGATTTGCCTGAAGCGCATCCAGCGTGCGGTGTGCCTTCGCCCAGGCCAGTTCTTCTGTCTCCGCGATGATGGGTCGGAAGGTCACCCAGATGCGAGGCCGATCAGACCGGCCAGCCTTTTCGGCTGCGGCATAGATTTTCTCAATCTGCTCCTTGGTCTCCTTTAATGGTTCTCCCCAAAGCCCAAAGATATCGGCCAGTGCACCACCAATACGATAGGCGTCGTCGGACGATCCACCCACGGAGATAGGGATAGTCTCCTTTGTAGGACGAACCTTGTTGGAAAACTGCTTGAACTTGTAGTATTCGCCATCCCAGTCAAAGGGGTCTGGCGATTCCCACGCCCGGCGGAGAATTCGGATATATTCCTCCAGACGGGCATAGCGTTGCTCCTTGGTCAGGAAGTCGCCTTCCTTTGCTTGTTCGGCATCACTGCCTCCAGCAATGAAATGAACGACTACACGGCCGGAACTGAGTTGGTCCAGCGTCGCGAGCGCCTTCGCTGCGACGGTGGGGTACAATGTGTTTGGCCGAAGAGCAATGATAATCTTGAGATTTTTCGTCTTGGCTGCGATAGTGGCACCTATTGTCCAGGGGTCGAAGTACGATGAGTCGTAGGGCACCAATGTGTAGTTGAACGCATAATCATCTAGGTTTCGCGCGTAGCGCTCCAGATATTCTGGATCGATCGTTGCATTAGGAATTGGCTTGATCTCAGTGGAGGCGTTCGGAAACGTCAAACTAATAAATTCAACAGGCATTTTGATAATCTTTGATATTATTCTTTCTCAGTCTATGCAATGGCTTTCTCGGAGCTGGAGAGAGGGGAGTTATCACATCCTTTATACTAGTCTCTCATGGATATCTTACTGGTACCTTCTGGTGATGATTGGCTCCTCAATCCTATGGCGATACCGGCATTAAAATGACGCCTTATTCTGACGTTCGCTTAATAAGATCATGGTTATCTCTGGCCGCTTGTATATCTATTATATACGTTACAGTCCGAGTGTAGTGCATGCTTTTCTTAATCATCACGGCTAACTCTCCACATTGCGTAACTAACTTTGACCTTGATTCTAGATTAAATGCTCTTAAATGTAGTATAACTATAAGGTTTCGTACCTTGAATGGATTTATAATCCACCAGAGTCAGACCATGCGGGGAAGATAAATATCGCTGCAAGCGTCAGATCTCTCGGAATTGCGTGATCATGGCCAATCGCCAGCAAATGATATAACAGAACATATCGCTGACAGATTATGTTGATAAGGTTGATGATTGCGAATTGTCGCTTGACGGGTTATTTAATGCATATAAATATGGTGTCAATTTGAATTTGTCTATGGGACAAGGGGATTCGCCAGATTGGTTGGACTACAGTAACATTGCCCCCTCTATCTGTGTTCTTCTTGGATAGCTTTTCATCTCGCTGGATCAACATTATTGAAGACTACAACAGGTGATATGTGTATGTATTGAACGTATTCTTCATATTGGCCGTCTTTCTTTTGGTGTTGACCATAACCAGGTTGGCTGGCGAAGCTATAAATACAAATCTGAGACTATCTATACATGCAAAGCAGAAAGTGAGTGGAAACAAGCGGGCGTCTTCGGAGAGCTCGTTCCACCGAATATCGATCATATCACATTAGACGTAAAATTGTAATGTGTGCCAAATGAGAGGCGAATTTAAAGTGGTATTTGATCTGCATACCCTTCAGGCATAAAGCTTAGTGGTTAGGGCTTCCCTGCACCGTGGAATTAGAAGCCGCAGATGAGCTAGGCACACATGTACCATTACCCCACCAAGCGCGAGCGGCAGCCGTCCAGGTAGTCGCAGGCGACTTATAGTTCTCCCAGGTGTAGAAAAGGCGACAGTCAGCTGGTTCGTAGAGGAATTGGACCGGGATCTCGTGGTTATCACGGAGATATGAGTTCTTCCAGTTAACAGTCAGGGAAGGCAGGTTGAAAGGAAGCTCCTCCACTGCGGGGGCAGAGGCATTCAGAGCCTTACGCTGCTCCAGGCTGAGCAATGGCTTTTCATCCTGCGTGGACTTCTCACCAAGAGTCTTAGCCCCCTCAACCCATAAGTCAATCAAAGCCGATGAGGCGACCTGGCTGCCCTTAGATCCTCCCATTGCTTGCATAGGTCCGTTCTGTGGCCGACCACCAAAGGCCAGGGTCTTGACACCACCTAGGTGAGTCATCAACTCTGTAAAAAGGGTACAGGTTGAGGTGCAATATCCATCCGTCACCTAGCAAGTATTAGCCTAATACATCTTTGTATTAAAAGTGAATAACCTACGACAAGGATGTCCTCGGGTGCGAAAGGAGTGGCAGTTTCGTTCAGCTTGACAGGACCATATCCACGGATAGGAAGTTCCCAGCTAGAGATCACATCAAAGTCGAAGTTTGCGGCAATGTGACTAAGGTTAGCTCCATTCACCTGCTGGGGTCCATAATATTCTTCCCATGACTGGAAATGGTACGTTTGATTCGGAGAAACAAGATCGTACAGAGCAATGCCCTCCGCTCCGTAGTCGTCCGTATCCTCCGTTAATGAAGCCAGTGCTTGTCCAACAATATTGACCGACTCATGGGCACGGATACGAGAGGCTGTATACATATCCGCCTGGGGAAAGAAAACTCGAAAGAGATCATATCCGGAGGCAGTGTTACCACCAGGGTTTCCGGAAACGTCAATGACCAGCTTTTTCTTCCCGGTATTAACCGCCTTCTTGACAAAGTCGGTGGCATGGTTCGCAAACGCTAATGGATCGCCTTCATACTTGTTTGTTTCGAAACTGGGCACGAAAAGTACAGCGACATCCTCAAGGTCATCTTCGAGGAAGTACCCCGAGATTGTGTTATACTCATCACGCATGGCAGGCTTTGGATACATGGCTGGTGCCTTCTTTCCAGCAGCCTCGGATCTCTTCGATAGACTGTCTTCGGTGACATCGGATGCCGACGCCGATTGCGCCAAACATACATCTTCCCAGAGAGCACTGCCATTGCCGTACTTGAAATTTTCCAGCGCAATCTCAGCATGCGTTGGAACTTCCAGTGATGTTCCGTTGGCGAAGGTTAGATTCTGGGCGGCATAGCCAGGCCACAACCCATTATTAAATGTCCAAGTGCCTGCCAAACCTTGTTGGGCTATGTAGCGGGCATACGAGGGAAAGAGGTGGTTGTATCTCGCATCCGGGTCTTGGAAATGGTCTGATTCCGCGTACTGATTCAGGTACGACACAGCGTCGTAGCCATTTATGGTGACAATGGGAGAAACTTTCTTGAGATGTTTTTGCAGAACCTTTGCGTCCTCTATGCGTGACGGTCAGCTGGCTTCTTAGCGGTAATTGTCCGCATTACATACCTAATGTGTAGAGCTGGGGAAGCTGTACCCCATCAGACGATATCGATATCAACGGTACAAGGTTCTTGAAGTAGAAGATTGTGTCTGAGCACAGAATGCCACCTAAATGGCCGTCATTTGCAGAATGGAGAACCTGTAGAATAGCATTATCAAACTCGTAGTGGCTAGTAAATTGGCTGTTTCTAGCTTTGGCGAGTACCTCATCCATACCCCCAAGGAGGTCTGTTGGGGCGGAGAGATATCCAGCTGGGGGGTCTAAAAAAATCGTTAGACGGCTCGGCCTTGCGGGTGACAACAGGTTGCTACTCACTTTCCAGAAGTTCAATCGTTGATTGAAACTGGATGTATTTGGTTAATTCGGAGACAAATTTCGCTCCCTTTTGCGCATCAAAGGGCATGGACTGGAGACACTCATGTGCGAGCCCTCCGTCAACCATAATAGGCTCAGTCACTAGAAGTTGTTAAAATGAGGTAATGCTCTCAGCACGCATAGTATTCTTACCATTTGCCTTTACAGCTTGCTGATATAAACTGCTCACTTTTGCACATGGCTCCTCTGACCGGGCCAAGGCACTGGGGGCAGCAACAGCGGATAGAGCCCCAGTCAGGGCGAGGAAAGGTGGTGATTTCGGAAACATCGCCCACAATGTCTGATTTTGTTGTGATTATCTATAGTGAAGATATTCCTTCTTAATCACAGAGGTATAGCCTTCTTATATGGCCCAGGAGCCTAAGTGTGGCTATGGTATTGATGAGGATCCAGTCGGAGCACTGCCCAAGCCAAATTACGCCTGTGGGTCGCTTGTTTACCTGAGTATTCTTTACATACCCTTGTTTTCTCATTTGTTGGTAGGAAGTACTATGGAGATGATCACTAGGCTGCATCGCCATAGCCATCGAGCCCCTGTTTTACCCACATAGTGTAGCAGGGCCAACGCTCGTTCAGGGTAAAGTCTATCACCACCGATCATTATAAACACCACGACCAACCACAGAGAACAGAGAACAGGGCTTGATCATTGGTAGTTGCGTGGCGCCAGGATTGACACCTGTAAGATCGTCGCAGGGCAGATGGGGTCGGCAATTATCTTCTATGATTGGACCTGGTGGCCTTGGCACTTAAGCGCATTGAATGGGCACGGCCGAATAAAAGACTCATATCCTGTAGAGGTGAAGGTAGTAGCATGGGGGCCGAATTGGATAGGGCTATGATAGTCTGTTCAGTTCTCCACCATGGATAACTGCTTTTTGCGAACTAATTGGATCACTTTTTATAGAAAAAAAGAAGAAGAAAAAAGAGACTTATACCCGCTAGCTTACTGTGTAGCTTACATAGCGCCAAGATTCAACTCCTGGATGATTACCTGATTCTGATCGTTCCAACGAAAGGTGCTTACTCAATTGACCATCCATACCAATACGTGTAGTGTAGTAGGTACTTTTGGCATAGGAGGGTTTCCTAGCGATACTAGGTAATTGTTCTAAGGGACGGGCATACAGCCGATCTGACTTGTAAGGATTCCGAGGGTTAACATTATCTGAGCCTCCCTATGTCGCCTGCCCAGGTGCTGTTTCTTATTCTCCTTGTGGTTGTATTATTTTTCCTAGATCTATATTTTAAATCATTTCTATGCAACTAGTTATGTGTGATATAAATGGGAGGACTGATCAGTCAATGTCGAAGAGTCGACCAGTTTATGTGACGCTGGAACACTATATATGAGATAAGCCTACAAATACCTCCCAACTTTGGTCCTTCTGCTTGCCAGTATCTTGTTCTTCAAGGATTATAGTGACAGAGTGTAAATACATAGATATCTTTCTCCCACCTTGTCCAGTTCCACCAATTTCAAACCAGTAGCCAATAAGAGTTCGATAAAAGGTCGTGGTCCATGCAGGTTGAAAACACTGAAAACAATGAAAACAGGGATAGGGCCGGCCCTAGTCTCAACACATATTTCAACAGCGTGAACGCGAGAATCTGGACAAAAGGTTTACACATATCACCAACCGGGATTACACCATTTGTGAAGTCGGGACAGTTTTGAGCCATCAGAGCAATGACCCTCGCGAAAACATGGTCATTGGAGCTAATGGCCGGTCTCCACCGGAAGGATTCCACAATGTATTCGATCCTTCCAAGGGATGCTAACAAGATTCTGATGGTGCAAGCCAAATAGAATCGTCCAGACTGAGGCTCAGAGGCCACGCATGAGGCTCTCATCTTCCCCGTCCGTTATCCCCACCTGGTCTGTGTGTTAACGACGGACATGGCCGTAAGTGTTTGCCCCTGGAACTGCCTCATCCCTCGCTGTCCACATCCATGATGATGATATCTCGGAGCCTTTTGGTTCCCTGAAGCCTTTCTTCTATGGTGAAACATCTATACCTTATTCAAGACGGGTCTCTGAACAAATTATGCTTCCTCACTCATTTCTGTCCGCCCACATGCAAAACATATTGGACACATTGCTGACCAGATAAATTGATATGAAATTCAGCACTACCTTCCAGGGTATCCGCATGCCTCCTACGTTTGCCTGTAGCTCTCAAAGAGTCTAATCGACCGTACGATTCTACTCTCTCCACTCCGATTCATAGGGCGCATACCCCTAACGACCCGAAGTAACCTAGGGGGCTGACTCAATAGCAAGAGTGCGGTGCCAGCCATCTATTCGTTGCCTCCTTCTAACACAGGATGGTGCAGCGACGATCACAAATTATCGTAATTTTCCACAGCCCAATGTGCGCTTCTCTCTCCCGGGAGCTTCCATTCCAACACTGATGCTCAGATGCTTAGCCACACTTAGTTTTAGCCCCAACCCGGCATCCACTCACTAACTCCACCGAAACCTGTGTATAGTAACCGACGTGTCCGTTAAAGGATCAGGTAATACAATCCTTCTTAATCTGTAATTAGCCCCATCGTAGCGGAAGCAGAGGCAGTGCGCTCTCGGATCGGAAAATTAAATCACCTCCTTCTGGTCGCAACAATGCCCGAACATCCCTATCAAGCATTTCATTGAGGGCTTGTCTGACATCGGGCTTTGTGCTCTGAGCCCTAAGTCCGTCAACTCCCTTAACGACATCGTACTTGTCCATGGTCTTATAAGTTACTATCATGGTATTCATCGATATCCTTCTCCCTCAAAAGTGGAACGGTCTCTGATGAATCAAAAGGACAGCAAGCCAACTGTAAGTTCTGGAGGCGTAATGCGGTAAAGAGGTCGTTGCGAGGATAAATGCGCGTGGACTAGGTATTATATTTCCGGTCGGACATACTATCTTCAAACTTGTCATCATCTTCATGATCAAAATTTACGGTGGTTGTCGTCATTCCTCCCAGGCAGATCTTTTCACAGAATGTGTGCAGCATGCTAGACATGCCGTAGTCGTACCATCGAATGTAACTAAGCAGGGTAATGGTAAGATGTAGCTTTACGAGTACATGAGGAGAGATCATTGGAGAATTCTGTGATGAAGAAGTAGGGCGTTGCTTGGATATCAAAGTTATAAATCTATTGCCACATGAAATACATGATTCCACAAATGTCAAGATAGACGATATGGTATAACAGTAAGTTCCCATCCTCCAACAATTTTAACATTTCCAGAATAGCATTAAACAAAGCAATATGCCAATGCACCAAATTTCTATAACAGTGTTACAACCAATCTTCAACACTTTCGAACGGTATACTCTCCTCCCTTTCCTGGGAGGAGCAGGAGCTTGATACTGCTCGTACTGCAGCACTTTGCCCCGTCGCCCATTCCTTAAGTTTGTCCGGGTTGCGGACACACCAAAGCAACACTTCTCTAGTCGCAAGCGTATCTTCGACACAGTCGTGTCCGTTCCTGGATTGCTGGATATTTATTCCCAGGAAATCTAGACACAAGGTCTTCAACTTCCAAGTGCGGTTGCAGCCAGATCCCACCATTTCCTTGGACACCGCATGCTTTGTAACAGTAGCGGTGTCCAAGACCTTCGCGTGATTCATCCCCAAAGCACGCGTATCATTCTTAAGCGCATGCCCAACCAAGATGGTTTCACCATCTACAAATTTGAGGACTTCCGCCCGCGCTTCCTCCCAGCCGTTCACTGTCTTCCCTTTCCTTTTCATATTTTCCAAGCGGCTTGGTGTCATCCCACTCCACGGTGTACACCAATCTGTAACAGGCCCCGTCGGAATGACACCCTTGTCGACCACTATCTCCCCGGATAGTACATCCACGGCGCAGACCTGGACTACCTCATTCTGGCCACGGCCCACCTGGACCATTTCACAATCGATGGCGACGACCGATCGCCGAGCCGGGCTGATTTCATGCCCTTGAGAGGCATTCCAGTGGCGCATTCGAGCAATGTGTGGGTTCGTCGAATGGCATAATGCCTCCAAATCCTTGAGAATATTTGCCTGCTCTGGCTCTGGGATGACCGACCAGGCGTTATGTGGAGTCACCGGATTTGTGACTCCGGATACAGGCACGTTTTGCCATTTGCCCTTTCCCTTCTTGTGTTGGCCGTTAGATTGGCCTACATCCGTTGTTAGTTTGCTGCGGTGTATATGAAAAGATAATATGCAACGTACCTTTTTGTGGGCTGTTGCCCTTCTCTCCGGAGAGTTCAACGCTCTCGTTATCCTGTCTTCCCACATCCTTCGTATTCCATTCCCCCTTGTCGGATGGGGCTGTGAGCGAGAGTGTCCCCTTCTCGGTCTTTCCGTTCGGGTGGGTGTTGGTCCCAGACCGCGAATACTTGGATCCCGACATCATGTGTATTGTATATATAAGGCAAGAAGTAAAAGTGATAAATAATCGATAAAGGTAGTCTGTTTGATATGGAGTATAGCTCTATGCTTATATAGCTATAAAAGGGACGTTTTAAGCTGATGTGGATGTATTGGTGTTCGGTAAGGAAAAGGAAGAGCAGGCAATGTGGACTGACGAAGATAGGCAGATATGCCAGAGTCCAGCATAACGGTAATAGTTATATCATATGTCTACGTACGTGTTATCAACATAGATGGTAGCCTGCCGCAAGACGTTCCTGCCCGAATGAGTCATCATGTTGACGCTTAGACAATAACGTATTTAGTCTAATTCTCTAGCCTCGTAACCGTTCTACATAGCAGCTTTGATGGTGCTCTGAGTTACTCGAGATTGTGATTATTGGTTTGTCAATGTCAAGGCTACGAGATTTGGAATATAATGGTATTCAGGTAAACGCCTCATAAAGTAATAGGCAGAGGGATCGACAAAGGCATCGTTTCAGTGAGACAAAGCTCTCCATGAGGATAAGGACTCAAAACAGGTTTCGTCGTCATTATCACCATTGTGTGTCTTTCAAACACCTTGACTATGGGTACACCAAACCGAGACTTTGAATGACGCTCTTACAACCTTTTTAACAAAGGCCCTAACGACACAGTAGTTAAATGAACCGCATTCCCCACATTTCCACAATGTAGAGCCACCAACCATTGATACCAGGCTGAACAGCCTCATACCAAAGGGGCAGAAAGAGGAAGAACCTTAGAGTCGATCTCACGCGTAGCCATGGCTTTCTGAAGGCTTTTTAAACGCGAAAAATACCACAATTGCCTCATACAGGCAAGGCCGCATCCCTTCGCTCGGGCCTACTTCAAAATTGAGATTGATATTCCACGCCACGAACAACGTGGTAAACACAAGAGGGTGTCAGTCTTGACCGTGATTTCGGCTTGTGTTAAGCTACTCCGAGATCCTTCAAGCTCCCAGGGATTTCCGGCTCTGAATCCAGAGCAGAAGTATGGGAGGGTCCATTTCAGGGTGAGAGGTACGACAATTGACGAGGCCTTTGAGAATCTCTGGCAATACTTGGTAGAAGTGCAGTATCACTTCCAGGCATCTTTCAAAATCCATGAGGGATTCGTTTCAATGCCGCTCAAGTGTCGCCGTACCACACATTCGCCAATCATGTTTGTGATGAGATGGTGTGAAGGTAGAAGAAATAAGCTCTCAATCTGGCCAATGATTATTGAAGTACCCAGTCTGAAAGATTCCTTGGATGGGGCCGTGGGCAAGGAAAGAATTGCAAAACTTCGACATTTAATAACCATGGAAACCATTGAAAAGGGCTACATGGGTTAATGTGTGCACCCATTCTTTCAGAGTAATACAACTTTGATTATCAGTTTCGTTAACGTTCTTGTTTCTCTCGTTGTTGGTTTCATAGTGTCTATCGTTGGGATATCAATATAACTTGTCAATACCTCTGCATACTTTCCGTGTCAGACCACTCTTTGCTGACTATATTCTCGTCATTGCGACTCTGAGCTCTGTAGGTCATGTTATAATGCTGAGCGTTTCGACGCTCACCATTTTTAAAGATATTGCAGCATGCTAATCAACTGTAACCATCTTTCTCATCACTCATGGATTGTTGAGTACCCCTAGTGATGTATTCTCCTTATACGGTTATGGCGTCAAAATATATGGTGAGCAATGTACGACAGAAAGCACAAACTAACGATCGCAGGATAGACTACGGACTTCCCCTGATACACATTCTCATAAATAAAGTCACACAATGGAAAGGATTCCACTCTTTGTAAGGTTTGAATAGTACTTTCATCTAGGGTAAGGACCTGAAGGTATGAAATAAACCCAAGTTATGTGCTATTTCTTTGAACTAATACATACTCTTGACTTCTTCTACAGGTAGTAGCGCTTATGAAAGTACTGCGTTATGGGTCTGATGGGAAGCGCCATGGTGCTAAATGTAGACTTTGCAATACTTTGCATGTGCAATAATGCAACTTATGTGAAATTTACCCTATCACGAGATGGCTATATACCTTAACGTACATCAGCGTGTTTACCTAACACATACACCTCTAAAAATTCACTACTAGGAAAAAAGTCCGTTAGGAATTTACCTCTTAATTATCCTCTATATAACCAGCTTTAGCCCAACGTACAATTTACCCAGTAACACACCAATGATAAACAAAATATCGAACATGCAATTCACCCCGAAGATCACACATTTCTACTTCAGAATCTCCTAAAACGAAGTCAACAACACTTCTAAAATCATTTCCACTTCCCTGAAACAATTATTAGCAGACGATAGCACCAATGCCTAAGTATCCCATCCGAAAAGCCCGGTTTTTGGACAGTGTGTTACAGCATCACAACCTTGGAAGCTAACCTCAGCAAAAAGCTTCAAGAACTGGAGCACTACCTACAGGCAATGCAAGCGCAGCTTGAAATGGCCCCTAATCCTGCCTAGTACAAACCCCGGCTTGAGTGCCAATATAGGTCCAGCAGGACGGGATCTTATCTGGTGGAATGGTATGATGCGGAGATTTCTGCTATGGCTCGGAATACTCCGCCGAAGTTGTTCTATATACTTGACTCGATGGGAGATGGGTTACGTTTGGACTCATCTGCGAGATATTTGGATGATAGGTCTCTTTTTGCCCCGATTAAGCGCTGGGGTGATTCGTTTCGTTGATTATCGTGGGACATTTTTTTTCATGTCATAACATTGATTGATGCTTTGAGTTACAAGAGTTTCTATAGAGGGGCTTGGGGTAGGGGAGTTCTGTGGCTATATTGAGTAAATGGGACATTATTACTGGAACTAGCTCAATATTAGAAATATGATGAATAATAATAATAAAAGCAAATAAAGAAAACAAAGAATGAGCTGTCAATATGGAGAAGCACACTATCTGTGCTTCTCGGGTTGTTCCCGATATTGCTTTAGAGACTCGCATTCATCAGTCGGGATGTCATCAAATGCCGATTACTCACCAAGTGCGAAGGGTGTGAGCACAGGATGAGTATGCGAAAACTTAGGCCAGCAATGAATATTATTTCAAATGAAAGATGTTAGACATTAACGTACCACAGTGAGAATTAAAGTCTTAAAACTCTACCTGGCGAAAAGTTGGTTGTGACGAAAGCTACTGCAAGATATTGATGGAAAAAGAATTGAAAGAATTGAAATAAAGAATCTTTGAATTGTACAAAGCCTTATAAGAAGGCCCGAAGGATATATAACAAGTTAAAGCAAATGGATATAAATCATGTAACCCATAATCCCATATATACGAGAAGAGTATCCACAAGAAAAGTGCAAATAACCAACTCCAAATGCAAGACCACCCAAACCCCTTTTTATGCGTTCTCGGCGTGATAAGAGCGAGACTCCTTGCGTCCATGTTGGGCGCTGTACTGCTGGTCGCGAAGAGAAGGCATCTCAAAGTTGCTGCTCTTCCAGGGAGTGACCTTGTTGACGTACATCCAGTCGAGCTCCTCAAGAGTCCGGCCCTTACCCTCGATGACGAAGAAGTAGACGACGAAGGCAGCGACGGCCAAGCATCCAGCAAAGACGTATCCGTAGGCAAAGTCAATTGCACCGGTAATGAAGGGAGTGAAGAAACCGATGAGGAAATTCCAGCACCAGTTCGATGCGGTGGCCAGAGCCATACCCTTGGCACGGTACTTGGAAGGGAACAATTCGGCGCAGATAGCCCAGATCATGGGACCCCAGGTCATGGCGTACGCGGTGATAAAGAAACAAGCGACAACAATCATACCCTTGCCAGGTCCGGGAGTGTTTTCGGGGTGGGCGACGTCCAACATGAAGTGACCAATAGAAGCGAAGATTATGAAACAAACGAACATGAAACCAGCACCGGCGATGAGAGACTTGCGACGACCGAAGTTCTCAACAATGTATAGACCACCAAAGGTGGTACCGAAGTTGATAGCACCGAGAATAACTTGTGTGACGAAGCTGTTGGAGATACCGGCACCTTGGAAGATAGTGGTACCCTGTTAGGTTTGTATGTTAGCATATGACCTTTCGGAACTAAAGTTTGAAGAAGGGGGTGCTTACATAATAGAAGAAGTAGTTGGCACCAGTCAGCTGTTGCAAAGACTGCAGAACCATACCCAGGGCAATACGGTACAACATGCGGGGAGCAGTGATGAACTCGTGCCACACCTGCTCTTGGGATTCGGCGTCGAGTTGCTGCTGGATCTCCTCGATCTCCTGGAGGATAACGCGGTGGTTCTCGGGAACACCATAGAGCTTCGACATGGTGTTACGAGCACTGTCGACACGACCGTGACGGAACTCGAAACGGGGGCTCTCAGGGAAGCAAGCCATGCCACCACCGAGAATGAGAGCAAAGAAGAAGGTAAGACCCAAGGTAATCCGCCATTGCGCAGTGCCATCGAGGTGCTCAGTTCCCAAGTTAATGCAGTAAGAAAGGAAGATACCGAGAGTGACAAAGAGCTGGTAGCAACTGATCATGGCACCACGGACCTGGCGAGGAGCACTCTCACCCTGGTACATGGGGACGAGCAGAGAGCAACCACCGACGCCAAGACCAGTCACCCAACGGCCCAGGACCATCTGAACCCAATTACCGGCAGGGGAAGAGATTTGAACAATCAAGCCGACATTCAGGATGATACACCAGAAAGTAATAGACCATTTACGACCAAGCTTATCGGCAATAGGAGCAGCAACCAGAGCACCAATCAAGGTACCGATAGACAACAGACTAACAATGAGACCGGAGCGAACATGGCTGAAGTAATATTTACCCTCGTCGTTCAGTTGACCATAGCGTTCAAGATAGTTCCCCATCTCTTGGAAACCAGAGATCTGACCGGTATCATATCCGAAGAGAAGACCACCCATAGAAACGAAGGCACCCATGACAAAGGCCCGCAGGGTAATGCGGGGAACGGGAGTGTCAACACCAACATCCATAGGCTTGTTAACAGCCACAGACTCTTGGCTGGAGTATTGGGGAGCGCCAGCTGGGCTGATCATCTCCCCATGCTGGGCAGAAGTCTCGACACCCATGGTGGAGAGTATGTGGGAGGGAGCGGTAAGACTGTATTCGTACGACCGTATTTGCAGTTGTGGCTCAAAAGGCTAACACCGAATAGGTATATAAAAGGTAGTATAGGAAGATAGAAGAGGATAGCCCAAAAGAAGAGAACGGTATACCTCCAGGGTAGGAAACAAATTTGATGGGGAAAGAGGAGGACAGAGGTGGGAATTGTAATTTTGAATTCAGAAAAGGGGAGATCTGTGTCCTTTTTATGTCAAAACCGCATGCGAAAAAAATAGACAATAAAAAAAATTCAAAAAGGGAAGGGAGAAAATTTTCCACGAGAAACTAGTGAGGAGAGTCCCAATGTGGAGAGCCGACCTCACGGCCAGTGTCCGTCCGGGACACGGGGATAATAGACAATACTACCCGCATTTCCGTACAGGGCTCGCAGACGATTGGAGAAGAGGCCGGCCGAAACCGACAGCCATGAGCCAGTTAGGCCAGCCGAAGGAAACGGCCGGCTCAACAGGGGACAGGCAACAGTTCGGGATCCACGGCCCCTCGGCGTGGCCTCTGGTTCGTCATGGTGGCCAACCCCATCGGGACGCAGCCTGGAGACTGGCGGAGGGACAGCGAGATGAAGGGATCAGCGCCACTGACGGTCATAACTAGGTTGAGGCGTGTGTCAAAATTAAACCGTGGTTCCCATATGACGTCGCTAACAAGGTCCAGCGATAGAGTTCTATCGGCTTCGGAAGGAGTGTGTAACCGTTCGCAATGGGTTGTAGTGACCTCGGCATGCCTAGAAGGAGAACGGTGACTGAAGCCGTCTTGGCTTTTGGGGGGGGGCGAAGGCATCCTGCGTCGATGTGGCATGCGAGTATTCATGCTCGAGTGATGGATTTGTTGGGGTTTGGCCAGTCACGAGTCCAGGTTCTGGGGGATGTGGAGCACTAGACCGAAAACGATGAGTGGCACTTATCTGCTCCTGGACTAGCGCCACCCACAACTCCAGAATCTCGGCATCATCGGCCACACATGGCCGGAATTTCACGGGGAGTGTGGGAGAGGCATTTCCTGGAGGTGATTATGGAGAAAACGAGGGGAGACTTCCTCTTCTGTTGACCGGTGAAGCCCAACCTGGAGAATATCAGGATGCAGGGACCGCGATGAAAAGAGGGGAAATGCGGAGTGAACGTCACTGCCTACAACTATGATAATATCGCATTTAGGATCAATTTACTATCGAATTTACAACGCCATCATATTCGCGGACGGTATCATCCACCTTCTATGGTCACATGAGACTCCTGAATGACAATACCCTTATTACTATTACTAATAGTACGGTGGACGGCTGAGTTCAGCTTACTACCGTGAAAAAAACAGAGCAATGCCGACCGAAATGGTCGAGCCATCGGCACCGGAAAACAGCTTCACGGCATCGTTTCCTTGTTGGATGTCCTGAACATCGCCGACCGAGCCGACTCTCGTCAGTGGCGTTGGATCTCGTGCATGGTTGGCCCCAGAACCATCCAAGCTTTGTGGATGGAAATTAGTGATTCGTGAACAACCTTCTAGAAAAGACCAGCAACTCTATCCTATCGAAATGACCGCTACGAATATCAATACTCGTTTAGATAAGATCAGTGTTTGTTAGTTTTAATGAATTTTAAAAAATAAAAAACAAAAATAAAATATTGGAAAGATTGAAAACTTTGATTCCCCCCCCTTTTACCCCTTAAGAGAGTAACAAACGTTCCTGACCTTGGACGGACTAATCGGAAACGCGCGGAAAAACTCTTGTCCAAAATCCAAATAGGGCTTTGTCGTCATGTGGTCGCTTAGACTGAATGACGTATCCCCGCAAAATTTCTGTCTGGAGCAACTCCACGACGACCGACCTGGAACCTCTGAGACCGCTGGAACTGTTTCGGTTCCGTAGAAACTTCCTTTCCAGGAAAAGCCCGACACTCTGTCTGTCTGGGATCAATCATCTTCCGACCCACGATTGCTTCTCCACACGCCACAGCACTGCCTACGGAGTAACTTTTTTTTTCATGTCAGGTGATCCAAAATAACCAGAGATCATTCTATTTTCACCATTCATGCTTGCTTGAATCAGGCATGACCAGTCCAGATCGAGGCTCAAACGTCGTCAATTGCATGATCTTATCTAGATTGCCACGTTGTCTTTCATATGGGTCATTGCGTTGCCTCTCGAACAGTCCCGATGTCCCGGGTGATCAGCCGAAGGTTTGAACACGAACTTGACCTAAATCACCTAATGCCTCTACAGAAGATGCTAGAATGCACGGATGTATCTGTGCTGAGGATATATTCCGTAGCTTACCATTCGACTGGGAATTCCGGGGTTATGATGCCATAGTTGTAGTTCCTGAAGCTTTTTAGAGTTTCTGTTACTGTATACTTCCGCTTGCTGTTGTAGACGGAACGTCACGGGAGGAAGTATAGGCACTCTTCCCAATAGGTGGTGGCTGGTTATACTGTTATAGCTTGACACTAGCTTAATATGTATAATATCTCTGGATGTATTCATATTCAGGTGATACGTTACTTGTGTTCTCAAATTCAGCCTAGATTGTCCAATTAACACACATTCTGCAAATATATATTTTCCCTGAGAAAAGACATATGGTGCAGACCCCCTAGGCACGACAATGAACTAGCCTCAAAGATATCATATTACCATGAATCAGTTACCTATATCTGTGATTACATGCCTTTGCACAGAGGTCTATACTTTAGCAAAATTGACAAGTCACGCCTGCTTTGGCGATACATCGCGCGTGTAGAATATCGCGTCATGTGAACAAACAAAACCGTGCGGGTCACATGACCATAATCACCCGCTTCCGAACCCGGGCACTACGTACAGACAATCCTTTCACTTAATAGTGGCAATATAGAAGAAGTTGATACTCTACATGTGCATTTAGGCTTTGGGTTGGTAATCACCAGGTCTAGGCATATTCCATCGATGCCGTGAGAGAACGGAGCTTTGTGGTCCCCGTCTGACATGCTTAGTTCCGAAGGCTTACATCCGATCCCGAAGGATCCGCAGGACGAGCAAATCAACAAATGAATAAATTGCCATTGGTTTTGCCCAGATACTTACATTACAGACCGAGAGCAGCCAAGAAATTAAGAAACTAAGCCTTTGTTAACGGGCTGAACTCGGGGTAGCCCCCCGTGTCCCTCACTGAAACCTCGCCAATTCCGACCTCACGTTCACTTCTCGTCTCACCCAGCTTTAAACCCGATTTGAAAGTGACCTTCTCGAAGACGACAACCATATCCGAGCCACCAAATTGGAAGTACGAGATGTTATCGCCTTTCTTGACATGGTCGCCTTTCTTCACGGTCATCCCAACGGAAGGCACCTGAGCCATGCCAATGGGTAACACCGCGACCTTGCCATAGTCCTTCGTCTGGATGACGACGAGTCCACGGGTCTGGCACCATTGACACCCGGCATAGTCCGGAGCATCCAGGTCGTAAAGCTATGGCCACCCTTGACCTTTTCCCTGCGTTTCTCGATCATATGCGGGGCCCGGACCAGTCCCCGGTCGCCGGACGGGTGACCCTTCTTGGTAGCAACCTGGAGGAAGACCTGGTCTTGGATATTCTTGACCTCGATGACGTCACCACTCACGGGTGCATGCTGACGGTGGTAGTCGGTAGAGCCTAGGAAAACATGCATGAACATCCCGTGGTGATAGTCGATAGCCGTGGTTTGTAACAATTTCTGAATCGGCCATTCTACCCCCTTGGTATCGATGCTGGCAATAGTAACATTACCTTCACGATATCCCAATTGCCGTCAAACATGGAGTCGGTTACACTGACAATGACCTTATCGTCATTCGGCTCAGCGAGCGGACGAGCCGAGTCGATATCCTGCCACTCGCGAGCGAACCAGTGATTGAACGACACCCACCCGGACTTGGGTTCCGCCCAGAGAGCTGCCTCCTTGTTATACTTCTCGTTTCTATAGAAAGCGTGCATGGAGGCAGCAGACTGCGGCGTATTTAAGAATAAGCCCTGTTGGCGTGCGAATGTCACAAGCCAGTAGGAAAGCCAGCTGAGATCCGTGTTCGAGTTCTGCGGCTGGATTTCCGTCTGGTGACCGTGGAGTGCCGGCTGATCGAAGACCCAGCAGAAGACGAGGATCTTCTGAAGGAGCTCGTCGCCCTTGCTGCTAACCTTGGGAACCCATTGGAGAAGGTCGTCGCAGAAGCGGAGGTAGTGGTCTAAGGTCTTGATGCCTTCGTTGGCCATTTCGTCGTCCTCATCTTCTGCGCTACCGGCGACAGCGGTTGCGATGGCATCATTGAAGCGCTTGATACGGTTCGCGTCGCGACTGATGAAGTCTCTCAGGTCGCGAACAAGAGTCTCCTTGGCGGCAGATTGAAGCGGCTGGCTGAAAGCTATAAAGAGGGGTATTCCATGCTGGTGGGGATTCTGCTGAAAAGTTGTAGCATAGCTGTTGGTCCGATATTCAACTCCAGCTCTGGGCGGCGCAAGTGAGCCTATTTCTAGTTATTGAGAAATACGACATGAAGGGCGTATGTCCCTGGAGGATCGTGCAGGGGATAGCCTGGACTAAAGCCCCTCGACTGGTACATTTACTAGCTGTGTTATAGTTTAGGAAAAGCACTGCTGGAAGACTTCTGACGCCCTCTTTCATTGTCCGGATAGCCTCTGGAAAACATAGTTGCCGGAGAAGAGCTGGTTATTTTCGTAGTTTCATTTGTTCTGTAGCTGCCTATAGCAGGAAGGGGCTAAGCCAGTGTGGGTGAGGCATACCTTATGTTGGTAGGATACATGGCTTCTCTCAAAGGTTAACATGAACCATTGGGCTAGATTGACTGGAGGCAGGACTCGTGGCAATTAAGACAGAATAAAGAAAGCAAAAGGCAAAGGTAAGAAATGAAAACAAAAGTAAGACGTAGAGAGCAGTCCAAGAGCTATGAATCTCAACAGTTTGTCTTACGCGAGCCGGAGAAACTGCATATCATATTCTAGCTGCCACATTGAGTTATCTTCTAACATGATTGTGGATGCGGGTTCCTACGATGAGGAGATTGAAATCTGCCCTAATTCAATCCGCGGTCTACTATTTCTGGGAGTTCTGGTTTCGAATGGTGTGAGCCTCATCAGTAACCATCAAGCTGAAGAACACATTATACATGGGAAATGTGAAAAGTGCAACATTCGACTGCACTAGCGATATTTCTTCGACGAAAACTGGGACACAGTCGTTGCCACACCCGGGCTTAGATGCTTGGATATTTCTCACAGCCCCAAGTCTTTTCAATACCGAACCGTTGAGAATGTATCTGGCCATGGAGCTGCGGATAAGCAGAGATTAATTTCGGGGATACCTTGGTCATAAGTAACCCCACTCGGAATCAGTCGAACAAGATAATGCTTTTTGGTTTCTCTGAGGGTGTATAGCATGGGAGACTTTCCATGTCGTATGTGCCATTCATAACCCATAATGCCCCTTTGATCGATATTGAACCGTGTAGTCGCGTATTGCCATCGTGAGACCTTGATAGTATGAATAAAATGTTCAAGAATACAACCAGAGTATGAGTAAAGCTCATCCTTGTATATCCCATGCCCCGGTTCTAGCTATCATAATAGAACGCACCAAAATGTTGTTCAGTAAGCATAGCACCAAGCATATGTAGCAAAGTCGGAATTGAATACTCATGTGTAAAGTATTGAGAAAGTATGGGGTTGGTGCAGCTCAGTACCCAAGAATGGAGTTTGTGGCGTCGAGAGTTGGAAGCTTTCGAAATCGAAAACTGCGATCATCACAGAGGCGGAACCCGCTTAACTGTGGTTCTTGGTGAAACCCTTGACCAGCTTGGTCAGGAGTAATGGTAAAGGCCAATATTCAATATCGGCGCATCGAAACATAGGGTCTGGAAACCCATTATTATTCCGGTAGAACCTCTCGAGGTCCATAAGCAGGATGCGTCCTAGATTACAGGCGTCGGTCATATCCTTTCGTGACTTAAACCCATGGTCCTTTTTGAGTCAACACTCGTACCTGTTCCGGATCCATCTCGACTTGACTTCCCACTCTTTCCATTCCCCGAGCAATTTTCTCATGGCCCTTGTGTAGATCGACCTCATAGGCCACCTTCTGGTGCCGGGATAGTTCACCAAATTTGCCCCCAATTCATTAGGCCTGGGATCATTATCAACCCATCTTTCCTCCCCCATTTTCGTTTTATTCGCAAATATGTCTAATATACCTAACGTGATAGATGTGATGATTTCCAATGGAAAGCGTATCATCACATCGACTTGCGGACTCGGGTTGACATGTAGAAATCAATGTATGACCAGGGTATACTCCGGGCGTGCGGGTTTAGAATATATGCGGAACCAAATATGCCTATTTTTGAAGCAAGAAGCTCTGTGTGTATAAACCAGAAACAGCTTTAGGGACCTGCTTTATGGATTGCCATGCCGACCCGTTGGATGAACCATAGGAGATGAACTTCACGCAACTGCTTTCCCTCTGAGATGTCCCTGAGGATAGACGCCGACAATCCCTTATATTAGGACTTCATGTGCCTTTATGTGCTTTCGCGGCTCATTCGTTGAGTTCCATGCTTTCTATAGTACATATTAGTAAATGAATGCTATAAATAAAAGACCTGGAAGGTCTTACATAGCCTTTTGTAGACGCCGGCACTCGACAAAGTACTTCTCCTCAGTAGAGAATACTCTCGCCACTTCAATTCTCTATATTTATATTAACTGAAGTCTTTACTCTTCCTAGCTCATATTATCTTAGTGATAGTATAATAAGAATAGATACACAGATATAAGACTTACTCTGTCATAGTCGGGTAATTCAAGTGTCTGATGAACGCGACCGGCCAGGTATTCTTGGTGATCCTTCTAAATTCATCAGTCAATTAATGCTTTATTAACACCCAAAAAATACATACTTGACATCTGAGGGCATTTATTTTAGGATTGTCAGTCTGGCATTGTAAGTGATTTTGAACCTGACCTGACCTGATGCTGTGAGAAAACTCTGGAAGAACATATGGTATCCAGATGAGGAACGATTAGGTTGACTCCAGCTTACTAGTCAGGTCTAACTGAACTGTGCCCTCGGCACGTTCATCAGACAGAGGCTTGATTCCGACGCGAAACTTACCTTCACCCTGATGTCCGCAATGGCGTCGGGAGTTGACATCATTAGCTATCTTTTTCACTTCTCCATCTTCGGTACTACCAGGTCTTCGGCTATTTCGCAGTAAAAGATATTGGTGGCCTGGAGCTTCGAGGTATCGACATCTTATTCTGGGTGTATTAAACCCTTCGGTTAAGGCTATCAAAACGGGACGAGAGGAAGACCCTGTTGGTACTGGCGCGCTCTTGTCTCCACAGCCGTTTCACGGGATTTTAGAAGTCACTTGCCGTGATAATATTTTGGGGGCTGCGTAGCTGAGACTTCTGACATGATGGAAATCTCAGGATGGTGATGCTGGAAATTGGTAAATATCGTCTGTGTTTTGGAAAGAGTTGTCGTAGAACTAATGTGAGCCGGAGAAGATCGGGATTTAATGTTGAGTTTTGACGAAACTACTGATCATAGCTCGGTCCTGCTAGAAGATGCTTCTATTCGACAGTGTAGGTAGTCCGATTGATCCCAACGAGTCATATACCTTTTCTGGCTCCCATAGTCCCATCTTGTAGACTGTTGTTCCACGGAGTTGGAATCCGAACGTGTGACTTGGTGTCAGAACAAAAATGAGATATATGAAGCTAGTTTTCTGTAGGATATTCGCGATCATAGAAGTTGTTTATAGAAACTGTATCCGTAGATGCGTCGTGTTCGTGGTCATAGAGGTAGTATTACAAAATGGTAGACGTTGTATTCATAGTCATAGAGAGAGAAGTTGTTAAGGTAGTATTCATGCGCATAGGAACGGAGGCAGGCACGACTCGGGATAGCAATCTTTTTGCATGCACACCGAAGTTTGGGCAAAGACACTGCGCGTCAGTAGACATAGCTCTGCAGGGTTCCATTCTTTTGGTCGCTTAAATATAATGATTTGCATAGGCTGAAGGGACAATAGATATGGCAAGAATATGAGAGATAGTGAACTGAAAATGACAAAAAGCCTTATATAAGGCTATGATGATTCGCATTGAATATTGCGGAACGGCAGATACTGACCATTCAATAATATTATTAGTTAATTTCATGGAGCATATAGTGACAAGTAACACAGTTAGTGTGGGAATGATTAATTATGGACCGAGCCAAATCTTTATATATAGCAAATTTGAGATGCTCTGGCTGATAGGGTATACCCTAAAGCTGGTGGCAGGTGCAAGGATCTCATTCCCTGGTCCACTGCTCCACTGCGCCTCGTACGGCCTTGATAGTATCCAATAAGATAATAGGGAGTAAAGTAGATGAATATTTTGTATAACTATCTCCAGGGATATATGCGGGTGACTAAAAACAGCCAAGATTGCCTATGGTTACAGCTACTAGTGTGACATGTGCTGGGCACTAATACAGTGTCCGTGGGGCTGAGCACAACTTCCCAATCATGACTGTAAATTTGCATAACCACTTGTTTCACCTCCTTAGCACATATGAATCACCTTCTATCTATGCAAACTATTGCGAAGCGTGCTATGTGCTCGATGTCTATTACTGTCTACCTGGGAGTCGGCCTTAGTTGGCAACACCAACAGATGAAATGGTGACAAATTGAAACCCAAGTATGTATACACAACCCCGGCACATACATGACTAGTGCATACTAGTATGAAAGGCGCTTAAAATAGTCATGTCTCTACCCCGGGGCGCTAAGCAACATATAAATCCCGGTTATACCCCTCTCTTTCTCGCGAGACATTATCTTTTAAAACGTCCCCACACGGCGGTCTAAACCAGTATGTCGTGCTATTCGCTTCACTCGGACAGGATATCTTCCAACTTTGATGCAGATCTGCCCTGCGGCATTCCGAATTCAACTTATCCTCATGTGCAATGTTGTGTAAAAGGTGACTATTGTATGAGCAATGGCATCTGCCACTATTATAAAAATAATTCAGACCAAGGATACTATACCGCGGATTGCACCGATCCAACACTCCAGGATTCGGCATGCATGACCCGATGTGGTAATTGCCCAACCGTGAGGTTTACAACATCAACAATACTAAATACACATAGGCGCCCAACCTGGATCAATCATAGCTTATGACGAAAATACAGGGCTTTGGGCCTGTTGCACATACACTAGCGATGGAAAGTCCAATTGCTCCAACCTTTCTGATGAGAAATTCCCTGCTCCAGCACCCAGCAAACTAGTTACAATGCAGTATCTCCCTCCCACCGGCACCCCGGAATATGCGACCCCAACTGATGTAATGTCCACACCACTCGTGAACTCTACCAGTAACCAAATAGGCGCCGGCGCTGCAGCTGGGATTGGGGTAGGGGTTGGTGTTGGTGTGTTTTTGCTTGCAACGACTGCTGCATTCTTCTATATCCGACGGAGGAGATCATCGCAACACAATGTAGCAGCTTCGAAGACTTGGACCGAGTCAGTGTCTGCAGTGCAGCAGCCGCAGACAGTTGTCAGATATGAGCTTGGGAAGCCCGAACCCCGTCCACAGGAGCTTGCATAACGAGCTTCGATTGTTGAAATGGATTTGTGTATTTTTATTATACTTGGGCTTTGGAATCGACCTCGTCGAGAATCACACCAGTGGAGGGGAGGTTCAGCACCACAGTCACATACGCCGATATCTAGAAGAACTACTGGCATCGACAAATCAACTATTTAGATATTCCTTGGATTTCCATCTGTCCCGAACACTGGAACTGTTGTGTCTATTTCCGCTGGAGATGCCATGTCCTTGTTTTGCCTAACCCACCATCAGCAGAATTAGAATGTGGCTTCGGCCACGTCTTCTCTCTCCACACTAGCATCTCTATCGATGCAATGAGAACTGCTTTTAGGGACACCCTAACACCGACACCGACAGCAAAGGGAGGCTCACTAGTACCGGTTGCTAAGTTTATATCTATGTTTTTTGTCTTCTCGGAGGACCAGGTTAGTTTAGGAATATGTTATTAGAAGCTTTAGACCTTATATAGAATATCCTTGAATCTATATACTAAATACTAGTTTTTCTCTATGTTATATTCTTGTTGATAGATAGAAAGAAATATTAAGGACAATGTCTCTATCCGGGGGGTTCTTGTTATAAAACTACTGATAATTACCTCTGCTTCCACTAAGCAGTAGTTAGGAATAAACAACAATTTACCACTCCGCGTTAAAGTGGACAGGTGGATGTTATAAGCAGAGATAGTCAGATTCTGGGTACTACCTGATGTTCGACAAAAGTATATTGAGGCGATCCAAAAGGAAGTTACGCAGTAGTAAAGGAATACGGTATAAAATAAATAAAAGAAATCAGTCTGGCAAACGTCAGATATCTGCAGTAATTTTGATAGTCCTCTAATGCAAGTGAAGGCTTTAAACTGGATACTAAATAACAATGTTCAAATTTCTAAATAAAATTTATCTATCCTGAATCTAGTGAGAAATGATGTGCAATTCACGGATTGGTGTTGGGGCCACTTTCTAGTTAGTATACATGTCATACCACCAGGTAGGCAATATATTAACCAAAGAGCAAGCAATATGTCCACCTAATCTCTATAGCATTTTACCAGCTGTGCCACTTCAGTTTTGAAGCTCTCAACGTGATGCCTCGAGAGGGCAAATGGGCATTTGAGCGGACATTCTGAGAGTGAATTTTGTACTTCATTTTCTTTCAAAGATACATTCGCCAATAAACGCTTTCCTACACAACTCCTGTTTCACCCCATTGCATGTGTACTCCGCATCACTTACGACTATTGATAGCCGCAACATGGTCAGTCACGAGACACTTGAACTCATCCGTTCCGTAGTAGAAGGTGTTGCCATCGTTTGACGATTGTCCACCGCTCAGCTGATCTCCGTACTGCCAGTAGAGGTCCGCTGAAATAGCCGTCGTGTTCAGTGCCGTGTTTTGCCAGGGTTTCTCAACGGCACAATGGTCCGAGGTCACTCCATACTCCTCGAACATGCAAGGCTTTCCAGCCGCCTTGCAGGCTGCCCCGTGCGAGGTGACCCAGCCGTTGCCCCAGTCGTTCGTGGTTCCCCCTAGCTGGATTAGCTTCCACTGTTTGTTTTGCTATTGATGTAAACTTACAGCTGCTCGGATAGAGATGGAAGGTTCCGAAGTCGATCGTGGGGATAGCCAGGTTCTTGGCGAAGTCACTTCCTTCAGAGTATTGATACGGGTAGCTTCCGTCCGAGCCAGTATCGAGGCCGAAACCCTCTGCTTTGGTTAGAGTTTGTGGATTACAGACAAGGCCAGGTTCACATACCGTCACCAATGCAAACCAAATGCTTCGAGTCCAACGACTTAATATACTTGCTGGTACTCTCGATCCAGTTATACAACACGCTGGTCTCGCAGCCCTGGCAACGGGGCTCATTGGCCAGTTCCCATGCAAAGATAGCGGCAGAGTCGCTGTACCGCGAAATGACTGCCTTGATATAAGCGCGGTAGGCTTCCTGCATGGCGTCATTCGTGTAGAATTCCTCCTTCGACCCACCAAAAGCCTTGACATAGGCATTGATACCACCGTAATCATCCCAGAAGTTGACAAAGTTAATGATCAATTTAATACCGTGCTTCTCTGCCGAGGAGACTACATAGTCCAAGCGCTGGAGGCCGTCTTCGCCCTCGTTGACGGTTGCCTTACCATCTGCCAGCAGGTGGTAGTAAACCGAGCCATCGGCGGGCTTTTCATTGACATCATTGAACCCCCAGACACGAAGGATCTTGAGCCCGGATTCCTGCAAGTGACTGAACACGAGATCCACGTCCTCATTGTTCTTCTGGAATCCAATCCAGTATGAGTTGGAACCGGCGAAATATCCTGTCTTGCCATCGATCACGAAATTAAGACCTGAGGTGGTAACGAAAGAGCCGGGGGTGGCAGATGGAGTCGGACTGGGCGAGACAGTTGAGGATGACGCCTGGGGAAGAGCAGAGGCCAATTGGGCCGACACCAGGCCGGCCGCTGTAAGGAGTGAAGGGTTAAGCTTCATGATGCTTTCTCTGACTAGTTGCCGGTTGTTGTTGGCTGTGCACGTTCTGTTTCTGCAAGGCAACTAGCTCCTCGGGGTCCAGCTGTTCTTATAATCTGGAGAAATGTGCCCCTGATAGACATTCTGGGCCCACATGTGGATCGGGCGATACTCCGCTCTTAATCCAGAACAGAGCTCCATGTCTCTTTTTGGAACGGACCTAGCTAAGCGCTTGCAAGCAAGATAGTCGAGTTAGATTGCAGGAAATGTTGAAGCAGGTGTTGTGACAATTTTTCCGACTGGACCCCATGCAGAAATGTGGGGAAATTAATTAATTAACCCGGCACTCCAGGTGTTTCGGTCCGTGGAGGATGGGGTATAGTGGAGAACGCGAGTCGGTAGTTGAAACGTCGAACCCCCAAATAGCCGTTGCACGTATAGTTGAGTTGCGGCGATCTCTATTATTCTGCATGACACTATGAACTAATCCACTGCGGAATGTATCCCCGAGTAGCATGATCGCAAACCATCGAGGCATGTGGGTGACGCATACAAAATTGATGAGGGAATTAGAACCTGCTTTAATGCTCAAGGGCAGGAAATATCAGGTGATTTCGATTTGGTGTTTTACATGACCAGACCTCAGCATTTGTGTAGAAAGGCATGTTTCTCTATGCACCTTACAATATCATTTCCCCTCACTCAGTTCTAATTTGACGCCGGTCACACTTACCTGGGTCGACGGGTCCGATCTGCTCCGCACATCATGTTGTTTATCCCGCTGCGAATGTGGCCAAGGCGCCATACTACACATCTTCCACAGAGGCCTCTTTCAATCCAAATAGAAATTGTTGTTGTCCTGCTATGGATTTGATTACAAAAAACGTTTTTAACTCTTCACAAAGAACAACGCATGTGATGAGGCGGAACACGCTGCAGAGGCTAACCCAAGTGTTGTTTCTCAGTTGTATCTAATAACCATGAGGCTATGTACCAGATGCCCTTGCTATAACGAGTAAGCGCACTGTATGCACCGTTTGGCTGAGTGAACAATATCGTAAAGTTGCGCGTTTAATACCGACGCCATGTGATAGGTGAAGGTGTTGAATCTAGAAATCGTATGGACGGACTGAGAGTGTGTGAAATGTAAAAGGACTCAAGGTAAGGATGTCTGTCTATAGCAAACATACATGTAACCATGTCCGAGGACAACCTTGCGACATTATTCATGGTCCCTGGAAACCCAGCGAAACACTCCCCACAATCCAGTGGTGCGTTCAAGTGTTAGGCCCGTAACTGTCATTGGTCCGTCGATTGGATGGTCCCTCTTGCTTCCTCTACAAGAAGAATCTCTACGTCCAAGGTTGATATAGGAGCGCGAAACCCAATTGGTGTGATACCAATGGCCTAGTAATCAAGTTGAATCATACACACTTGCCTTGGAACGTTAATAAAGTATTATTGTGTTTATCATTCCAAGAGCTCTCTCACATGTAGTAGCTCTGGAAGATCGATTTTCGTGTAATTCACGATCTGCTGAGTATCACACTGAAAGGCTTCCGCTACACCATGCCGCTGCTTCTTTCCATAGCTATGGTACTCACTATGTCCCCGCACTGTTGGAGGTCTAATGTGATTAAATGTAAAGAGGTCTGCCCAACACTTAGTCGTATAGATACAGGGAGACGGGAGGGTTTGATTGGTCATAGCTGCAAAGTAATTGCGATACTAATAGAGTATTTGAGCCAAGCTCTGGAGTGGTAGAGATACTTTGCTCCATGGTGTTGCCATAGACAAGAATACTCGGCTATCCAACCTTTTACACCCTTGACATATTGTCATCCTTGATACACTGGGATCTATATTAGTGATATGGCTTGGCTATGTATAATGGTAACTTACGGCTGCAGTGGCTGATGCAGAGCAAGCAATCAGTGTATTATGGGGTGATCAGGTTGATCACACTGTGGTGTCCTGTGACTTCCTCCGAGAGTCTCTCAAGCTACTACGGCCAACCATAAGTGGATGTTAGCAGCAGTATTTTGGCTGCTGGGTGGGTCTTTTTGGAGTGTGCTTCTAGGTGGAGAACGCGTGGATGAAAGTGGGGGAAGATTTAGGATGTAACTTGGCGGGCAGCGGGACAAAGAGTAGGGCAGTGTGCATTGAATTGAGTTTGGACAGGTGGAGGACTAGCTGACAGGGCCTCAGTAGTACTAAGAAACCACGGGGCCGTCTTGGACTGTGTAGGCCACTGTTATCACTACTCTGTACAGCTAAAGTTTTTGAACCAGTCACCGGTATCACTACTTTACTCCGTCCTGTATTCTGGATATACCTCACGGTCTTGGGCTCTTGATATGTTAGATTCCTCAGTAAAGTATTCTTTTAAGCAATTGAGACATTGTGTCCTAGTTCTGTATATGCAATTTTCCTGTTTCTACCCCTTTGTATATCCACATTTAGTGGACCACTGCCAGGAACAAGTTCTTGGCAACTGTGGCGGATTCTGCCTTATGCCAAGCCTGAGGTTATCAGGCAGCAACAATGACAACATACCAGATAACGAATTTGTTTCTCATCGCCTCGCTGTTTCCTAGTAGATACAGCTTCCCTCTCCACACCCTTATTCTCAACTTCTATCAGTACGATAACATCACAATGGGCAAACTACAGCCGCATTGCGACCCCAACGATTTACCCCCTCCGTACGAACAGGTCGTTTCGGAACCCTCTTTAGACAACGTCGACAACGACTCTCTTCCTCCTCTGGCTGGACCTTCCACAGCGACACCCCCCATCGCTGACAACCAAGCGCAAGACAATGACAGATCTGAAATTACCGAGCGACCGTCCACGACTATGTCGCCCTTCTTGAGCGAAGATCCCACCGCACTTCACAGTTTTATTAGCCATGAGGCTCGCATTCCCCCGCAACCGTGTCTGAGTGTTCGCGGGGCACACCAAGAGACTCACCCCGACCGAAATGATCGCAAGGAAAACCGCACAGAGTCAGTGGTCGATTTTGACTTCCGGGTCAATATGGCAAACTATGTGGTGGGCGACCCTGATTGCGACGCGGGCTGGTATCAGTTGCGCGTAGCGCGGGACGGCGACGGGCAGAAGTTATATCGGGGTGGGCGATGTCGGTCGCGTATGTGGAAGCGACACGCCAGGGGGAGGGGCGTCAGGCTGCCAAGCATAGAAGACGGTACTGAGACTGAAAATGTCGGGTTGGTCGAGGATGATGCAGGACCGGATCTCATGGGCTGGTGTGAGCGGTTCTGCCAGGACCCATCACCCGTCAAATCGTACGTTTGTTGAATTCGTTTACTTGACGCACATGAGACTAATCTAATGGTGCAGCTTCACGTTCACCCGTCACATTGAGAACTTCAACTCATCCATCATCCATTCTACCTTGACTTCCCATCTACGGTCCCTCAACTACCAAGGCAATATCGACATCTCCACGTCCTTCTCCAACCGGTCATTTACGGTCTATTCGCCCCATTGGATCAACCGTGCCCGCAACAATAACTTTGTGTACTTTACCTGTCTTATTCTTCAACTGTGGCTAATCACCTGGCCGATTATCTGGCTCCTGGAACGTCGGTATGCCGTTGTTGGGTCCGTGTGGTTGTTTTCCCGGGAAGTAGGAACCCAGCACGTCTACGCACGGAGTCGAGACGAAGCCAGTATCGCGGAGGATTTGGCCCCGGTGGTTACCCAAGCTGCATGGGAACGAAGGTTGGACGGCAAAGTCCTCACTCAGCAGGACATGCGACTTCTTCGGCGGCTTGAGCGTGAGGGTCAACAGCGTGGCGGACGCATTCTGGTAGTGAACTGGGATCGGATCAGCGGATGGGGTCGTGATCAGTATACTTGAATCCAGACTCTCTCTCCTCGGCCCTATGGACCCTGGACGAAAGTGGTATAATGGGTATAACGTGTTATTACGCTCACATAACCGTGCTTTGAACACGTTTCAAGATAGCATTCGAGCATTTGATCTGTTGACGTCATCCTGACCTACATGGCACATAACTGGAGGGTAAATAAAAATCGCTAAAGGGACTTTATCGCATGCTGATTGATCTCGCACTTCTCATGGGTCAGCGATATCTGGTGTATGTCAAGTCACCGGCATTGTCCCATACCGGCCCGCTATCAAATCCGTTGTCGACGCGACCTCTTAACATTGGATAATGCTGGGTACGATTACAGAACCGGCGACTAATGCAGGCTGACCCCTAAGCGAGATGTCCGTGGGTCTCTCCAGATATGCTTCATTTTGGTGCACACACTCTGACGGTTGCATGATAACCATGCCTCCAGCGTCCGGACCGGTGTCCGGACCGGTGAATTAAGATTTAACTATCCGGGGCAATGACTTAGTGCGCAGAGTGGCGTGGATAAGGGATTATCATGCAGGTGGTAAGGCTAAAAGGGGCTGTAGGCTCTACTATTAGTGGTTTCGTTGACATCGCTGGGTTCCCTGGTATCTTATCGTCTTTCTCACTTCGATATGATATTTTCAGTTGGCATGAATGAGTGAATAAAAATGATTGTAAATGAATTGACTTTTATCGTTCTGTTTATCCAGTCATGCAAAGCGCTGCCCAAGAGAAGTTAAGAAATCCGACACCACGGGGCACTTCGCCAAGAAGATGGAAAAGAAAGAAACGAAGGAAGCCAACCGCTGATAAGCGTGAACCCTAAAACAAGCCACCTGAGCTTCGCCCTCCAATCACCGGAAGGGCAACACGACGTCGAGACCTCAGGTATTAAATTTCCCCGCATGTTAGATTCCCTCTTATCAGCAAACCGGACACAACTTCACCTCCGCCCAATTTCCTGGCCAATCCAACCAGTGAGCATGCGTACCAAGTGTCCACGGTACCACTTCCCGTCAAGGAAGCCAAACTAAGACGAACACGGCGAGTGGTCACTACTACTTCTTACTAGTACTACTACTACCCGGGCCAAAAAATGTAGCTGCAGATAAGGCAACACATGTTACGCCCGAAGCCAGTGGCTTGTGCTTTTTTCTTCTTGGCCCGCATTGTGTTGCGACTTTATAACCGAGGGTGTCCCGCGCGTGGCCTCATCTCTCGCTCGTGACCATTTCTACAAAACAAGAACTTCCTCTGATTGTTGATCCTTCACATACTCTGGACCACGGCAACATGGGTTCCGGAGAGAAGCCCACTGTCGCTCCGGCGACGTCCTATTCTCATGATCCTGAATCCGGCGATGTTAAGGCCGGCACCATGCAGGCCATGGTGGAGGCCGACCTGCTGGATGAGCGATACATGAATACCCAGCGCGGTCTCAAAAATCGACATGTACAACTGATGGCATTGGGAGGGACAATTGGCACTGGTCTGTTCGTGGGGTCGGGTCAAGCGTTAGTGATCGGTGGCCCGTTATCTCTTCTCTTGGGCTACACCTTCATCTCCGCACTCATTTATGCGATCGTCACCGGAATCGCCGAGGTAGGTGCCTACATGCCAGTCCACGGTGGCACCATGAGCTACCATGGCTTTCGCTACGTCTCACGGAGCTTGGGTTTCGCCATGGGATACCTCTACTGGTACTCATTGGCAATTCTGGCAGCTTATGAAATCGTCGCCGCGTCCATGGTCATCGATTATTGGCCCAATAGCGTTCACATCGCTGTGTGGATTACCATCATGCTGGTAGTCATAGTGGTACTCAACTTTCTTCCGGTCGGTGCCTATGGAGAGAGCGAATTCTGGTTCGCCAGCATCAAAATTATCACCCTGATCGGCCTTCTCATCCTCTCCTTCATCCTCTTCTGGGGCGGCGGTCCGAACCGTCAGCGTCTCGGCTTCCACTACTGGAAAGACCCTGGTGTCATGAACACATATTTGGTCAGTGGTGACCGTGGTCGCTTTGTTGGTCTCTTGCAATGCATCGTTAAAAGTGCCATCGCGTTCCTCTTCGCCCCCGAATTGGTGGTGATCAGTGGCGGTGAAATGGAATCCCCGCGCCGGAACATCCCTAAGGTTGCGCGTCGCTATATCTACCGACTCGTCATCTTCTACTTCCTCGGTTCGCTCGCGATCGGCGTGATCTGCCCTTCCAACGCCAAGGAACTGGTACACGGCGATGGTCATGACGCCTCCTCATCACCCTTCGTTGTCGCGATTTCCAACGCGGGAATTCCCGTACTGAATCACATCGTCAATGCGGCCATCCTCACTTCCGCCTGGTCGGCCGGTAACTCCTTCCTCTACATGTCTTCCCGCTCTCTCTACGGTCTGGCGGTATCGGGCAATGCCCCCAGCATCTTCAAGGCCTGCAACCGGTGGGGTGTCCCTTACTACGCGGTCGGCATCTCTTCCCTCTTCCTCTTTCTCGCATACCTCTCTGTCGGGAGTGGCAGTAACACGGTCTTTAACTGGCTGATTAACTTCACCAACACCTCCGGGTTTATCAGTTGGACCTGCTGCGGCATCATCTACATCCGGTGGAACAAGGCCATCCAGGTGCAAGGCATCGAGAAGCCCTACTCCTCCCGCATGCAGCCCTATGGCATGTATCTCGGCATGGGCGGCGCGATCTTCTTGACTCTGATCAACGGCTTCACCTGCTTCTTCCCGTCGGAATGGTCCGCGTCCAACTTCTTCACCGCTTACATTGGTATTCCCGCCTTCCTAGTCTTGTACGCCGGTCACCGGATTATGTTCTGGAAGGATCCATGGGCGTGGCGACCAGAAGAGGTGGATTTGCAAACAGGATTGCAGGAGATTTTGGCGGCGGAGAAGCCACCCCGACCGAGGGATACATGGGGAAGGAAGCTGATGGCGCTGATCGAATGATTCTATCTCGACTCGTTTTTTCCATTTCGGTATTCTAGTTCTGAATTGCATGCTAATATGCGTGGGTAGTTTAATATCTCCATAGCTATATTTCCACTCTCAATGATACCAAATCAATGCATCATTATTGTTTACGACCGTCACTGGGACAGATAAGGCGCTTATTACGTACGCAATTCAATATGATATGCGTGACCCACCCGCCCCATCCATCTTATCTTCAGTTTGTGATAAAGTTGGCCCTTTTCGGGCATTTTGTTGGTACCCACGTGGGTCGTCTATTTTTTAGTTCATGGACTTTTGTTCTTCCGGCCAATGTTGATTCCTCAGATACTATCCGAATGTGAGGTTCGACATGTACAGAGTACATCTGTCAGGATTACTTATGGATGACCATGGTCATGTCAGACAAGGTTGATACTCAGATTCATGCGCAATAATAGTTGTGCAGTCCTTGCTTTACCACGTTGCCACAATACTAGTAAGCATAGAAGAGCTCTTCATGTACCAAATATATATTTTGGACGATCAGGGACCATTAAGTACGACGACTAAGTAGTAACCACCGACAAAAGCAAGGAGAACTTAGTGAGAGAATAAAGCCAAGTCAGCATGACCACTGCGGCACTTAGAAAAGCGGTCTTGCTTATTTTGTCTTCAACAAAACAAATGTTTACTACTAACTAGTCCTGCAGAGCACAGATGACTGGACGCCCTTACAAACAAATGCAAAATGTGCAAATGATGCAAATATTTGGTATGACCTCGGCACTTTCCCGAAAGGGAGTCTGGCGCTCTAGGAAGAACGATACATAATACGACGTCACCAAGCAAAATCCCAACACCAAATCGCGAACTCGATTGGGTGAGACCACTCGGTCGCTGCCTGCTACCCTCAAGATAAGAGACTATGGCTGGTTGAGTTCCCTGCTGATATTGACCCACTAGTACATATTTAGACGGTCGCATGTCAGTCGGGAGCTTACAATGCTTGTCAGGCACACAACATCATGAATGTGAATACCGCATTTCACCCGAAAGTCTTCCTTCGACATGAGTTTCCAGCTCTGGTAGCACACTTTCGCAGCCTCATTAGGGAGCAATCGTCGGTTGATCAGGTCTATGAACTCAACCGTTGCCTGCTAGAACTGACATATGCGGAGGCTCTGCCACCTGTCGTGTACGGCGTTTGGCTGCCCATTTCCCTGCGGGTTGTCCCGGACATACTGCAAGCTGCGATTAAGGACCCAGTCTCCCATGGGGTACGTGAGGCTGGCATTCGAGCGTTAGCGCGTGTCTTCCATCGCAAGGAATGGAAAATACAAGGGTGGGATGCCCTCGGCGGCGCGGAGGGGATCAGGAATCTGCTCAGTGAACTCTCAGTAAAGGAAGTCGTTTTGGTATTCAAATCCATTGCAAAGTGTCAGCATGTGTCTGACCCCGAGATTTTATCGACTTGCGTGGAGGATCTCATTCGTCTCTTGCAACGTGAGAGTCCCTCTGGGTTGTCACCATTTCTTCTGCGACCTTTGTATCCGTTGTGCAGCTCCAATTTCTTGAAGGAATTGCTATCAGGCCTGCCGGAAGGGCCATTGCTAGCGTGGTTGGTTCAGAAGTTGGGTCGCTCGCACGCAGATCTTGTACGACAAGTTGCTCTCGGCCATATTTCAGTGCCCCTGGAAGTACAAGTGAGAGTATTAAAAGATCGTGTGCATGATTTAATTGATTCTCCCAAACCCTATACTCCCCTGGTCAAAAGGGATCTTCCATCCGAAACGCCTCCGGGTCTAGTGTTCTGCTTAGACCTGTATCATGTGATGTCTGACAATTCCCTACTTGACTTGATGGCAGGAAGTGCTCGGGAGGGGTACATAAAGAAGGCACTGAGACTGGCGTGTCGGAAGAATTTGCCATCCAACTATATCACAATATTTCTTCAACACATGACACCGTATTGGCTGCGGCGGGCGCGTACCATGTGGAATGGTACTCTTACTGAGCCCCTGTTTCAGGAGATTATCGGCTGCTGGTCTATAGCTCGATGCGGGACCACTGGTAACAATACTGAATCGACTGTAGAACGATTTACAAGAAGCCCTTCTAGTTCCCGGCCAACCACAGGTGACGAGATGGCTTTGGAGTCATTAATGACCAAATTGATCCGCTACGCCTCCGACCCAAGAGAAAATCTTAAATATGATCGTCCTCTTATCGGCACTGAGCTACTGGAACAGATTGCGCCGTCGGAGAGATTTAAGTTTATTAGACTGTTTTGTGGACATTCAGAGCACCTGAGGTTCGACATTGACGTGTCTCCTCCGTCTGAGCGAGAACGAAAGCTCGTTCCCATATGGGACTTTAAGACTCTACGAGTACTACCGGATACAGACGGACAATATCTGTTTGACAGAATGCTATCTATTCACGGTTGTGAAGAATTCATACCCACACCACCAGAAGTGCAGACTCTGAGCTGGATCAACCAGTGCCTTTTAAAGATCGGTTGGGAAGTAGGAATGACAGACACAGATGGCCTTCCCTTTACTCAAAAAGGTATGTTGGATGATATGTTTAGCGACTAAGGCTGATGTAAGTAGCGATCAAGGAGATGCAGGAACAAGGCAAGCGAGGAAGAGATCATGAACATCGATTGAAATGGGCGGGAGCAGCTATTGATGCTGCTCTTGCGACGTCCTCTGTAGACATCTTTACTTCAGTGGTACAGTGGACAAAGAGGTTTATGCGTGATCCGGTATGTGAAGCCTCCCGTTCCTTTAACCTTGCTAACCCAGGTAGCTCGTATTTCCGGATCTGATGAAGGACAAAATCCTAGGCTCTGACGCCATAAGTCTTATCTCATGCGTTGGTATTAGCCCAGCCTGCAGGCCAACTTCTTTATCACAGCTCAACGACATTGTACAAGGAGCAAACAAGGCATTGGATAATGTCCTTGAAGTCGTGCTCCTTGCTAGTCAAGAACCTGGCGGTAAAATCATTTCTATAAACCGACTGCTTAAATTTACATCTAAGATCGTGGAAAGCCGAATAAGAGGGCTGAAACAGTATCAACCACTTGGTAACCATTTACAGCTCGCGAATGTGCTCCTGAACCCTCTTATTCCCATATTTCTGACATACGAGCGCGTTGTGCAACCTGGCGAAGAATCAATGACCGACCAGAACAGGCTAAGTGGCCTACTAGCAAACTTGGCATGTCCTGCACAGCCGGTGGAAGCTGCTGTTATATTCATGGACAAACTTGCAGAGGGAAGAGACAAATTGTGGCAAGAAATACGCACCAACACTGACCCTGCTGTCAGCCGTCTCGGGAAGGGCTGGCCTAAGGGGCTTCCGATCCAGTATCTCGTGCCTGACAGAAAATGGGCACATTGTGCGTTACAGCATAAAGATGCAGCACCTTATCTCCGGAATAGAGTGGAAGATATTGTGAAAGCCCCATTCCATGATACACTGACGCCTAAACCACATGTCAGACCCAGGAACGAGTGGGTCGACAGTTTGCGCTACGCTATTGAATCATACGTTGGAATCGGAGAAGAGGAAAGCAAAGCGAATCTCTTAAACCTCTTTCAGTACTACAACTCCGAACTAGGAAACTATGCGTCTGAAAGCCAGCAGGATCTTGAGCAGCTACAGGTGTTTCGACAATGGCTTCGCGGCTTGGCTGAAACACTAAATATGCCTAAGGCAGCAGCGGTCCTTGACCAAGATACTCGGACACCAAACACTAGCTTTCTTGACCGGGACGCGAGATCCCATGACATCTTTGTGTGGGACCCTAGGTGTGAATCCTCTGAGGGAGAGGCGGACGAAGAGCCAACGAATATTCCTGTCACCTTGCTGTATTGTCGTATGCATGGGGAAATACCTGGGTCTAAGACCGTCCTATTGTCGCTGGAGGAAGCTATGGTTGATCCACTGTCTATTTGGACACTAGGTTGGATGTCTGCGGTCAAGCTTGACAAGCCGTTTCTCGAATGCCAGGAGGCTGTGATTTTGTCCTCTCTTCTCTTCTTACATAACAACGGGGATCAGAGGCAACTCATCTCTAGTCCTTTCCCCAACGAGGGATCCGTAAGATATCCACCAGTCTCATTGGATGATCGCTTTGTGACGTACGCAAGCAAGGATAGCACCGATGCTAGGAAGAGAGCCACACAAGCCCTTAGAAAATTCATCAAGGCAATCCCAGCTAGGTTACTACGAGATGTGGCAATGTCTCTACTGGATAATGCTGGAGGCCTTTCTCCGACGTCAACCTCTTATGGGACTATCCTGACCAGTGTGACTGATGTTATTGTCCTCTTAGGGCTTTCAGATCGACCGGAACTAGCTATTGATGTTGTAAATCGAGTCATACAACATCTTCCAGACGCATCATCGTATCACAGACACATGAGATTGATAGGCCTTGGTAAGAGACTTCAACCAGGCCGGGCCAAAGAATTTATTGGACAATTTGCCAAGTTTGTCATGCAAAACCTGGAACAGAATCAAAGACAGGATAATCAAAATGCTTCAGACCAGAACGAGATTGCAAATCAGCCGAAGCATTTTGTCAAGATTACCACAGTCAAAATGCTGGGTGAAATCCTCGCAGAAGCAACCTTCCTACCAACTACGATGAACATATCTATATTGCAGGTCCTATTCAATGAAAGTCGTCATATTGATGTTCGATCACGGGCCGTCTCAGCTGTTCTGTCTCTCTTTGACAAAGTGTTTGACACACAGATGATCTTCAGCGCCATCGCCGGATTTGCTATCCAAGCCGCAGGGCCCGGAGAAGTAGAGCCGATCAGTGAGGCAGACTGGGTAAATGCGGAGAACGGGGGTAAACTTCCAACTGTTGCGATGACAGATGAACGCCCCGCCCTTAACTTGTTCGTTGGGGACGCGTACCATAAGCTTCCTAAGGAACATAGGGCAGAGTACGTAGAGAAGGTTCTGCTCCCGTTGGTGGACGAGTCGACCCGTCAGCACAACCGTTGGATGAAGGCCTTTGTCAGTCGGAATGTTGCGGACATAAGTGTACTGAAGACCTTCGACTTTGGACCGTTCCACATTAAAATCATTGACGATATCCTGGATAAGTGGGTAGACTACCTTCCTGCGTCCTTCCTCCTCCGCCACCGCAACTACGCACTATCCTACATCCGTCAACCGGAGCTAGTCAAGGTCACCGAAACGATCGCGAAGCGGGAGCCTGAATATAGACAGACAAACGCAGGAAAACACTGGGGCCAATACATGGACTTCTGTCGAAACTGGCCGCCGTTTGAGCAATTACAGAAACTTCTCGATGAAACTACGGAATCAAAAGTCCCCAACGGAATTACCGTGGTGAGCCTAATGGCTGAGTATGCCGAGCGTGCGGCAGTCGTTGTGAGACATCCTATCAAGTTCGCCTCAGAACAGGCCAAGTTTGTAGTCTCGACGGACTTCCTTATGGAGGGATTACAAGCACTCGAAGGTACATCTTGTGGGTATACGGACACGGAATACCGCATACAACACCAGATGCCCTATCAGAGGACCTTGGAACAGATTGCAGCTGATGTAGAATCCCTCCGAACGGAGAAGTGGCTGAATAGTCTGGATCGCCAGCCCGTGGTGCTCCCTTCATGGCTGGAATTGCAGGTCACGCTTCTCCCCTCACCAAAGGTAAATCCGTTCGTAGAGGAGCCGGACAAAGAGTTTGTGCGTCGTGTGCTGCAGCTTATTGAGAGGTGTGTGGCGGATCCGACCTTGTTACCGGATTTCAAGCTTTTGGAAGAGGTGATGGAATGCCCTGAAGGCGCAGAGATATTGTCCTGTGCCTTGCTCCTTGGAGATGGGCCTACCAACGAACATACCTTGTTGTATGGTACGTTGAGGATCCAGCTGGCCCAAATCCTGGTTTCACGTCTCGATTCAGCGGAGCTGGTACTCAACGATGAAGTCAAAGCCATGTTGAGGAAGTGGAAGGCAAGTCCTAGTGAGTATGTCCGAAGGATTGGATGGAGGTTTGATAATGCGGTGGCTTGAATGTATGTACGTCAATTTTATTATCTCCTATGTGCGCATATTACTGCCTAGAAAGATAGATGGCTATTATACAATTATTCACATATAATACAAAGCAATATACACAAACAAACATCGAACCAGATCGACTACCGGACAATATAAAACCCATTAACCTCCAGCTGTCGATCCCGCATCTCCGCCGTTGCCGACCGGACGCCGATCCAATGGAGCGGCACTTTGTCAACCATCTTCTCTGCTCGCGTCCTTGCATTCTCCATCCCCTCTCTCGTCCGATCCATCCAGCTTCCCTGCCGCTCAGGACCACCAAACACCTCCGGCCCCCACGCCGGATGCTCTAGAATCCCCTGCGCACAATCAATATCACACGCATCAGCCAGAACTTCCGCCTCAGCTGCCCTTTCTCGCGCGATCAGAAGATCTTGCTCCGTCATACCAGACGGAGACGGAGGAGGGATATCCGGTCGCAGAAAACACATCACGCGGACTTGCACCCTGGCCGTAGCTGGGATGTGGATTTCATCAATGAATCGGAGGAGGGTTGTTTTTTGCATCGCTGTCGCCAGGTTTACTCGGCCCTGGTATGATGGGTTTAGGGGGTTGATGGATAGGACTGTTGGGTACCAGGGGCTTTTCTGGCTTTGGGATTGGGGGTCTTGGGAATTGGATGGGGTTAGATATGCCGTGTCCTGGGGATTGTAAGGAGTGTATGGTGAACTTGGGAACTGAGCAGGTGATTTAGGAGGTGAATTTGACGGTCTCCTATCGAGGTCATAGCGCACCCAGGCGAGGAAGTATCCGCGTAACTTGTCCAACACTGCATCTGCAACTTTGGTAAGTGTGTACCGCGATGTGTCGCCGAATTGTCCGTGAGTTTGGGGCTGGATGCGCGCTTTGAAGTCCATTGGGAAGGGGGATTGCGGGCCGTTTTCTAGCGCGGCGGCCTTTTGGTATTCTTGGATCTGTCTCGCTCGACCTTGCGTCTCGTCGGTAGGGGTTGAATCATCGTTGTCTCTGGGATTCCTTATGCGCGCCACGCGATCTTCCACTCCGCTTAGGGAGAATGCTGTTTCTGCTGCTGTTTGCGTGACTGTGCCTGGTTTGTAGGGTGATAATCTATTTGAGACTGCTGACGTGACAGGGTTAAGGATCGCTTGTGCTGCTGTTTGTGCGTATGTACTTAGGACCATTGCGCCGACTTCGAGCGGCATGGTTGATAGGCTTGCGCCGCGTAATGAACTGGGGTCTAGCGAAGTACTTAACACCCTGAAGACGGGACTCGAACAGAGGACCTTTTTCTTCGCGGACTGGCAGAGGTTCAATTGGAAGTAGCCGTCGCCTGCTTCGGCGGGGATTCTTGCAACAATGGTCTCGCGGAGTTTGTGGCTTAGTAGTTTCGAGGGTGCCTTTTTCCGGAATTTGTTAATGTCTCTTTGCCAGGCGCGTTCGTCGCCCGAAGAAACTTGGTTTGCGCGCAGCGCGAATGAGGGGGTCACGTCTAGCCAGTCGTCTGTTAGACGGAAAAGGGCTTTGGCTTTCATGCCGGTTTTCCCGGTCCAGCCGCGACTTTGGAGGAAGTATGTTCTGTCCTGTGGGAGGGGTGTATCTGAGAAAATGGATACGGCGATTGAGGTCGTGCTGCCGCGGTAGAAGACTATGCCGTGGGAGTGGCGGAGGATTGTGTAGTGGCGGGTTGATTCTGTTGGGTGGGCGATTAGACCTCCTAGGAAGTGGGAGACTTCACCGTAGGCTTTTTGGATGGCGTTTGGGCCCGGGGTTGGGAGGTCGGTTGCGGAGCGGAGGATGGTGGATGGCGGATTGCGAAGATTGGGGGTGCTTTTGTGATTGCGCAGGGGTGGGGTTGAGAGGGTGGTTTGGGGCGACGGTCGGAAGTGAACTGGGGATTTTGGTATTGGGGGTGCTGCATTGGGACTTTGGGAGTAAGGTGGTGGTGGTAGTGGTGGTGGTGCGTATAGTTCCGGTGGTCTTCCATTGCTAGTTGTTGGTCTCAGTGTTAGTGTGGTGGTTGTGTTTGATGTCTTTCCGTTGGAGGTTCGTGGTCGTGGTGTGGTGGTGAGGATAACTCCTGTTTCTTGGGGAGGTAGGGCGACGGGTTTCCGTTTAATGGGTTGGTGGGTGGCCATTGTTGCATTTTGGTTGTTATTGACCCTCTTTTTATAGTCAGTGGTGGTTGTATGGATGATGAAAAGGGGAAAAGTTGAGTGCAAGTGGAAGTGATTGGCGTTGATAAGATAAGAAACATCATGATGTCGATCTGGGGAGCCTGGTGGCTTCTCATTGGTGAAACCCCAATGCACATGCTGAGTCAGACGGAGTTGTGCATAGTCATAAAGCATGCATTTCTATGGCAGTGCCAGACGAGATTGGTGGGTGATGATTTTGTGGGAATCTTAGCGAATGTCCATGTTGAGGATAAGTAACATTCTATCTTTTTAGTTCCATTTCCCTAGTCAATCTTGATAACTATGTGCACAAACCCTCTGGGACTGACCATAGTATGGACATCGGGCCATAACCGAACAAGTGAGGGTTCGCCAACCACTACTGCATGTGCTATCTATGGTATATCATCTGAATGCGTAGGCTTTTTTTTTCTTTGAAGTCAGCCTGTACCTATCTCCATCTGGGCAAACTCCCTCAGTCTCGGATGTCCGTCTACTTAAAGGGTTACTCCTCTTTGTTGTGTGATTAATTCGGGTTCTGGATAGTCCGGTTATATGGATACCGAAATAACTGTCAATGAACTCAGGCTGGCATTGTTGGTGGTTTTGGCAGTAACTAGGGTTCCTACACTCACGAAGCATCCAACGGAACGAAACTGCAGGAAACGATCTGGCCGCAGTGACGTATCCCTCCCATTACCTGGAAATGCGCTTGGACGTTCGTGATTTCCCAAACCTTACCAAAATCAGTGAGCTCCAAACATGGCAATTGAGTCAAGATTGGCCAGACAGCATGACATAGTGTGATTGGTGACCCACCTGAAGAGAGAGAGAGAGCAACATTCCTCTCTGCTCATCTCTCAGGCCTCAGACTTCGATTCCGCCCCCAATGAAGTAAGACACTATGTGGGGAGTGGGAACGAGATAGTGGGTCTACGATACCCAGTTAGTCTCGCTTATGGTCGAGTGAAGCATTTTCTCACGCGATATCTGAATATCCGTTGGGGTTTTGTTGGTTCTCAATGGACGTACAAGCGAAAAAGCAGATATAGATGCCCCGTTACTGTCTGAAAAAGGAAATATGCACAGAGTATCTGTCACCCTACTTCGATCTATTGGCACCATGCCTCATGATTCGTGAGGAAGCAAGTTCCCATTAGGATCTTGACCCACTGGGCCTACATAACTCCTGCTGCTTCTAAACCCTATCGTAGGGGGTCTATAAGATGGCTAACATGCAAGAAGATAACATGCAAGACCATTGCCGTGAAACGCGAGTGAGTGTGCGCTCATTCAATACTTATCAAAACGACAGAAAATTCATCTTTGATATTGCGATGATCGTTAGTGCGTTCTGCTGATGGAGACATTTGTGGCTAATCAGCCTTGTTAGATCTCCAATAGAGCTAGTGGCCCACTTGCCAAAGCCTGGGCCCTGAATATGTCTTAGTCCTGCATCTACTTTCTCATGTTACCCCCATCTTCATCTCTCTCAGACTTTCCTTTGAACCAACTAGTAGCTTAGTGAACAATTAGTCCACTACAACAATGTAACCCTAGGTTAAATTACCTGGACGCATAGCCGCAAGGACGTTCCTATAAAGGCGTAAAAATATCCAGAGGACAGGGTTTGCTTATGCTCAATTCTTCGATCCTACCAAGACGATAAAGAACCCCATCATGAAATCCTTTAATTTCCTTTGGTTGTTGGCTGCTGGCCTTATTACTCAGGTATGTTCGAGCGGTGGCTTGTTTACCTTAAGCTTGCACTATTTTGTCTAACCCTTCATCAGGTGCAAGCCGATGAGTCCCCCATTGAGGGATATAGCATTGAGGAGTTCTCATGGGAAGTCGAGACGACCCCCGGCGGGCCAACGGTCGTTCTGAATGGCACCGTCGAGAAAGTCCTGTCTCAACTGCGCGAGATCAACCCTAACTACGAAGCCGAGTTCGCCACCGTTGTCCCTGAGAGTGACCATCCTGCCGAACACACTGCGGAGGAAGAAGACACTTCATCGCACTTGGCCAAGCGTGGCGATGTTGTCTGTGGCAAATTCCCCTCTGCGTATGAGAGCGATATCGACCGAGGCATCAAGTACTTGAGAAGTGTTCCTGGCAAGCCTCAGAGAGGACCTGGCCCTGGCAGCTGTGGTCAGGTCAGCTGTTCCTGGTCATCGGCTATTTGGTGGTGTAATGATGTAAGTACTTCCACGCGCTGTGCTTGTTTGCAGCAGCACATATTGACATGAATTATAGAATACCTTTACCAAAGTCCTACCCAGCTTCAACAACATTGCCGACGGCGCGCAACTGATTAAAAACACTTGTCTGCATGGAGGTCAGACCTTCTCTGGTCAGGATTTCCACGACGATAAGTGGAACACCATTGTTCGGTTCAACAAGTGTTAATGACTGGTGATAATAAGGAACTTAAAGGATGGTGTATATTCTACGACTCAGGGTGGATGCCACGAGATGTAAAGTAAATATCGCTGGCTTTGTGAAATGCCTGAAAATATTCATTTGTCGCCGAGCCATTTAATTTCTTCAGAGCCGAACAGCCTTACCCAGTATGGCCTAGCGCTAATGGATTACCTTCAATCATGCGTAATCATGTGTAGAAGAACCACCCAAACAAGTTAGTCGAATTAATGCGACAAATTCCTGTGGATTACAGATATTCCCCAACTGTATCAACCCGAGGCACACAATGCGAAATATGTTTAATTAGTAGGGCTATATTAGCTTCTACTGGATATCGAACATCTAATGCAAAAACCCGCACTGCTTCCAACGATGCAAATACCGCCGAGTAATCTCCTCACTGACCGGGCCGACCCCAGCCAGTGTCGACGAACGTTCCCTCGCTCTTGTGGTTTCCAACAAAACCCCGCCACAGGACATACGTTCGAAGTTTTCTTCCAGCCAGTCGGCCATCATACCTGCTGGATTATCTTCTCTTGATCCTGGGAAGCTGCGGACTCGTTGCATCCACTCAGAGAATGAGACAATGTTACTGGTGGGAATACTAAGCTCACTGGCCAAAATGCGTATCATCTCATGCCACGGTTGACGGACGGGGTTATCCAAGTGATACACCGGATATGGTGTATTGTCAGTCACCAATAACTCCACTAGACTGGCGGCAATGTCATTCACAGGTGTCCATGAGAGATCTCCTTGCAGATCCGGAAGCGCCCTGAGTGTTTGTGCTGACTTGACAATGGCGGGGAAATGCTCCGCTATGTTCCAGCACCCACTCCCGGAAGAACCAGCGATCTGGCCTGGCCGGACTATCGTAGATTGGAAGAGATTTGGATGTCGCTGGAGAGTCTCTTCGAGGATTCGCTCGCAGATAAACTTCGCCTCACCGTATCCATTGGGTAATACATACTCAATGTTTGTTGATTGCTCTGGGATATATTTCTGACTGGTGATGAAGGGGTAATGTCCGACAGTAGCAATAGAGGAAACAAACTGAAACCTAATTCTCGAGTCCGTGGAACGATGGCAGGCGATGTCGCTCACGAGGTCCACTAGATGACGCATTGCTTGGAATTGCTTCTCGAAGCTCGATAGCTCCGAACCTCCATTCATTGGCCAAGCATTGTGGATAATATGGGTCACAGTGCTCTTGAGAGTGCCATATTGCTCTGAGGAAAGCCCTAGTTTGTGCTGAGAGATAGTTGCTGCCATTGCCTTCACTTTACCCATTTCATGAGCGGCTAAGGAGATCCCGCGCTTCTGTAGTGCGGTTGTCTGTCTTCGGAATGGCTCCTCATTGGCTTTGCTCCTGTTCAGACAGAATATCGTCTTCACAGACCTTTGTTGAACGAGATGTGCCACGATATGGCTACCCAGGCTACCGGTTGCCCCTGTTAATAGTACGACCTGCCCATCTGACCGAAAGCCGTTGTGTGAAGCCACAGGCGGAGTGAAATTCTCAATGCTCTGTCGTATATAGCCATCAGTCACTTTCCTCCGCCAGGTGTTATCTACCCGCTGTCCTGGGTCCACTTTCTGTAGAGGGCTGCCGAGCGGCAAGCGTTCACTTTGTGTCCCGCTCGCTGTGGCGAAGATGACTCTCTGTACACTGACCTCCGGTGAATGACCATCTGTCCAGTCCACATGGCCGTACCCTACCGTGTGCATATCTGTCTCCCAACGGTGTTCGTTGGTAATGGCATGGTTGCGGCCATCGTTGAAAACCCACCACCCGCGAAAGAGGCCAAATACGATGTCAATTGCGAACGCTGGTCGCGTCATTTCCAACATTAGAACTACTCCATCTGGTCTCAGGGCCTTCCGCATGTGTCGCATGGACTCTTGCAAACTGGATGTAGCATGAACTGCGTTGCTGGCTATAATGATGTGCTGTGTCCCGACGAGGTCATCGGGCGGGGGCTTCTCAATATCATGAATACGATAACACACAAATGAATAGTCTTTGAAACGTCGTCTAGCTTGCGCGAGAAATGCTGGTGAGATGTCGGTGAAGGTGTACTCGACCGGAAAGTCAAGCTTTGATAATACGGGAAGAAACCATTTTGTGCCACCTCCAGTACCGGCTCCCATTTCCAGAATCTTCAGAGGTCCCACATCTGCTCCTGCCAGGGCGACCTTCCGTATCAGTCGGTTAATGAAGTCTAACATCTGCATATACCCCACAATATTGTGCGGCTCGTCGCCATACATCCATGATACCAGTTCTTGACCCTCTTTGGTACCGAAAATCAACTGAAGGCCGTCTTGTTCACCGCGCAATACAGAAGCCAGTTTGCTGCCTGTAAAATATGCTAGTTTGCTGGCCCCGGCATACTCGGGAAAGGAGTACTTAATCTCCTCTAGGATTGATAGACTAGATTTACTGGGAGCTGGTATGGCTGTGCGGATGACAGTGTTGCCGTCTAGGTCAACAAGCCTTGCTTCTTCAAGTCTCTTGTAGAGGTACTCGACGAGTTCCTGATGCTGTGGATCGAACAGTATTCGGTCGAGACGCTGGGTAGCCGACGCAGTGCGGATGTAAGAACCAAGTTGCTCAAATGCTTCTAGTGTTAATGTCACACACAGGTTAATCTGCAGCGGGGCAAATATTTCTATACGACCGCTGCACTTGTTATCAGCCAGGAAACGGTCGGTGAGCGCCTTGGTCTCTCCGAATGCCTCTAACACACTTCGCAATGGTAGCTTGAGATCTGGAGTATCTGACGCAACGCTGGTGGCGGGTTCGGTATTGGGAGTGTTGTAATCCCTACCAGGGCTCCTATCTTTGAAGCTTATCTCCTCTAAGCTCCAGCTGGAATTGTCCTGCTCGTCACTATCACACTGTCTCATGGCTGTCTTGACGCAACCGACCAATTCCCGGAATGTATCTGCCTCCATAACATCTGCGGCAGGCAACGTACAGTGGAAGGCCTTCTCTATCTCACGAGCGAGTTCCATCGCCATGAGAGAATCCACTCCGGCGTCTGCCATATTACCGTCCTCGGTGATTTCGTTGGGGTTCATGGCACAGAAATCGGCTACAACTGCCTTAACACGGGCTGTAAGGTTAGTTCTGGATTTAGGCCCACTGCTGTCAGACTTGGTTTCAGCAGCCTGCGGGACAGAGACTGCTGCGTGCGGCACTGTAGCCTCAAGCTTGTCCGCGTCAGATGGACGTGTTGCACATTGTCGTATGGATTTGTCAATAATCTTAGAAAAGGCTGCCTTTTTGACTCGAGTGTATTGCATGCCCAGGAAAATCTCGACGAGCTGTCCTGTTGTCGGCTCGAACACGAAGATATCACTAGTATAGCAGTCATCTCCTCGTTCATGCTTTGCTAGTACATCCCATGTGTCCGGTCGAGGGGTAGCAGGGTCAGCGTATACTGGTGACCGCATCCACCTCTCCATGCCACTGGCTAGGTACATATCGGAGGGTGCCCGATCTGTCATGCAGTTGACCCAAAATCCACCTATTTGGCTGAATGAGTCACATAGATATGTATCCACCCATGTCTGGCCGGTATACCGCTTTATTACTCTACCTGCTGACTCATGATCCTTTCCGACGAGCTTTTGCACCCCGCGGTAAGGCTCAGAATAGTCTACAATTTCAGCGAATATCCGGTAGACATTCCGCCCTTGAATTATATCGCTTATATTCAGGTCTTTCAAAAGTTCCACGCAATGACCGTGACTGACCAGCCGACTGTACCTGGCGAATTCGCCACGTATCTGTGCATCGTCTGGCTCAAACATAATGAATCTGGCAGAACAGTGGAGGACTTGTGACCGTGGTCCCCTTTGTAGTTGTTCGCTCAGATACCTTAGATCCCATATATGCTTATGGGTATCCTGCGCGTGCAACTCAATCCACAGTTCTCGGGACATATCTAGACAGAGAGGCGCATCGCTTGTGACGTTCAATACCTGGGGTATTCTCCCTTTGCATTCCGGTAAGCTGCGTAGTGCTTCGACAACATAATCTAGCATAAAAGACGCAGGCGCAACTGGCGAAGTATGTGCAACGACATGTCCAGCGATAGATTCCTGGTACTGCCGATGAGCAGTGTCGATGCTGAATTTGGCAACTAGTTGCTCGGTATCTTGGTATCCGACGAATCGTAAAGGCGACGCATTAATTGCAGGTGTGGTACTCGCTTCGTGAGAAGGACCAGGAAGCCTTTTATTCGACAACCAGTGTCGGCTTTTCTCAAATTGGTACGGTGGTAGAAGGATAGGCGCGTATTGTCGCGACTGTTTTGGATGGTGGGCCCAGAAGGCTACCGATACACTTGCCTTCCAGAGACTGACCGTTGCATCGCTTAAGCTTTGCATACCGCGGTCACCCGTGATGTTCACGGCTTGGAAGTGATGTCCTGAAGAAGATGCAAGAGCCCGGTTGACCATGAATGCGATCGTGGAATCGGAACCGGCCTCTAACCATACACATGGGCCATGACTTTCTACCAATCGTTGTACTGCGTGGTGGAAGTAGACCGGCTGTCGGAGATGGTTTGCAACCATGTTGGGCGCGACTGTAGCTGTGGACGCGTTCTTCGTTGCCCTCTCACACAGTATATTCGGCTGTTGAGGATGTATCCCAGCCATAACGCCCTCGAGGGCGGGCAACAGAGGATCAACTAAGCCCGAATGGAAGGCATTCGTAACTGACAACCTTTTTGACTTAAGCCTGGCATATGAGGGGGCTTTCAGAGTTTCCTGGATGGCATCAATTGCAGCCTTGGCTCCCGCCAGCGTGAAACTGGTGGGGCCATTAAAGCAAGCAATCGTTGCTGGAGCGATATTGGGAGGACCCTTGCGAAAAGCATCGTCTATAAGACGCATAATATCGTTCTTGTTCCCTTCCACTGCAATCATAGCGCCGTGGTCAGGTCCCCAGCCATCACGAATGATAGTCGCCCGACGAGCGATCAGCATGATTGTATCGCCAAGTGATATAGCGCCAGATATACATAGTGCGGTCAATTCACCAAAGCTATGTCCAACAACAGCTGCAACAGCTAGCCCCGAATCAATCCAGCACCGAGCACAAGAGTACTGCAAGGAAAAGAGTTGGAGGTGTAACTGGACATGGTCCGTAATGGGGCTATGCTCGAAGATACCTGGGAAAAGGCTACTGTATCCAGAGGACTGTACCTGGAAATCACATTGATCCAAGTAGTGACGAAGTAGCGAGACGGAATCATATACGGTGTGATCCAAGCCTATAAAATTAGAAACCTGGCCACCAAAGCACAATACCACTGGGAGAGGGCTTTTGACAAGCCTGAAACTGTGATTCGTGTTTCCACCAACTATGGAGGCTAGCTTTGACGTAAGCTCCAATTGAGAGCAGCAGCTGAAGGCTACCTGCGAGTCTAGTGTGGGATTGGACTGACGACAGATGTTAAAGGATAGGTTCCACAAGTCTGTGGCAGGTGCAGCTGATATCGCTTGATCATGGAGGAACTCACACAGCCGTTTGGCACAGTCACTGAGTCGGCACTCGTCTGAAGCGCATATTCGGATTGGAAGAGCGAAGCTGGAAACATGGTTTGCAGAGGGCATCCTTTGTTCTGACGCATACGGAGCTTCCGTGATCACCATAGATGCGTTGGACCCCGATGCACCGTAGTTATTGATTAGTGCTGCACGGAAGTCTGCCCTCCATTGTTCGAGAATGACTGGAATATGCATATTATCATCTGGAGATGCCTCAATATGTGGATTCAGAGTGCGGAAGTTTGGCTGTGGCGGAATCATGCCCTCGTTTATCATCAACAAGATCTTCACCAGTGCAATCAGCCCGGACACACCTTCAGTATGCCCGACCAGGCCTTTGACAGATCCGAGAGCTAATTTAATAGTGCGCTGTGGGCCCCCAATGGTCTTTCTGATGCTGACGTATTCTGCAGGGTCACCGGCCTGTGTACCAGTTCCATGAGCTTCAACGACTGATATATCGCGAGGGCGGAGGTGCGCCTGTGCAGTCACCTGCGTGAACAACCCGGCAAGAGAAGATGCATCGGGAACTACAATTGGTGTGCAGTTATTGTTCTGCTGGACGGCAGTAGATGCGATTGTTCCCAGAATAATATCACCATCTGCCAAGGCATCCGACACCTTCTTAATGAAGACTGCAGCAAATCCCTCCCCACGGCAATACCCATCCGCCTTTGCGTCAAATGGCTTGCAAGGTCCTGTGGGGCTCACAAATGAAGCTCCTGCAAGATTGTCATACGCCAAAGGACTCATTATAGCATTAGCACCACCCACCAGTGCGGCCGTACACTCTCCTTGTATTATCGATTGGCACGCTTGATGAAGTGCGACAGCGGACCCAGAACATGCGCTATCAACACAAAATGCGGGACCCCGCCACCCAAAGTAATGGCTCAATTTACCAGCCATGAAGCTCCGAAGTAACCCGGTGGCAGAATATGCGGAAGCCGGGTGACAATTGACATTGTGTTCATAGTCCACGGTGCAGGATGCAATGTAGCACCCAATATTTTTGTTAATGTTGGACTGATGGAAGTACCCCGACTGTTGCAAGGCCTGGTATGCCACTTGTAAAAGCAGTCTCTGCTGGGGATCCTGGGACATTGCCTCCCTTGGCACTTTTCTGAAAAATTTATGATCGAATGCATCTATGTCCCGGACAAAGTTTCCAAACCAAGGTCGGATGGCACTCAGTCTCCACGGTGTCTCATAGTTCTGGTATCGCTCTAGAGGCATTTTTTGATGCTGTGACTCCCCGGAACAGAGTAACCTCCAAAACTCTTCCAGGTCATCTGCACCCGCTACGCGACAGGCCATGCCAACTACGGCAATGTCGCTATCGTAGGTCCGTGGTGTCTGATGTAAAGGTGAAGTTCGCGAGACTGGGTTCAAATCGAGATCTGCAAAGTGCACGGTGCGTCCCTGTAGCTTGCGCATATATGTAGGCGGGATGCACCGCTCTGGTCCAAATTCAACGATGAGTGATGGAGTATCTTCCAAATGAGCTTGGTACACCTTGGAGAACGTATCAAACCATTGGCACTGCTGTGCTAGGATTGACCGTAATACTAACTCATGAAGAGGGCCTTTAGGAGAGCCCATCGCCATATTGGGCCGCGTGGGAACAACTGACTGTGTGGCATCAGGTAGTTGCAAGGTTGGATCGCTATCACACATGCGGCTCAGTGCATGCAATGTATCCTCATGTCCAGCCCAGTGATATCTGCCATTGAATTCGACTTTTGTCGTAACGAATCCAGCTTGTTGCAACTCCTGTTCTAACTGGTTAATAGTCCGACGTGGGGTCATGATGGTAACCCGATTGGTGTCGAATCGTACGGTGACATATGACTACTTTTGTCAACTACTGTGATCCCGTATCGGTCAATGGACGTACCTCCGGAAATGTCTCCAAAACCGATGGCAACCTTTTCCCTATGTCGACGCCTTTCCATACGGTTGCAAGAGACGTATACTCCTCTTCTCTCTCCTGCGCATCGCCAAGGGCGCCCATCAATGTTGCTAGCCTTAGAGCGACAGCGGCATATTTTGATAACTCTTCCTGGTTACTGGCGGCTGAAACAACAGCAGCACTTAAGAACCCAATACAAAACCCTGCAATCTCCACGACCTTGCTTTTTGCCGATAGATCACTGGCACAAGTTGGGCCTTTAGGGTGCCTAAGGCGAAGATAATGCCAGTATTCCGTGAAATGGGTTACCATTAATAGCGGGGCAAGTTGGATATATGGCAATGGAAAGCTGTCAGTCGGCACTTGTCCTGTGCGGAACCATTCAGCTAAGTCGCGGAGCTGCTCTGTCCCGGGGATCGTCTTCAGTTTCTGAACATACGTCGTCGCTGCTGTGCGATAGTATACTGGCAGTTCTGACAGAACATCTTGGATCCAGCGATGCTCTGGTGTATCCAGGACAGTAGCCCGGAGACGGAGGAAGTCTTCAACATTGAACGAGACACATTGACAGCCGAAGATGAGGACAGTGTTACCACCAGCCTGAGGCTCCAGTTGGCTTGCCATATTAGTTAAAGTTCCGATAATGGCGCCTCACTAACATGGAGAAGTTAAAACGAGGGCCGGGGTGGGAGGCTATAACACTGTCCAAATGAGACACTTTTTGTTTCCTGCCATGAGTCAAGCCACCATCTGACCGAAGCTCCAGACAAATACACTGGTTGATTATTAGTCTGGATAAGGCCTGGTCTATCCCAAGTGTATTAATATCGCTTTAGCGAAAGCCATTGCCGGACGGAGTTTATCGTCGGGTCATCTCCTCGGGGTGGCTGACTGACCCATTCGTAGTCTCAAACAATGAACATGCACAAACAGTCTATCGGCCAGTGATAGTTGGCCCAATGTCACACGGTGGCTACTCTCCCCTCTTTTATTGCTGCTGATTTCTTGCCAGATGCATATCTCTCGTGGGTATTTGGAATACTGATACTGATGCCATCGGAGCAATCCCAGCAAAGCATACGCCCAGCGTGCGGGGCACAGGCCATTCTTACATAGAGCCATCATACAATATTACTTTGATCAAGAAAGATAAAGCCTATTTAGAATGAAAGGGCCGTTTCTACTAACTGGAGCTGACTACCTATTATCCATCCAGGTCATACATACCCTAGATGATCACTATTAACATATAATCAAATGCGTTGTTCCGCACCAAACGGACAGAACTAGTGGGACACGTCGATATCCTCCAGGTATGTTTATGACATTAGAAGGCACCACTCTGAATCTTAAACAGGTATCCCAGGACTCTGGCTCAGATTCTTCACTCGATCTAAATCCTGCAGGCACTCATGCAGTTCCTGTAGCATGATATCAAAGGAGTCATCAAGATGCGCATGTGCTGTGAAGAACTCGGTACACATCATGATCGGGATCGGGGTCAATGGATGCACCTATAACTGTCAATAAACATTCTCTGGCTAGTCATATGGGCAGAGTACCTTGAAATATCCTAATTGCCCCTGTAGCTTTACTAAGCTAACAACTTCGTGCGCCGCCATCACGCAAAGACGCTCGTACTCGAAGATACCTAGCAAATGCTCGCCTGTCGTCCATGTTATCCCCTCTAATACGCTATGTAGAAACAGAACCAAGGTTTGCGCTACAGTCCTCGCGAAAATGAGCATTGGGTCGACATGAGCTGACACGGAGAGCACCTGGATCCGATAGGTGAGCATTTCGTGCAACCATTGATGCCGAGTCCACAGTCCATCAGCCAAATCTCCATTCATCTGCTCCACCGCCGACTGCTGTCTGTGCAAGAGTGCTCGGCCACATATTGTGGCTATAATGACGCTTTCGCTAAAGGATGCTTGGCCGTTAGAGCTATGGCTGCTTGCGTAGCTCGTCATCACTTCCGACAGAAACTGGGTTGCTGCAGGATGACCAGCTTGAAAGTCTTCCTCTGATGTTGGCAGCCGAGTCGCAATCTGCTCTGATTAGATGCATAATGTCCCTTTTGATAATATGACATACCAGCTGTTCATTTATGGTATATGGCAGCGCGTTGTGGAAACTGATAAAGCGATCCAGGGAATACGCCATCCAAAAAGTTCGCCGCTGCTCCTCCAGCCCAGTCCAATCCACTAAGTTCGGTTCATGCTCTCGAGCTATTGTTACCGGGCTATTAGGATCGTCTATCTCATACAGCCGCATACCCAAGACCAACCGACAACATCTGCCAGCACTCATCCAAGCCTGCTGAGGTGACAGTTGCATGTACTCATAAACAGAAACCAATACCCATGCCTGGGCTTGCTCCACTGCTACTATCCCGCCAATGGGGCTTTGGAGGTCCATGGCATCCAACATCCGGCGCGTTTCCTGGTACAAGGTGTCTCGGAGACATTGAAAATGGGCCGATAAGGAAGCGGCCACCGTCCACATGGCATACTGCAGGCATACCTGAGCTTCGCTCTTCCTGGGCTGTTTCGCCCAGACGTGATAGCGCCAGCGCTGTAACATGGGAGCAAAGGGATGCACACGATCAAAGTATAATTGGTCTCTGTAAGGGTTAGTATACAACTTGGGGAAGGTGTCAAGCTTACGATATGGCGCCTTACAGATCTGCGCGCATTAGATCGGAGACTAGTCCGCATGATCGGGACTGAGGGTTGGGGGACCGTGGCGACCCACCTCCTTGCTGATCGTCGGAACATATTTCGGGAATTTGTTCAGGCAGTGTAGTTCTATCACGGAGAGAATCTTCTTCAGAATCACATTCAACTCCAGAACCATCAAACAGCCCTGCCATTTGCTGATTGATTCCCGGATGCTGATCCGCCAGGCATCGTTCAAGAGCAGCTGGCCAATATGAGCATCAATCTTTGCCGACGTCGAACAAGACTTACCGATTCGTGTTCTTAATGTACGTAGCTGACCCTTTCGCGGCCCCCGTGGAAGTCTCGTGGTGCTTATCTTACAATCGATCCCAGTCTCAAAGCACACTTGGCATTGTGGGCGCCGACGGTCACAGCGGACCTTGCGTCGACGACATTCCTCGCAGGCGGAACCAGGTCGTTGTCGGGAAATACTCTGCGTAGTCACCATTTTATGTTCCGCAGGGATCAAAAATATATGCTCTTAATGCTTTGTGGCTGTTGCGATGCAGCGATACTTTGCTGAAGAACAGGCAAGTCCTCCCCGCTGCGATTCGGCTTGCCGACGGGGGGCACTTACATATGCGAGCAATTGTCTGGGATAGATCCACGGCTCAGCCTGTTGTGCGGGAATATATGAACTTATTCCGTCCAGTACCAAATCCAAGAAGCGGGCTACATCGCCCGTCTGGTCTGACATATAATGAAACCATCTGCAATACACCTCCATGTTTTCATCTCACCCTGTTTCGCACATGGATCTTGATTCAACCCAACATACAATTGGATTGCAATTTTCGATATTATCAGGTCTCATCCCAGCCGGCATCGCAAGGCAACACCGCAGCTATGTTGCCCAAGCGTATTAACTGGTGCGCGACGGTGATACCAAATGCCTAGTGGGTTGGAAAATAGACTAATTAAACGCCCCCAGCAGAATTACGCTGAATGGCTCACGCTGTTTCGGGACGGGCCCCTGCTGGCTGAACATATTTGCGTCTTGGCCATAACAGGGGATGTCGTCCTCTAAGCCACTATAGAATCCTAAGCGCTTATCTTCAGGCAGAAAACGCGGGTCAAGTGAGCATGTACCCCCTGTAGATGAACACCCACGCTTCAACGGCCCTATATATGATTCGCACACACCTTTCATGCGTGTCATACGACCTCTCTACTAACATTGGAAGCTAACGCAAATGCCAGGCATTGAACTAATTTTGTTCATCGGCATTCATACGCGTCCCACTTGCCCATACCAGGCGCTTTGTGGTTACGATCCGATCCATTCTGGGGTTGAATATCTAATTTATGGCTCGGAATAGTAACATGAAGCCACAGCATATCTCAGCAGACGACCGCAACTCTGTGCTCTGCGTTATCATCTGCCCCGACCGAGCAGTATCATGTAATGCAGCTGGAACGTTTGTCTGAAGGACACTGTATTGATTTGATCAGAATCGGTAGTACGAACTCGTGTCTTACCAATTAAAGCTCAAGCACAAGCACGGGAGGAAGTAGACGCCTTCGCCACTATTCAAGTTGTTCGCAGAAAAGCAGCTGTTGTGCATTTTCCAAAGCCACAAGCCTAGCATGAATGGTCTGGACGTTGCAGAACATTCTAGATCGCACTGTTCCACACCACGCTGGCCGAATTTCTTAGAAGAGTCTGGTCATACCTACTTCATACACTGAAGTTCACATATTGTCTAGGTGGGACAGGCCTAGGTCGCTGCCATATGGGTGACTCTTTGTTCCTCCCTTGGAGCCAGCTGCCAGCAATTGAACAGCCAGCACTGCTTGCCACTATGGCGCCAGTGCCAGGTTTTCTTTCTAGGCCAATTGGTGATCGGTCGTGCTTGGCAGGTCAATAAGGTCAACAAACATGTACTTCCGGTAACAGTACATGAATGTCCCAGTATCTATTGAGTGTCTTTGTGTCATTATACTTGATACGGCGTGGTGGGACATTGAATAAACGCGTGTCGTTCGTTAATCTCGACCGGGTAAGATGACCCGAAGGAGGAAAGACATTCCAGGTTATGAATGATATGCGTACGACCTCGCAATAAATCTCTTCAGGATCTAGACTCCACAGGCCTCTTCCGCAAGCACGTCCCTCGTGGCCAAAGAGGACAAATGTCTGTCCACTCGTTCATGCAAAAGACAAGGGGGCTCCTGGAGCAGTGAGTCATTGCATGCTCGCATGATTTGGCAAGCGAATGCCAAGTTCGATGCGCGGCTGGCGATCAAACAAGCCACGAGCGACTATCAATGCATCGCATGGCGCCAGTGCGCCAGTACGCATTAGAGAGGACGCTCTATTACCTGTACTGTAGCTGCCAACCGAATGTTAAATTCGAATTTCTTGAACACGTGTAAAGCACGGGAAATGGCGCTCATTCGCCCTAGGGTTTGCAAATCGCCACGAACTTGTGCTATGGACTAGACAGTCTAGTCAACACATATAAGAACTCGTATATATGGAGATAGCCTACATGCATGGGTTCTCACGGCAATAAACTCATATCCACGTCTTAATATTGACTTAAGCTGCAGTGACTACTCGTCACTAGAATCGGAGTTTCCGGCGGCTCGGGCTTTCTCAAATATTAGTATTAGAGTCTTTGTCGAACAGATGACGGTCGCTCCAATCCATTTCTACAACCATGTCTAGTCTTACAAAACAAACAACGTTCCAGTTATGTTGGAGCTGGATAGTTCCAGATATTATAGCCGTTTTCTTCTAGCCTACTGATCTTCTCTTGAGTTCACCGTCTACCAGCTCCAAATAACCACACCGATCTCCGGGTCCGCTGTCCGTCACAGCGAGGGTTGAAATCATCAGAATGGGTATCTTCGAACATGTGCAGGATGTTATCGGTCAACTTCCGGTCCTCAAAAGTTACAGTCATATGTCGATATGTTTCCCTGTTCAGGATGATAAGCGCGAAGCCGCCATTCAGGATATCGAGCGCGCTGTTCGCCTCGTGATGAAGACATTTCCGTATCTGTCTGGGAAAGTCATCAATGAGGGAAGGGGTGCTGGAACTTCCGGGACTTTCAAGGTCACAAGCTGCGAAAAATGGGAATCTGAGGACCACGTCTTCGTACGCGTCCAAGATCGCACCACCGAATGTCCTTCATATGACGAGCTATGCGCCGCCCGGGGGCCGTCATCCATGTTGCCAGGGCACCTGTTGAGCTCACGAGTGGCGTTTCCGGAAGCCTACCAGGACACAGAGGAGGACCCGGCTCCTGTTCTAGATTTCCAGGCAAATATTGTTCGCGGCGGATTGTTGCTGGATGTGGCTGCGCAGCACAATATCATTGACGGGACGGGGATTTTCCAAATCATAAACTTGTTGGCCACCGCTTTGCGTGGGGATCAATTCCCTCTCTTTCAGCTCCACGAAGGGAACCGCGATCGTCGTTCTTTGATTCGATTGCTCGGCGCAGATGAGCCCCTGCTCGATCATAGAGAGCTTAAACCGCCTGTCATCATGAAGGCACCCCCACCATCGGATGTACTAGCCCCTTACAAATGGAGGTACTATTCCTTCCCAGTGGGCTCGGTGAATAAGATCAGAGCTCTGGCAAACAGTAAACCAGAAGATTTCGATCCCTCTACGGAGTCCCTCTCTTTAAATGATGCTGTCACTGCGTTCTGCTGGCAACGGATCACGATCATCCGTCTGAAGAAACTCCAAACTCCCACCGCAATCTCGAAGCTTAGCCGAGCCGTCGACTTCCGTCGTATCATGAGACTCACTCCGGCCTACTTAGGCCATATGGTCCGCGTCTGCAATACGCGCCTTACTTTCGAAGACATCGTCGAAAGCTCCCTCTCGCGGCTTGCTTCGCTCCTCCGCAAAGACGTACAGGAAATCAGCAATGAATATGCCCTCCGTAGCTATGTCACATTCATCGCGAACGAGCCGGATAAATCGGATATCGCCTATGGCGGGTCATTCAACCCGCAGACGGACTTTTCCTGCTCATCTATTGCGCATGTTAAGGCTCCAGATTTCGGGCCGCTCGGGCAGCCTGGACTGATGAGGAGACCGACATTCCAGCCTTTGCCTTGTTCGTCGTATATTGCTCCGATGTTGCATGGAGAGGGTATAGAGGGCCTTTTTTGTCTGCATGAGAGTGAAATTGAGGCTTTGGCAGAGGATGAGATGTGGAAGGAGTTGGTTGAGTATATTGGATAGGGCTCGAAAACCTGTGATAATTATTTTTATCTCGATCCAGTTAGTTTATCGGACGCTGCATTGCTGTGATGATTCAACCTCTTGGTTACAAGACGTCATTCCATTCTGTTTATTTGTGCTCTTGGCATCTCTTACGTCAATCCATGAACCCTAATCTACGCAGTTGACATTAAGACCCTCGCCTGACCCCGTGAATGCATTCGCTCTATGAACGATTCACTTATTTCCAGACCTTTACTTTGTAAAAAGACTGATCACTACCGAACCTACAACGGTGGAGCGCCCTGGACGCTCACCACTTCCAGGACCAAACCTTCATCTACCGCAAGAACCACCACAACTTTGCGACATTCTGCCTCCGTGTCATGAAAGTAAACCATTGTCAAATCTGAAATTGGGTAACCCGACAAAAGGCCATAGACAAGCTAAAAGGAGATGTTGCATCCAACACTATTGTTGATCGTACTGACTAGGTTTCTCCTAATAACCACTGCCGCCGTCGGTGGACAGCATCCGACGCAGGGGATCATCGATCTGGTTCGAAGGAGACTACCAGATCAGGTTGGCCACTTCGTGTTCTCTTTGAACAGTTCATCACATACATCCACCACTGGAAACCGCCATCGTGATGTGTATACGGTATCAACACAGACGAATGGCTCAATTCTTGTGGAAGGGAATTCTCGAAGCGCGCTTGCCGCAGGGTATTTAACCTTCAACCGCAACCTGCAATTCTACCATAAACCGCTCCGCTAACAAACCACGTAGTCTGCATCGATACCTCTGTGACATCGCCCATGTGGATATCTACTGGTTTGTCGGTAGTCGTCTACATACTGTACCAGCATCTCTTCCCAAACTCGATGTGCCGCTGAAAGGTGAAAGTATTGTCACATGGCGGTACCATCTCAACCCAGGTAAGCATCTCTTTGATCATGGCCGATTCAGATTCAGCTTTGAATTAATAAAACGCACTTGTACTGATACGTGCATCATTCAGTGACATTCTCGTATACAACTGCCTTCTGGACGTGGGAAGACTGGGAACTAGAACTCGACTGGGCCGCCCTGCGAGGCGTAAATCTAATCCTCGCATGGGTCGGCTACGAGAAGATTCTCCTCGACTCACTTCGAGAGGTCGGAATGACTGACGAGGAGATACTGCCATTCTTCAGTGGCCCAGCCTTCCAAGCTTGGAACCGACTCGGGAACATCCAAGGTTCCTGGGGTGGCCACGGCGTCAACATATCATGGCTCGACGCCCAGTTTCAGCTACAGAAGAAAATTGTCCACCGAATTGTTGAACTAGGCATGACTCCTGTACTTCCCGCTTTTCCAGGGTTTGTGCCGCCTGGTATAAAACGTGTTCGACCGCATGCGACCGTGGTAAATGGATCGCAGTGGTCGGGTTTTCCGACGAGGTTTACGGAAGTGTCCTTCTTGAGTCCGCTTGATGAGACCTTTGCCAAGTTACAGAAGAGTGTGATCTCGAGGCAAATGCGTGCTTTTGGAAACATCACGCATGTCTATGCGCTCGATCAGTTTAATGAGATTAATCCTGCCTCTGGGGAGCTGGGGTATCTTCGGAACTTGTCACGCCACACCTGGCAGACTTTGAAAGCTGCCAATCCCGCTGCGGTATGGATGATGCAGGGGTGGTTGTTTTATGATAAGAAGGTCTTTTGGAATTCTAGTCGAATCTCGGCTTACTTGAGTGGAGTGGAGAGGAATGATGATATGCTCATTCTAGACCTTTACTCGGAGTCGGAGCCGCAGTGGCAGCGAACGAAGTCGTATTTCGGAAAGCCCTGGATCTGGTGCCAGTTACACGACTTCGGCGGGAATATGGGCATGTACGGGCAAGTACTGAACGTCACATCGGATCCGATCGAAGCTTTAAATCAATCTGATTCGCTGGTGGGCTTCGGGCTCACCATGGAAGGCCAGGAAGGCAACGAAGTTGTCTACGATTTATTGTTAGACCAGGCTTGGTCGGCGAAACCGATTGATACGCGGGCATATTTCCGAAATTGGGTCAGAAGCCGATATTCTGGGAACTTTTCAGTACCGAATGAACTGTATACGGCGTGGGACCTGATGAGCAGGACGGTGTATAATAACACTAACCTCACGACATATTCAGTTACAAAGTCGATCTTTGAGATTTCGCCGGCTATCGATGGCTTGGTTGGTCGTGTTGGTCATTTTCCTACTCCTACATCTATTAATTATGATCCAAGTGTCTTGAATGAAGTATGGGCTTTGTTTATGAATGCGACGGGGAAAGAGCCGTCACTCTGGCATAACCCTGCATATGAATATGATATGGTTGATATCACGCGTCAGTTAATGGGAAATGCTTTTATCAAGGTATATTCAGACCTTATAAGTGCATGGAAGTCGGAAAGAGAGAACAGAACCGCGGAAATCACGTCGCAGAGCCAACGGCTTCTTGATCTGCTAGCGGCGATTGACAAAGTCTTGTCATGCAATGAGAACTTCTCACTTTCGACTTGGATCTCGAGTGCCAGGGACTGGGGAGACACCATGGAATCCAAGGACTTCTTTGAGTATGATGCCCGAAATCAGATTACTCTATGGGGTCCTACCGGGGAGATCAGCGATTATGCGTCCAAGGCCTGGGCAGGTCTTATCTCTTCTTACTACAAGCCTCGATGGTCCATCTTCGTGGAGTATCTTGGTGAGAAAGATCAGACGAGCTACAATGAGACGGAACTCGAAGGCAAGCTAAGAGAATTTGAGTTGTCGTGGCAAAAGCAGAGTAGGGAGCCAGGTATATCTTGGCCAAATTCCTCCTGCAGAGGACTTGAAGTACTCCTCAGGAATGTGTCGCAAAGTTGGCCATCGATTTTTGGGGATCATGTTCAAGATTGAGGCAACCTTCCCAGGAACTAGACTTCATCAAATTATGTTGATGTTCATTGGAGGGGTTTTGAACATCAATCCCTTTTTCACTAGCAGCTGGGAGTGGAAGTCTCGCCGCTGTGAAGTTGTTGCTATATGGAATGCAACAGCACAATCCAACAGTGACTGGAGATACAGATCATCAATGGAGCTCACAATTGAAATGGAGAGATTTATGGGGTGAACAGCATTATCCATTGCCGCCGAAGAGGGGTATGAAGACGTAGTAGACCTGTAAGTAGGAATTCCTGAGGTAGATGTCAATGCAATGTATTATGGAAAAGAGACAGCACTGGCAAAAGCCGCAAGAAATGGCCCAAAGACTATAGTTCAACTATTGCTCATCCGACGGGATATTAATACTGGTTCCCTAGACATGCAAGGGCGGAATCCTCGAGATCTCACGACTCTAGCGGGCATGAGAGTATAGCAACGATGTTGCATGGACGGCATCTAGAGACGCATGTGGGATTTGAGATCTACCAGCGCGAAACATCAACATCATAGCAGCAATCACTACCCCTTCCATATAGCCACGCTCAACGTAGAATTGCTTAACATCATCCGCCGTACTCACTTCGACCGCATGTCCGGCAACCCATTGACTACGCCTAAGCTACACGACGGCCGGCTAGTAGTTGCGTGTGTTACTACTACAAATCCTGGCTATTAGACGCTTCTCTAGTATCTTGTGCGCGCTTTGTCGACTCAGTCTTCTGCGGTGACTCGTCAATATACTTTTTTTTTATACTCCGTGGTAAACTCCCGATCCCCCCATGTAAGATAGATCAAGGTCTCGACATTAATGGTCTCACTTACCAACATGACATTACTTATCACACACAACCTTTTCAAGAACCAAGACCACGAAAAGCACGGATTGCCCCATGATTGATCCAACTGGGAACTCCCATACCAACACTGCTCCGGCCAGAATAAACCCGATTAATACGTGTAACTAACCATTTGGACTGCATACGCATGCAGAGGCCCTTCCGCTATTACTGTACGCCAGGTTTACGTGTGTCACTATGAACTAGTGCAGAGACATGTCGTACTGCTGGTACGATGTAGACTTTCCATGCTTGCTCCCATTGGCACCCTCCTCACATTACCACCCAAGTATAAACCACGCAATCAGCCGGAAAAGACGGTCTCTCGGTTTTCAGCATTATCCATAACCCAACTAACCAAAGTTCTCCATGCAGATGCGCAACCAGGCCCATTGGCCAGCCAATAGGGAAACGACGAGGCGGTCGGTGTTGTTTAACCTTCCGGCCCTACCCTCCCGTCCGTCCGCGTAGATCGCCCGATAATCTCCGCCGGTACCATCGGCCGTTGCAGGACAGATGGCAAGCAATGTTTGTTTAACCATTTTGCCACTGCTAGGTGTCTATGTAGTTCTGGACTCCTAAGTCTAGTTGAGATTAGACAAATTGTTAAAACTCATCAAATGGGAGAAGACACGCAGATACACTGATCTATCGTTCTAAATATCCCAGGATGATATATAGCATCTAATTTTAGACACGAGGTTGATTGTCCATTGACATATCCCCAAAACGTACGTCAGTATACTGACAGACGCTCTAGTGGCGATTTATACCATGTAGAAACAAGGAGTTGGACTATAATGCCAAATTCAGGTCATGAATAACTAAGGGAAGATGTTGTATTGAACTTCTCTCCTGAACCCATCGTTCAACACTCAAGCCTCCCCCCCGGACTCGACGCACCGTCAAGCAGTTCAATACTCCGTAGATTTACGCCGACACCATGGACTAATGCCCCAATTCCTTAAGTGCTATAGCGTAGAAAGCTGGTAACCCAGATTTTAGAAGCTACTCAGAGCATTTCCAGTACAGTTACTCCAATGAACCCCTCCAAAAAACGTAAAACTCAATCCATACGAGCATAGAATTACGAAGCACCTCTTCTCCTCGTAAAGGATACGGCTAGAGAGCCCCTTCAACTACAGCAATCTACCAAAAATGACCACTATGCTCACCAGCATCCTATCGCGCCTCCGCCCATCGTGGTTCCCTTCACTTCAAACAAATCGTACTCCAACCCTAGCAACCAGTCGGGACCCGGATGCACCACCCCTTGATATCGAAGACGAACCTCTCGAGATAGCTATCATAGGTTGTGGTATCATCGGCGCAATTCTAACCATCGGCCTCCTGGCCAAAAATATCAAAGTAACAGTCTACGAGCAAGCGCGGGATGCTCGTGAAGCCGGCGCCGGAATCGCCTTCACGGCCAACGCCCGACGGTGCATGTCAATGATTGACGAGCGCATCGTTGACTGTGTTGCTGCCGTAGCTACGACGAACGGGGACCCAAGGAACCCGAATAATAATATGCAATTTATTGATGGGTATACTCATGACCCTAATAGGCTGGATGATATGAGCTGGAAGAAGCTTTATGAGTTGGCGACGGGGCCGAAGGGGTTTGAGGGGTGTCATCGGGCGCATTTCTTGGAGGAGATTATGAGACTTATTCCCGGGGGTGTGGTGAAGTTAGGGAAGAGGTTGGATCGGGTGGAGGATTATGGAGTGGGCAAGGTTTTGTTGAGATTCTGTGACGGCAGTGTTGGGAGGGCAGATGCTGGTGAGTTTCCAATCATTTCAATGCCAGTGCTTGCAAGGGTGATGTTGATATAGGTCCAGTTATCGGTTGTGACGGTATCAAGTCTCGTGTGCGTGAGCTCATCCTCGGCGAAGGTCATCCAGCCTCCTATCCGCATTACACCCACAAGGTGGCCTATCGAGGGTTAGTCCCCATGGAAGAAGCGACCGCTCGACTGGGTCACTACCGTGCGCACAACCAACATATGTATGGCGGTCCGAACGCGCATGTCCTTCATTTCCCAGTCGCCAAGCAGACACTGATGAACGTGGCTGCTTTCGTTACGGACCCCAATGACTGGCCCCTCGACCGCAGTATGTCGCAGCTGGCGACGAAAGATGAAGTAGCGGGCGCCTTTGCGGATTGGGGCCCGACGGTGAGAGATATCATTGATCTACTGCCGGTTGAGTTGGAGAAATGGGGTGTTTTCGACTCATTAGACTATCCTGCGCCGACCTACTCGTGCGGACGCGTGTGCATCGCTGGCGATGCAGCTCATGCGTCGTCACCGCATCATGGTGCCGGTGCTGGGATTGGCATTGAAGATGTGCTGGCCTTGACTGTTCTGTTGGACATGGTGCAGTCGCGTATCAAGACTCCGGGTGGGCAGAAAACTGTGGCGCTTCAGGCCGCATTTGCAGTATTTAGTGCAGTGCGTCGTGACCGATCCCAATGGTTGGTGAAGAGTAGTCGCGAGGCTTGTGAGATCTATGAATGGAATGACTTGCAGTGCGGCTCTGATATGGATAAGGGGTATGATGAGATCAAACGTCGGTCCCATAAGATCTGGCATTTCGATATTGATGGAATGTTGAGACAATTGGAAGTAGCGTATAGAAAGCATCTTAGGGCATGATAAAACTTCAGAAATTAATAAAACCCAAATATGGCTTGTTTCGCTTCAACTATTTCATATCTTCCGTTTGGTGAAAGTGTGTTGTTCTGTGGACGAACTATTCGGTTATATATATCATCCGTGCTACGTTCTCGTGAACCTCTCGCGTTCACGGTGGAAACCAAATGCGATCACGTGAAACTTCTTCTAATCTCTCTAGAGCTATCTATACAACAGGAGCACCTAACTTCGGCTTTATAGAGGCATAGGTAGAATATTGGACAAAGAAGAACACACTGTAGGGTGAGATATGCCAGGAAAGAATCCTACGGCCAAGGAAGCAAAAGAAAACAAGATACCCAAGCTCTCACCGCGCTGACAAGACTGCATAACAAGTATGTTAAACGCCGAGGATTTCTCCTAGAACTGGGCTCTGGGTTAATTCGAAAGCTTGTTTGATATACTTCTCGTCTAACGAAAACGGTTGGGCCATTAGGTTAGGGATATACTTCCCCTCTAGCTCTTCAGCATCTATATTCCCCGCCAGAAGCCCTGGCCGGAGTAGACATTGCCGGAACATATCAACTGTTGAACGCAGGTGACTGGAATGGAAGGGCACGTCGATGCCCTGCAGAGGAATCGTTGCTTGGCCGCGCTGCGGTTCAATTGGTTGGGGAAGATTCTTGGCATGATGCAGGAGATCGCGAATTATGGTGTGGAGCTCCGTCGTGGACGCGTTGGTGGAGTCCATCACCTCCCGGACTTGTTTTGCTCCACTGGGACACTGTGCGATATGGTCCATCAATTTTCCGAGAACGTAAAGATTGGTTGACTGGGGATCACCATGTTAGAATCGAGCGATTGCCAGGGAAATTGTTGGCAACTTACCGTGCCCGAACACACATACTGCTCCCCATCCACGTTGAAATTCACGATCTCCAACAATTCCCGGCTCTCGGCAGCGATCGTGTGGACCATAGTGCTCAATGAAGCTTGATCAAAAACTGAGCTGGTCAGCTCCCTCCTATAATTCAATAAACGTTATGTAGAGGGTACCTGCCTTGGCCCACACGTGCTGGATTTACAGCCACCATACCATACGTGGCGCTCTCCTCATTATCTCGTACCACAGAAGCCTGCATCATCAACCCCCGGTAAAAAGCTAACTCTACGAGAGCAATTGTTGGTATGAACTCTGACAGTGCAGACAATGCTCCATATTCTCCCAAGGAATGGCCAGCATATATCGCTTCGCATGATACATAACCTTGGGCACGCATCTCTGCAAAAGCTGCCGCCTCGAACAGAAGAATCGTTGGCTGTGCAAATTGCGTCGAATACAAGAGTCCCCTCGGGTTATGGAATCTGTAAGACGTTGATTTCGGTGTGAGCCCTGCCAGAACTGGCTTTTGCACACAGTCACCGTTGGGAAGCACAGTTTCCGCTGTGATGGAAAGATAATTCCCGCGAATTTTCCGGCCTTGTTTGCCCCCAAAGTGAATGGTGAGCGTCTTCGGGTTGTTCCTAACGATGTCCAGGACCGACCAGCCTATTTTTCGTGTGAGTAGAAATATGCGGATAAGAAGAGTATAGGGCATACCGTAAGCGTCATTTAGATGCGCATCAATCTCGTCCCACAACCCCTTCGCTCTAGGGCTCCTGCTGTATAAGTCCATGCCCATACCTCTACTTTGACTACCTTGTCCCGTGAAAAGGTACGCTGTTGCAGGCTGTTCCACTTCGGCCTCCGCATCCACCACCTTTTCTCCGTTACCAGCTCGGCATGCCTCTACAAAAAATCGCATTCGCCCTTCAACCATTCCCACATGCTCTAATCGCACTGCCAACCTCTCCAAAGGCATTACCATCCCCGTAAATTCAGCAGAAAAACGTCGCAGACGCGACCGGTCATTCTCTATGACTAAGTGCTCGAGGGCCGCGGTCACAATTGCCGATGTGCACATGCCATGGGACAACGTGCCTGGCAGCTGGGCAAAGCTGGAAAAAATGGTTGAGACATGGATAGGATTGAAATCTTGCGACACTTGAGCATAGGCGTGGTTGCTGGCAGGCATCTGGACCTCGAAGGATGATGGGCCAGGCCAGCCAGGTCTTCCAAAGTCTATTCTACCGCCTTGTTCAATCCCCTTGCGCTTAAGAAACTCCGAGACGGGGTTTCCAAGACAATCATCACACGCGAAATCCACGCCACCTATATACTCAAGTTTGAAGCCTGTCCGGGTATGTGCTTGGCCAGTGACTCGAAGGTTGGTGTGTCCGTTTTTCTTGTACGCAAC